ACCACAAGCTTCTGGTCCCAACCATGGCTGGAAAATGGGGTTATTTTGGAGGACTATTGCACCAGAAACCTCTCTGAAGAGGAGAAAACCTCTACCGTGGCCGATTGGACCACAGAGGATGGTGAGTGGAATTGGGAGAAACTGAAGCAAGTTTTACCTGATGACGCCCTTGTTTCTATTGCAGGGATGGAGGCGCCTAATCACAACCTGGGGGAGGACAGGACCATCTGGGGGCTCGAAAGAGATGGCAGATTTCGTTTGAAGTCTGCCTATCAACTTGTGGCCAACGAGCTCGATGGAGAATACAACGGCAACTGGAAAAGTCTTTGGAAGTGGAAGGGTCCAAGCAGAATAAAGCATTTCTTGTGGCTTGTTCTTCAAGACCGGCTCTTCACCAACAAAGAGAGAACCAGAAGGAAGATCACAAATGACAGCTCCTGCCCGCACTGCAACCACCATGAAGAATCAATTGAGCACATCCTTCGAAGCTGCACTAAGGCCAGAAACATCTGGGAGAGGATGAACAACAAGATGGCAGAGAAGAATACAAACCTACCTATGCAAGATTGGATGATCACGAATCTGCGTGATGAGAATACGGGAGTGGAGTTTGGAATCGTTTGCTGGCACCTATGGAAGCAGAGGAATGAGGAGGTGATGGATGGGAAGATTTTCTCAAAAGAGGGACTCATTGCAAGGATTAACGCCTGGTTCAACATTGTTTGGCAAGCCTATCAGAATGTACAGAAAGTGACCAATATGGAGACCAGAGTCAGATCTGTCAAGCAAGTGGGATGGGAACCCCCAAGGGAAGGCTGGATCCAAATCCAATCCGATGGATCTGTGATTCCCCGGACCGGCAGTGCTGCAGCAGGCGGACTCTTGAGAGACCATCTTGGAAACTGCAAGGAGGCATTTGCTTGCAACCTGGGGATTTGCTCTATAACAGCTGCTGAGCTGAAGGGAGCAGCCGAGGGACTGAAGCTTGCTTGGAAGAAGGGATATCGAAAGATTAACCTCAACATGGACTCTAATACTGCAATTGATATTATTAAAAAGTGCGAGAATGACGACCATCGCCATGGGAGCATTGCACAACAAATTAGTATTCTGTTGAACCTCGACTGGGAGGTTACCATTTCTCATGTGTACAGGGAGGCCAATTTTGCTGCCGACCACTTGGCGAGTTTGGGCCATGATCTTAGTTTTGGTACACATAATCTCAATGTAAGGGATAGAGGTTTAGTTTATTGGCTTCGACATGATGTAATGGGCATTGCCCATGAACGTTCTGTTTCTATGAATTAGACGCCTTGTGCGTCGATCTTTCTACCAAAAAAAAAAAAAGAATTGAGTATCACTATCGCATCATAATAGGTACGACGTATTTCAGAATAGAACTGTACTGAGTCGCTTCATGTGAATCGGATTGATAGATTTAGACTAGATAGTATGTCATGTAAACATTTACCACCTCTGTAACAATTTGTTTCCAGGCATCACTGGCGGATTCAGGGGGTGGCCACCCCGGGCCCCGGCCCAGCCCTCCTCTGGATCCGTAGTTAGTATAGTACTTATGAAATTTTCGATTTTAGACATTCGATCCAGTGTTATTTTATGATATGATTGGGTTTAACTAGAAAAATTATCAAGTTGAACATATTCAAATCACTACTCTAAATTTAGCCTAGAAATTTTAGCCCCAAAGATTATGCATCTAAAAAACAAATAAACCTAAAATTCTAAAAAGTTTAAAACGTAAAAGACTAAAAGAAATATGAGGTTTATTCCCTTAAAATTTTACTAGAGTAGCTGGTGTGCAGGGATGAACACACAGTGCAAATTGATTAGTCGATTGATTTATCTAGTGTTGATGCTGCTCGTTTCAACAGCTACTACGAACAGAACCTTTTCATCAATGAAACATGTGAGAACTGATTTGCTCAACAAAATGAGCGATGAATTTCTCGCCGATTTCTCAAGTATTTTATTTGAAACGGTGTATACTATTGGTATGGATGTAGACTCCTTGATGCATTCCCTAAATTAAAATACAGTCGTGTACATTTTACATTGCAAAAAACTATAATCAATTTTTTTTTTTATGGTTCTAATTTTCTAATGAAATGCGGCCCAGTGCTCTTCTGTGTTCTGGATCCGCCGTTGCCAGGCATGCTTGTGGAAAAACGAATGGGACATACAAGTTTCATAAGCAAACTTCAGCAAGGGAGGGCTTACTAGTTCAACCAAGATGAGACTTGCAGTAGAGGCAACCCGTGGGTTGTGGTTCATGCAAGTGAGCATTGATGGGGACACCATGGGATCTCAAATGACACAACAAATTGAAGCGCAATGGCTAATGAAAGGAAAGTTCATATCTTTGTGCTGTAGTAAAACACTAGTTGTTATTGCTCACAACTCACAAGTGTAGAGAAACTAATCTGTGGTGGTTCATTATCTCGTTGTTATCATATTATTATTAATTTATTATATCAAATGCAATATTTGTGTGCTAACTTTTTATGATACATTTGGGTTTGACTTCCCGAATGTTTTAATACATTATGACACTACTTTGCAATCAAGATTTCGCCAATAGTGATTTGAGTGATGTCCAAAATCAATCCAAACCCAACCCAAACGACACCATATTCCTTTTTTCCCTCCTGACTTTGTCGTATCCTACTAATTAAATCCCCAACCATATAGTTGGATTAAAATTCTTATCCGCTCACTTCCACTCTCATTCTCTCCCTAATAAAAATGGCTAACGAACTACCTCCTCTGTTTTTTTTTATTTCTTACATAGATCGATTCTTTAAAATAGAAAATCATGGGAAATACCCATAACTTCGTGACTTAGGCTAGCTCCAACCCATGGTGTCAAATTGCTATAAAGCCATATTTGGCTTTTTTTCTTCCTCCAACCCACAAAAAAATGGGAAGCAAAAAATGGGTATTGGGTTTTTGGAAGGAAAATATGGCTGGGTTTTGGGGTGGGGAGTGATATTTGGCTGCCAAAAAGTGGGGAGCTTGTCAGCTGGCGGAGAAGGGCGCCGGACGTGTGCGCCCCAGGCGCGCGTCCGGCGCCCTTCTCCGCAGCTGACGTGCTGTATTCTTTTTTTTTTCTTTTAACTTTTGTTGGTTGGGAATTTGTTTTGCCAATTTGTTTTGGATTTTTTTTCCTCTATTCTCATTGGTGGTTTGTGATTCAATTTGAAATATAAATTTGAAATAATTGATGTAGTGACGAAAAAACGGTCATATTTTAACGGCCATAAAAAACGGTCATATTTTAACGGCCATATTTTTTCTTATATATTACAGCACTCTTCATAGATTTCTCTTCACTCATTCTCAGAGCATAAATCGCATTCTCTCAAAATTCAATTGTTATCGTCTCTCAAAATAGAAATATGACAGGCAAGAGAGGACCTAATTGGCGTCCGAATGAAGATGAAATCTTGTGCAGAGCTTGGGTGTCGATATCAGAAGATGACAAAAAAACAGTCGTAAAGTAACGGATACTAAAAAAACGGTCATATTTGGAGTGGTCCCGAAGTTTTAACGGTAATATTTTAACGACTAATTTTTGAAAAAAAATTATCTCGGAATTTAAAAAAAATTACATCGAAAAATTTGTATTCAAAACTAATAACGAGCTATGAAAAAATTAAAGTGAAATATAAAAATTAGAGGTCAAATAAGTATGGTTTATTGAAATAAATTGAAAAAGGGAAATGGGAAGCTAAATTTAGCTTTTTATAGGGTTGGAGTGAAAAGTGGGTTTGGGGAGCTAAAAAGCCATATTTGGCTATTTGGGGAGCTAAATTCCCCTTTATGGGTTGGAGTTAGTCTTAGTCATTGAAATAAGTTGGGATCCTACACATTAACGCGATTTGTACCAAAATGACAAGAGCGACACTTACTCGCAAAAACTTCACAATCTACAGTCTCCCGCTCCAACTTCCCTCCATTTCCCGCCTCTATGATGGACCATCAGCCAACCTCTTTCCCGGCTCAAGCTCTCCCCAAAATTCCCTCTCCACTTCCACCATTAAAATCCCCTGTTTCTTCCCCACCAAACCCATAAGTTTCGCACCTTAAACCTCTCCGCCGTCCAAGGCGGAGGCGGGGACGACTTCGACGAGGTCGATAAGATCATCGGAAGCAGAGCCCTCGGCGGCGGCGCCGGGATGGAGTACCTAATCCAATGGAAAGACGGCCACGAACCCTCCTGGCTCCTCTCCGACTACATCTCCAAGAACGTCCTCGCCGAGTACGAATCCCCCTTGTTGACTGCCACCAAGAAGGCCGACGCATCCGCCCTCCAATCCAACCTCGAATCCGACGGCGGCGACGCCCGAGACGTCGACGCCGTGGACCTGGCGGGACGGATGGCGCTCCACTTCGTGTCCGGCCTCAGTTCCAATCAGTGCGTGAAGCTGCTAGCAGAAGCCGGCGCGGAAGTCGACCACGGGGACAGAGGTTGTGGACTGGTGGGGAAGAGAGTGCTCGACGGCGGGGAGGAGGTCTAGAAGGAGTATCTGGTGAAATGGACGGATAGATGATGCCACGTGGGAGCCCGTGGAGAATGTTGACTCTGATTTGATCATCGAGTTCGAGGCTTGGAAAGGGGAAGGGGCCGAGTCAGCTCCTTGCTAGGGCGGGCGTTTGGGCCGTGGGCCCTGATTGTTTTGTTAAACCAAGATTTTTATTGGGCTTTTGAGAAATTTGAAACAAGGCCTATTGCGCCTGCAACAACGGATTGATTAAATTTTTCCCCCCGACACTAGGCCCAAACGGAGGAAACCGCCTTGACCCATGTGGATGGAGTGATGGGGTCCACCTACCACGAGGAAATCGCTACTCTGGTTTTCCCTCTCAAGTTCCCGCACTTTCGTGCGTCTCCTCCAAGCTCCCTTGAACAAACACAGAGCTATACTCTCGCCTAGCCAAACCGCCTTTGTAAACTAGGGAAACATCCAAACACTTCCATTTTCCACCATTTGCTTTCATTTCAAAATTCAAAACCTCCCGATTTTTCTTTCTCTTAGCCGACGAAAACACTCTCCTCCCTCAAAATTAACTCTGCAACCATGGTAATCAGCTCAGAAAAAGCTTCCCTGGATGATTCTTCGATTCGTGCTTGTTGTTCATGTAGTTAAGATTCTTTCATCCGTTCGAACTTGCTATGGATCTGATTTGAGCTTTCGTCGATTTGCAATTTCAGGTACTCTCGGAAAAGGTCAAGGAAGCGGAGATCACCGCCGACTCGCGTCTGCTGGTAAATCCGATTCGTATCCCTTCGCTGCTCTTCTTCTTCTTCTTCTTCTTCTTCTTGTTATTGGAGCTCTGTTTGCTTGAGGCTTTTTCAAAATTTCTAGCTAGTAGTTAGTTTTGTGTTTGATTGATGTATGCGAATTTGTTCTCTGGCTTATGCTGGTTCAAATCGTGAGATTATGCTGTTGGTTGCCTTCATATGCTTCCGGTTGGGAGAATTTTTGTTTCAATTCGCAGTAAAAGCTTCTTGCTGTATCTCTACCTTGTGCGATGATCCTGGAAACAATTCTGATATTCCGAGTATATGCGATTGCCTTATTTTTGCTTGGACTCTTGGACAGACGAGGCGGACAAGTCTCAGCTATGCGGGAGGTCAATTTCTGGAGAAATATTTCACGGATAGAAACATTCCTCGTTTGGGTGAGTAATTACTAATCTCTGTTTGGAATCCATTCCTAAAATTTGAGAAGAATCAGTTCGATGATGTTGTTGAACTTGGACAGAGATGAAGACGCCTATCGATGCTGAATTTGGAGGACTGATCAACTGGGTTGGGAAAGGTGAATTGACTGGCGAACTTGGTGCTTTAGGAGGATGCGACGGGATATTGAGGTGGACTTTACCTGCTGGTCTATTTCCGGAGAACTACGCTCCTGTTTTAGGTAAGTCACTAGAGATCTCCATTTTGAATCCATGATCTCTCTGTAGAATTTCAAAAATCTGTGGATGATGTGTTTGTAAACCTATGGATAAAAAATCTTTTAGAGATCTCCAATACGAACTTGTCTTGTTCGCTTGGTCTTCCATTGCTTAATTAATGTGAACCTATTGTTTTTTGGCCACAGAGATCGTTTTCGCTTCAGAACCTACGTTGTTGAGGAACATCATTGATCATCTTGAGGTAAGGAAATATTCACCTTCACTATTCTTTGCCTGCAAGCTGTTCTCTCTGTAAGATCTGATTGGTGGCCACTCAACAATCTGTGCCCTGCATAACATTGAATAACAGATCATTAGCAAACATGGGGAAAAGGGCATGAAAAGATTCTGAACTCAAGCTAGAAATCTAGAGAGTTTTGTATGAATGAATGGAACATTGAATAACAGATCATTAGCAAACAGGGGGAAAAGGGCATGCGAAGATACTGAAACTCAAGCTAGAAATCTAGAGAGTTTTGTATGAATGAATGGCTTACTTAGCAGCAGGGGCAGTACTTCCTCTGTCTGAAGCCTCAATGGCTTGGCTCTCTTCTTCATGGGTCTCAGGAGCAGGCATAGGTCACTTGTTGTTTCTAACACCACTTTGCCCTTCAGTTTCTCCTGTTCCTGGCAATCCAAGCATAAGCTCGGTTGTCTTGAGGTTCAAGCCGTTCTCATATGCAACACCGCTTTCCACTCTCACCAATTTTTTTGGTGTGTTTTGTTTAATGATCAGGCAAATCCAGAAGCGGTTGAAGAGTCGGAAGAGGGGCGGATAATAATGGGAAGTGTGAGGATGTATGGTCTTGCACCATTAGGAGAACTCAACTTAGTGGCCAAGATATTAAGGGGTATTGAGCCGGCTGGAGATTGGATTCCACTGGTGAATCTCCCCACCAGTTGGCTGACCATGATAGATCAACAGCGGGCATGGTATGGAGAAGCTACTTTTGAGGCAGCCCGTATGAGTTCACGGCGATCTTCCTTAATACAGCGGTCCCAGCTTCGTGAGCACGATTATGCTGGGTTCGTGGATTTGGTACAGGGTGAATTGGCAGGGTTGGGTGTGACACCATGTCAGGTGACACTCTACGGGCGTAGGGGAGCCGCTACATTCGTACCACTAACCGTGAATGGAGCCATCTATGGCCATTGGCTTAATCTGCCTATGTACTGGCATGTGGCAAGGGAAGACGTTGCTGTGATCGGCTACCATACGGACGATGTAGATTTCTGAGTAGAGGAAGCGTTTGTTTGTTTGTTTTTGTGCTTAGTAAGGGAGGACTTGTGAGATGAATGCTTATATGACAGAGGAGGCCATGATATATGTTTGTCTGTTACTCTGTGAACATATCTTCTTGTCTTGTGTATGCCCTGCAAGCTTTACTCTTGGCAAGCTAGGGCTTTCCTTGTAGCTAGAGCTTTGTGCATACTTCATTCAGAAGCTGAACAACGAGATGACACCTCTTCTTTCGGTCTGTGATTGACTCTGGACCTTTTGCTTCATCTGTATGGTAATCAATTTCTGCAGTTATCTACCTACTTGTGGCCATTTTTCTAAGAGTTCTAGGAATTGGAACATAGCTAGCTAGTTCTTATTGAATTTAGCTCCATTTGCGTTGTCATCGCACATCTGATGATGAGCATCTGCATCACAGTAGGAGCATGAACTGTAACCACCAATTGACTGAAGGAGGATGCGATTTATCGTGTGGTTGTTGTGTCAATTGGCATCATCGCCATTCCAAGCATACGTGTACTCTGTCATATGTTATGATGTACACACAGAGCAAAAGTTTTCCACATTTAGTTTGGCGTATGCTTTCTCTGGCTTAACTCCTCTTTCACTGAGTGGTTTGTCCTTCAGCTTTGAACCGATTTGGAGTATGCTTCCTGCTTTTCCTAACTTGCTGGATGTGGACTCGATATAATGCATAATGACAGATCTTTGGTTAACAAGAAACCAATATAAGTACATAGCTTTGGTCTCCACTAATCATACTTGGATCTCCTAATTCTTGGAACAACTAACATGACTTAACTCTCTGCAACTGCAACTCATCCAAAATGCCCGGATGGACTCAACTGATACAAATATAAACTTATTAGGTACCAAAATCGAAAATAACCAAAACGGCGCAGTTTGGCTTTAACAGCAGCTTATTCGAATTTCGCGCCAACACTGTCCGTTCTCGTCCTTGCTATAGAGTTTATCATATTGTGAATTTATGATTTGAGACCTTGTAGAAAACGAAGCGACGCATCTCTGATATGGCTTCTGATTGTGATTCCAAATGGTGAGATTTTCACCTGTTAATCGTTGCCAATTCTAGGGTTTCAAGCTTGGATATTAATATATTTTTCAGCAATTTTAGCATGCGTCCTTATTTAAGGGACGTGTTCAACTCCTTAAACCTTAGAAATATAGGCAGTCAATAGGTGGTTAATAAGTAGCTAAGGGTAATTATGAGATTAGTGTCATCTTTTAAAATAATAACAGATTTTAGGATTTTTAAAGGGAAGGAATTAAAAAGGGTTTTTAATGGAGCCAATTTTTAGAGGTTTAAATGAGATCAATTAAGGGTTTTTTCCACGATAGCGACATAGCGTAGTAATGACATAAGGTATCGTAAAGAAAATTGAAAAACCATATGCAACAATCAATAAATAGCCAAACTACCGATAAAGGGCATGGTTCGTCAATAATTTCTTATAATGACGTAAAATTACATTATTTATGATTTTACGACATTTATGGTCGACTTATATTATCACTATCAATGTTTATGAAAAAATTATTAATGTTAACCAACATCATTATTATTTACTTATATAATAATTATCATGAACCCTTATGAAGAAATGGTGACTACTTCGGTGCACTCACAAAAATGAGTGCGCTCAATGCACCCAACTCAAAAACTAGTCTTAAGGTGTCGGATTTTGAATTTTAATTTGTAGAATTAGTGTAATATGATGATATAACATATGACAACAACTAATTAGCCGATTACCCTAAGCCCTAGACCTTCAATTTTGATTTCTATCCTAAACCCCAAATTGTAAACCCTAACTCTAACCGTAAATCTCTAAACTATAAATCCTTCAAATTAAAGTAAATCTTTAATGGTTTTTGTGCAAATTCATGTGCGTTATTGTTCATCACATCATAAGTGATGACTGACATCATTTTGACATAAATTGCATGTTTAAAATGACGGTTACGAATTGAGTGCACTGAATGCACCCAACAAAGTGAGTGCACCAAAGACGCTATCATGAAGAAATTATTAATATTATGCAACAGTATTATTAACAATCTGAATACACTTGATTACAACATTTTATAACTACAGTGTTGATTTGGCTTTGTAAATTCCCTTCTGTTTTACATATACTATCTTAGTCCTTAAGTTGGAACTAATTAGCATAAGCAGATAGGGGTCTAGACTCTAAAATCAACCAGGCTGTTCCGGCCCAATGTATACTAGGCTTGTGTATGATCCCTTTGGGTTGGGCTGAGAAACCACGCCGACCCAAGGAAAGGGTCTCAACTCTCAAGCCTGTGTTTTCCCGGGAAAATGGGATTTTTTCTTTGTTTTCATAGCCGAACTAGAGGCTGAACCAGAAAAAGTTAGTGATTTACGGTTGAATGGTTAACCGTTATAAAATTGTTGGTTAACTGTTTATAGAACAGTTCATGATATAAAACATATAAGATTTGTATATTACACTAATTTCATAATGAAGTTATCATTTATCATAAATAATTTCAAATTCATATCATCACCTCTAATAAATCATTCAAACTGTTTCACAAAAGAAATCATAATTTTTTAAATTCATGTTAAAAATTAGCCTGCTAGTCGGTAGTGCACCACATAAAGTCGACAACAAGGTTGGGAAATGAGAAGAAGAAGCATATATCAAATTAATAATTATGGTTTGATGGTCTTAGTTTACATGAAAGTACTTTTTAAAAATTGTGTGATTAAAATAGCAAATCAGTGGACCAGCTAAACCGTTGTGGTTCACTTGGTTTTATATTGAACTGTGAAAAACCGTTTGGTCCTTCAATAACAGTCTAAGCAATGAACCGGATCGCTATATTAACTGGTTTGTCGATTCTACTGGCCCTGGGGTTGCATGAGTATGGGTGTTACAGATATGATACAAAAACAAAAAAAAAACATGAATTATTGAAGAAAAGAAGAAAAGATTATTAAAAGAAGAGAGAGATAACACCATAAATAGATCATTAACTAATTTTTTTTGTTTCTAAAAAAATTATTCATTTTGACAACTTGTGAACTCTCCAAATGTTTATGTGGCAAGAAATTGTTTTTGAACCGTAAGATAAGATAAAATAAAATAAGATTATAGAGGGATTTAACTGTTCTACGTCTAATTTGATTTTCCCAATAAGTCGCAAGTACTATTCTTATACACTCATATTTCTCATTTTTTGTCGTTATTTATGACAAATTCGCCTTGGTTATCCATTTAGGAAATCATTAGAAACAAAAGTCAAATTGCAATTAGCCACCGTTTCCGTGACCAAACTGACCACCGCATTCCTCCATCCCAACCAACCCGAAAATCGCACTTTATTATCACTACAAAACCCGACAGTGATCCATTTTTCCTCCGGCGAGAGCGAGAGAGCAAAATCGAGCTACGGCAAAAATGGCGAGAGACATAGACGATCTGCCAAAACAACCGGCCAATTACACCGCCTTGACTCCGCTTTGGTTCCTGGAAAGAGCCGCCACCGTCCACCCCAACCGAACCGCCGTCGTCCATGGATCGCAGCGCTACACTTGGCTCCACACTTACCGCCGCTGCCGCCGATTGGCCTCCGCACTTTCCCGCCACTCCATCGGCGCCGGCGCCACGGTAACTTCACTAGCTACTTGACAATTTTGTCTTGCATGAACGATCGTGATCTCAAAGTTCAGATACTTTAGTTTAACTGTTTGTCCAATTCGATAACCCTCAAATTTGTCCTGCTCGGTTTGAATTTGATTGCTGTTGTTGTTTCTGGTAGTGATTACTTGTCGTAGCTGACTTCCATGTTAGGGTTAGCGCAAAAGAAATGTAAAAATCTGCTTCAATGGCTTGGCCAGGTTGCGATCATTGCGCCCAACGTACCCGCGATGTACGAGTCCCATTTCGGGGTTCCGATGTCAGGAGCTGTATTGAACACGGTCAACATCCGTCTCAACCCCCAGACCATAGCTTTCCTGCTGGGTCACTCAGAATCAGCAGTCGTGATGGTCGACCAGGAGTTCTTCAAACTAGCCGAGGATGCCTTGAAAATACTCTCCGAGACAAAAACGAGCTACAACCCGCTCTTGATCGTGATAGCTGATCCAAGCTGCGAAGCGAGTTCTCTGAAATATGCTCTGGGGAAAGGGGCGGTGGAGTACGAGGAGTTCTTGGAAAGTGGTGACCCTGAGTTTGCTTGGAAGCCACCGGAGGATGAGTGGCAAAGCATTGCGTTAGGGTATACTTCTGGGACGACGGCGAGCCCCAAGGGGGTCGTGTTGAGCCATAGAGGGGCTTATTTGATGTCGTTGAGTGGGGCGATGATTTGGGGGTTGAATGAAGCTGCTGTGTATTTGTGGACCTTGCCCATGTTTCATTGCAATGGGTGGTGTTATACTTGGTCGCTTGCTGCTCTTTGCGGGACTAACATATGCCTTAGACAGGTAATTCGCTTTGAGCTTTAGAAATTTTGCTACGATTGTTAAAATTCTTGATCTTGCATTTCTAAAGGCCAACCATGTTTCACTAGTTTTTGAGCCTTGGTTATTGTTGTGTTGTGCTTGGGAATTTGTACTTGGTAGTGAATTAGCTAATAGCTTCGCCAATTATTGATATATAGATGCTGCATTTCATATGGTTACCAACCATGTTTCTCTGTTTCGAACCTTGGAAAGTGTTGTCCTGTGTTCAGAATTTTGTAGTTGGTGTGGCTCCACTATTGTAATTTCTTGCTACTGCATTACTTATAACCAACCATCTTTCTACCACTGGAAAAATGCAGTCTTGCAATAGGGGGACCTTCTTGTTGGTACTGAATTTGCTATACCAGCGATTGATTCTAGATGCTGCAGCACTACTAATTGCCAACCATCTTACACTTTTCGACCACTCTGAAATTGCTGTTCCACGCTATGAACTTTGTAGTTGTCATTGAATTTGCTCCACTGAATGATGATCTGGAGGCAACCTTAGTTCTTACCACTGCTTAATTTCAGGCATCTGAGAATATTCCACCTAGTTTACACCTAATGCTTGATGGGAGTTCCCCTTGTGCCTAAAATTCTTGTATGCAGGTGACAGCGAAGGCAGTCTATCAAGCCATAGCCAACCAAGGCGTGACACACTTCTCCGCTGCACCAGTTGTCCTCAACACCATCGTGAACTCTCCAAAGGAAGACGCCATCCATCCTCTACCTCGACTCGTCCATGTCAGCACAGCTGGTGCTGCTCCTCCTCCTTCTGTGCTCTTTGCCATGGCCGAAAGAGGCTTCCGTGTAACCCACACATACGGTCTTTCCGAAACCTATGGCCCATCAACAGTCAACGCATGGAAGCCTGAGTGGGACTCTGAGCCTCCCATAGCTCAAGCGCGCCTCAACGCACGTCAGGGCGTCCGATACATCGGCCTTGAAGGCCTCGACGTCGTGGACCCCAAGACCATGAACCCGGTCCCACCAGATGGCAAAACACTTGGTGAGATCGTGATGCGTGGGAATTTAGTTATGAAGGGTTACTTGAAGAACAAGAAGGCCAACGAGGAAGCGTTTGCCGGAGGTTGGTTCCATTCCGGTGACTTGGGGGTCAAGCATCCAGACAACTACATAGAAATCAAGGACAGGTCAAAGGACGTGATCATATCCGGCGGTGAGAACATAAGTAGTGTCGAGGTTGAGAATGTTTTGTACGGTCACCCGAAGGTGTTTGAGGTTTCTGTGGTGGCGAGAGAGGACGAGAGGTGGGGGGAATCGCCATGTGCTTTCGTGACATTGAAGGAAGGAGTGAAAAAGGAGGATGAAGAACGGTTGGCTGTGGAGATCATCAAGTTCTGTAAGGAGAAGATGCCTGCTTACTGGGTGCCGAAGTCTGTGGTGTTTGGTCCTTTGCCGAAGACCGCCACGGGGAAGATCCAGAAGCATGTGTTGAGAGCTAAAGCCAAAGAGATGGGTCCAGTGAAGAAGAGCAGATTGTGAGGGACCTGAAAGCTGTGGAGACGTTTGATGACAACGACGATAAAAATGAGGTACACAAAACTCTTGAGGCTGCTAAGAGAAATGGTGAAATGTGGATAGAATCGAAGGTGGATATGTAGCCATGGGTGTTAAGCAAGCTTATATTTTATCATAATGGCCATTATGGTCCCAATAAATAACCTTGGCCACTGGCTAGTGGTAGTTTACTAAGCTCAGTTGCGTGGTCTAATCGTGTCGATACAGAGTTTAATGTTGAACGTGATACATCTAAGCGAGTTTGGGCGACCATACCACATCCACATGTATAGAGATACTATACAGTGTCTTATAGTCCTTAGCCTCTAGTCTACTTCTGGCTCCCTTTTCTTGGGTATCATGTTTCTTTGTTTTTTGGTCATTTCTTCTTCTTTCTGTTTTGGAATGTAGAAAGATGGACAAACATGTCCAACTCATGATGTTGGGTATTTCGTTGTGGCTATATCGTCTCTTTGTGGTTCAGACTGCAGAAAGATTTCCAATGCCTGGCGTTGGTTCTTGGATATCACGTTGTGGCCCAGATGATTCCATACTTTCACTTGTCTGGTTGCTTCAGAATCTTTAGGCGTACATCTTACTTCATAGTGTTACCGGCGCCAGAAACCAATTTGCTGCTGTTGAGCAACTTGCTTGTCATTTTCTCTGTGTAACCTTAGTTTCTATATTTGTTTAATACGAAATTATCGTCCGATTAATTGTTAGATTTGCAATTGAATGATCATTATATACGCAAAATGCAAATGCAGGATGATCTCGTATCGTTCGAAAATACGGGATATAGACGAGTTGAACCAACCAAATATATACGATATAAAAAGAATTAAGTCGTGGCTCAGTCAGATTTGGAAGGCGCTTTCCTTTTCTCTTTTTATTTGCCAGAATACGGGAGAGAGTGGAGAGAAAAGTCCTCCTGCTGCGACGGAGAAAGGTATTTTCTCAGACAACAATGGCGCAGAGAGATATAGACGAGCTCCCAAAGCATGAGGCGAACTACACAGCTCTCACCCCGCTCTGGTTCCTGGAAAGAGCCGCCACCATCCATCCCACCAGGCCCGCCGTCGTTCATGGATCCCTCACCTACACCTGGCAGGACACTTACCGGCGATGTCGCAAGCTGGCCTCCGCTCTCTCCGGCCACTCCATCGGCCCTGGTTCCACGGTAACCATAAACTGACTTTCCCCCTCACCACTTCTCTTCAGTATCGCCGAATCTGAGCTTTCCGGTTTCGTACTCTCATATGTGTTTGTGGAAATGCCAAAGTCAAAGACCATTTCAATCTGAAGTTGATTCTGTTTACTTGGGCGTTTTGGGGTTTATGGAAATTTGGAGGGAAGAGTTGCTAGCTTAAAAGATTCAAGCTTTGATTGAGAACTGTTAAGATTAGGCAAACTAGGCATCTGGGTTGAAGTATGGCATCGTTCATTCAAATCATAGGAACTCGAATTAGAGTTCAAAAGGGGATTGTTTGGATGTTGGATATGTGAGGAGAAAGGTGATTTCCTTCTTATGTTTCTGATGTTGGTTTATGAATCTTGAGGTTTATGAGATTTGTAGAGATAGCTGAAAGATTCAGGATTTGATTAAGATTTGTTGAAATTGGTCAAACCATGCATCTGGATTGAAGTATTGTTCAATGGTTGCTGGGAACTTTGATATGTAGCTTTGCTGGTTTTCTCTGCAATTGATGATTGCAGGTTGCGATAATAGCACCGAACATTCCAGCAATGTACGAAGCCCATTTCGCAGTCCCAATGACAGGAGCTGTGGTGAACTGTGTCAACATCCGTCTCAATGCATCCACCATCGCTTTCCTATTAAGCCACTCTCAATCAGCCATAGTGATGGTCGACCAGGAGTTCTTCACTCTAGCCCAGGACTCCTTGAAAATTCTGTCCCAGACCAACCCCAACTTCACACCTCCCCTGCTGATCGTCATAGCTGACGATGGCTGTGACCCGAGCTCTCTAGACCGAGCTCTGGCAGCAGGAGCGATCGAGTACGAGTCCTTCTTGGTAGCTGGTGATCCTGAGTATGCTTGGAAGCCGCCAGCTGATGAGTGGCAGAGCATTGCCTTAGGTTATACCTCTGGCACAACGGCGAACCCCAAGGGAGTCGTGTTGAGCCATAGAGGGGCTTATCTCATGTCGTTGAGCGGCCCTATGAATTGGGGTATGAATGAAGGATCGGTCTACCTTTGGACTTTGCCTATGTTTCATTGCAACGGCTGGTGCTTCACTTGGGGGGTTGCTGCTCTTTGTGGCACCAACATCTGCCTTCGACAGGTAAAGCTACTCAACAATGGCTTCACAAAACTTAGGATATTCACCTAATTTATCAAAGTGAATGTCTCTTATCAATCTTCACCCTCTTTGCTTGAACAGGTGACAGCCAAGGCAGTATACTTAGCCATAGCAAACAAAGGCGTCACACACTTTTGCGCTGCACCAGTAGTTCTAAACACCATAGTCAATGCCCCAAAGCATGACACTGTCCTCCCCTTGCCTCGAACGGTACAGGTCATGACAGCAGGCGCGGCCCCTCCTCCCTCGATCCTCTTCGCCATGACCGAGAAGGGCTTCAAAGTCACACACACATACGGCCTCTCAGAGACCTACGGTCCATCCACGATCTGTGCCTGGAAGCCCGAATGGGACAACCTCCCTCCCATCACCCAAGCTCGTCTCAACGCTCGCCAGGGTGTCCGCTACATCGGCCTGGAAGGCCTCGACGTCGTGGACCCCAAGACCATGAACGCCGTCCCACCCGACGGAGCCACGTTGGGGGAGATAGTGATGAGAGGGAATGGAGTGATGAAAGGTTACCTGAAGAACAAGAAGGCCAACGAGGAGGCGTTCGCGGGAGGGTGGTTTCACTCGGGTGACTTGGGGGTCAAGCATCCCGATGGGTACATCGAGATCAAGGACAGGGCTAAAGACATTATCATCTCCGGCGGGGAGAACATCAGTAGCTTGGAAGTGGAGAGCGTGATGTATACCCATCCGAAGGTCTACGAGGTCTCGGTCGTGGCCAGGCCCGACGATCGGTGGGGGGAATCGCCCTGCGCGTTCGTTACGTTGAAGGATGGTGTGGGAACAGGAGGTATGGAGGAAGAGATTGTGAGGTTCTGCAGGGAGAAGATGCCTGCTTATTGGGTTCCCAAGTCTGTTATCTTTGGACCTTTGCCGAAGACTGCTACAGGGAAGATACAGAAGCATGTTCTTAGAGCTAAAGCTAAAGAAATGGGATCCGTGAAGGCGAGCAAGTTGTGACAGGATTGGGGAAGAGGTATGTGTATTTGTGTAATGTATGTACAGGAGCTGCTTTAGCAGGATTTTCATGAAGACTTGCTGCCATTGATTCAGCTGTGATAGAGAAATAAGGCTACCCTTTTCGTGTCTATGTTGTTGTACTTTCTGGGTTAATTGGCCAAGCTGCCACATGACTCACTAAGATTGGCGGGGCGGTTATGGGTTTGAGTATGGGTTGGTTTTAGGTAGAACATTTAAATTTATCTATGTTCATCTTATTGTGCTTCTTCCGAGCTTCTATGTAGGTATATACAGTACCTAACACGCTGTTAAACCGGCAAAACATGGATGATAGTCAGGCTAACGTTTAGTACTATTAAACGTAAGAATAGCATAGAGAAGAAGTAACATATCCGTACGTGTTTTATACGTAACTTTTCTGTACCGTATTTTACTAGCTATGGCTGTAATCGGCTATCAGATTGATCCAAGCATTTGTAATTGGGCCGGTTGTAGACAAGCCCAACTGCTTTGACAATTAGACGTCTCAGTTGGGCGGAATATATAACTTGGGCCGACTCATAGGTTATAAATAACATAAGGCTTGATCCAGGGTATTTTCAATTTGATAAGGTAATTAAGAGAGGGGAAACTATTTGGCAATATATGAGATTGAACAGATAAAAGAATGAATTATTGATAAATCAACCGTGTTTTAGTAGGGTGTGTTTGGACTTTGTAATAAGTACAAATTTAAATTATTTACTTCTAAAATAAATGTAATTCAAATTGATAGTTTGGATATTCATTTGCAAGTTTTTGGTATTTTCGATTTTATGGCATTTCCATCAATTTCGAGCTTTCCGACCACACATTACAATAGTCGGAAAATTACATATAGGACTATATTTATTTTTCTTACCATTTATTGCCAAAAAATTATTTTTGCACAAACATGTCCATAAATTTTGGCTTGCATAGTGGTACATGTACTTCTAAAATTTTACAAACATGTCATATCTATTGATGTGAGAATTTAAAATCACCTGTTGTTGATGTGTATTTTAAATTCACAAGTTATATACTGAATATGTATTTGAAATTCATCTCATATATTTTTTACAAATCCAATGGCATATATTATTAGTTAATCTAAATTCCAAATCACCGGAAGTTGAATTCCAAATCTCAAATGCTAGATCTAAATTCTACTATCCAGACGACCGGAAATCAAAAGGTTTATATATAATGAATCAACTTCCATAATTATTTAATACTAACACTTAATTTCTATACAATTTTATGCCAAATCACATAATATTGCTCATATTTGATTGAATACGAATGTGGCTAAAATCAATCAAAATCTCATTCGATAATCCGGAGCAAATCAAATTCTTAATATACAGTATCTTTTTTCTAGTTTAAATGTCTGTTTGGTCCCATGCGAGCTGAATTATTATCCATATCTTCAACTGCAAACACAGAAAAAAATGCTAACTAGATAATGTGAAAGTGTGATTGAACACTTGGCAATTCTTATCTAATCTAATTTAAGAACCACTGGATCCATGGATATATACTGTTTTTTTTTTTTTTTTTTAAGGATGAGAATATTACAATGTTACATCCACAAAAACACACGTCTTCATCATTATCAGCCGTTATATATATAATTTATTAATAATAATTGACGGGCTTTTTATTATATGATGTAGTTCCCATACGAGCAAAACAAAGCGATGGAAGAATCTAAAAAAAAAAATCTGGGAAAATACTAGAGGAAATAGGAAAAAAAAGTGCGTTATCCATTAATAGAGATTTTGAGATATACGTTTCATGAGTCATGACCATGCACGACCCTTCTTTATTGAAATGAAATGCTCCTTCCTTTTTGATTCCTTGACAGATAAGAATGGCGATTTTGTGTTGATTCATGATAGACATATATAAGAGGAAGGAAGCTGCAATCGCGGATTGGATCAGGAAATGTGGGCCCATGTTATTTATTGATCCAGTTAGGCCAAGTTGGGCCTGTCTCTCTTGCCCACATCATCAATCATTCTCCCAATTCTTCACCAATTTGTTGTTTTTAAATAATAGATCCAACACATGGAGACCTTTTTTTTCGATAAAAAAATAAAATTATACGTGAATGTGAAATGTGTTCGCCAAATCACATATCGATAGAGTACGAGAAAATTTATGGTCTATAAGGAACATGAAGATTTAACTTACAAGACGTGTTTTTGGAGTGAAATGGAAAAGTTCTTATAGCTTTTAAGAATTTCGAGCCACCATGTTGCATCCCAAAAGTAAAATCGTGTAATGCGTAAGGCCAAAGCCGTCAATAAATTCATAGAAAAAGGTTGGGACGTTATGTACAGTGTTGGTGAGAAATCCTTCTAATTTCAACAAAAATAGGATCCAAAAGGGCGCTCTAAAATTGTATTCATCTTCAACTACAACTCGATCATGTTAACAGGGACTTATAAATGCTAATAAGAATGAATTAGGATATGGTCTATCAGTACCGTGACATTAGAGTATTTTTTTACACCGTTAAAATGATTAGTTCTTCATCTAAAAGACTGAGCTAGTGATACCGAGTAACGTTTACCGTGGATCTTCAATCTTGAGATCTAGTGATTTTAATCGTTTAAGTAGCACATAACAATAGTAACATATTTATGTCACTCTCATAAGAAAAGCAAAAAAAAAAAAAAAGTTTATCGCACCATAAATTTCGAAACCGGGTTAACAATCATCTATCATTATTCCTACATGAAAAGAACGAGGGATTGGTCTACTGGTATTTACTAATCAACATGAATATCTCATATTTGAATTCCTAGGTATACAACATGTAACAATAATAACAAATTACGTTTCGAAATCATATTAAGAATCGTCTATTCTTTTTTCGTTTTCAAATACCATTGATTCTCGTCGCCGTGGAAAAAAGATCCATCATCAGTAATTGCACCCACAAGAGGATAACAATCGAGTTTGAGATAACAGGATAGGGTTTGCAACAAAGTTATGATAATCAAAGCGGGTAAAGTCACAATTACATTAAAATATGTTCATACACATTCTTGTTACGTAACCATAAAAAGGCGAAACAGAGTTAACGGTTTGAAAATGCAACAAACTAACAACGTCAGTGGGTCATATGAATGGGTCACGTTGCTTGTCTAATCACATTTCCTTGTTGTCCAACATCATCACGATCAAGCTCCTCCAAACGTTGTCGTTTTATGCGATGCAGAATGAAAGGAGGGTTTGGGATAGGGCAGAAGTGGATCAAATGGCGACTTTCTGGATATATATTTGGTTGGCAAAGTCCTCAAGGAGACGCAAACTTTCAATTTCATTGACACATTTGGTTTGCCTTTCTTTATTTCCCCACATAATTCGTTGATGTCAATGTCTAGCTAATTGAGGTTGAAGATGACTCGTCATGGAGTTCTGAAACTAATGATCGAGGTTAATCTAACTATTGAGATGTTTTGAATATGTGTCTGAGTGTCTGGTTTTTGATGATTGATTAGTAGTACGAGGGTTTCGTGTAAGATTAATGATAAACTAGAGTAAAATATAAGACACAAGAATTACATGCTTTCCTGACTTTTCATTAGTGACAACTGATTCCAGTGTTTATGTATAATCATAATTCTTCTGTATAGCTAGGGTTATACATAGGCATGGAAAAAAGAGCCCAAACCCCTTACACGGATACAACTTCATATCTCTTTCATGTTTTTTTCTTCTCGCTTTGAGTTCGAGTTTTTTCGATTTAGGTTAAGAGAATGGCTCTATATAAAATTGTCTTCAAAGTTTTAAGTCCTCTATATTTCATAATGTTTAGTGGTGGTTAAACACTTAAACTTTACATAAGAAAAGGGAATTAGTTTCGTGGTTAAAGTGTCATCATCGATTCATCATCGTTAATTGCCTTCTGGTGACCGATAATTGTTAGGGGATGTGTCGAGGCATTTTGCTAAATACAAATGAAACGTTAATTTGATAGAATAGTGCTACGTACCTTAGCTTTCTTGTGTCCATATATATCCATAACTTAATGTGATGATTAAGCCCTAATTGTTCGTTCAATGAGACAAATGAAAAGTCGGTTTCCAAACCTTCTTGGTTGACACGGAACAGCCAATACAATAACCCTAAGGCTAATCCAATTATATAGCTAGGTGCCAAAAGATATATGAAAAAAACCCAAGCAATAATTCTGGATATTGGGCAATGCACGAAAATGATATTTTGCTCTTCTAGACCAAGACACGAATGAACTTAACCAGAAAGTGATCACTTCGATTTGTCTTCCGACCATAAGTAACTTTGATAAATCAATTCCTATGCAATTTAGTGAAGGTCAATTGGAAAAATCTCCATTGGACAATGCATGTACGTTGCTTCCTAGTTCGAACAAACAAAAGGAAGCTAGAGAGGCCTTAAGCCTGGGGACTATGTGTACAGGATCTGTTATATACGAATAACGGAGATCGACTCGTTATATTATGGATACGCAAAAAAGCATTAATGATTCTTTCTCTGCAACTTAATCTAGAAATAGAAGATAATTATATCAGTTTAAAAGTAGAGGGAGAAATTGTCTCCGTTTTCAGAACCGGACCGGAGGCTGAAGAGGAAAAGTTAGTGGTTTAAGGGTTCGCCGGTTAACCGTTACAAAACCGTTGGTGAACCGTTGATAGAACCGTTAATGATATACAACATATAAGACTTGTATATTACACTAATTTAAGAATGAAATTATCACTGACCATAAACAAGTTCAAATTCATATCATCACGAAAATATCTAATAAATCATTCCAACCATCTCACAAAAGAAACCACATTTTTTTAATTCAAATTAAATATTACGGTTCTAGTTGGTAGTAGACAATGTAAAATCGACAATAAGGTTGAGGAAGCATATATAAAATTAATAATTATGATTTGATGGTCTTAGTTTATGTTAAAATATTTTTTTTTGTTAAAATAGTGAACCAATGGATCAGCTAAACCGTGTCGGTCCATCTGATTTTATGTTGAATCGTGAAAACCCGTTTGGTCCATCAATAACCGTTCAAACAATGAACCAAACCGCTATCGTAATTGGGTTGACGGTTCTACTGACCCGACCGTTGATCCGGTTCGGTTCTTATAACAAGGGAAATTGTAATGTTTCTTGCTCGGTATATAAGAGGTGATTTACTATGTGCAATATTTTTGTTTGTACCATGCTCCGTCTACCTTGTCAGAGTAGGGTGGTGCTAAGGGCAGTAAGTCTGGCCCTAGGTACCTACTCATTCGGCCTGATCCGACTTTGCTCGTCAGATTGAGGTCAGTTTAGGGTTGAGTCATATTTTGGCACTGTAAGGATCGATTTACTTTTTGGTCCTATGACACATAACAATAACTAGTGATTTGAAAATTTTCATATCAACATATTGATTATGTATGTGCAGTTCTAAAACCTCAGGTACTATAGTGCAATGCAAAAATGTAAAAGTACTAAATCATAATTCATCACCAAAATTTATGGACCTATTTAAAAAAAATTAAAGTTTAGGTACCAAATTGCCAGAAAAAATAAATTTGTGTAACAAAATATAACTTCCAAAAAATAAGTTTGCTAATTGATTTGATCCAACCCGCTGGATGCGTCTCACCCGAGAGGGTCAGACTGGGTCAAGGATGAAATAAGAGAAGGGCAGGCATCCCAGTTTTATAAAACTGACCCTATATGAGCCGGATCAGACATAGTATTAGGACGAATCTAACCAATTTCAGCCCCTAGTTGGTGCTATTCGACAATTCGATTATTTTGATGTTCATTCCACGTGAATCAAATTAGATTTAAACTAATAACTGCACTACAAAGTTCTTATAACATAGCTTAGCTTCATCGAATAATTCAGGGTGAAATGAAATTAGGCTGTTTGGTGGGCTAACATAGCTAGTTGGCCAGTTGTAACAATTGATGGGTTGGTTGTTTTGGAGGTGTCACGTGGTGGAATGATGATCATGAGAAAACCTAGCCTTAGGCGCTAGCGTAAAGCACACTACAAAGAGTTTCAGTTGCAAAGCTACAAACGGCCCAGTTGGGGAAAGCAGTTGGGACGAGGAAGGAAAAGATGTGTTTGTTACAAATTAAGGTACCAAATTTCAATTCCCCACATCATGATGATGATAATGTCAACAATGTCTTTTAATGTTTCTGTTAATAATATCAGCAATATTTCAACGATCATCCATTGGAGAGCACAGTTTGGTCATTTGGGCAAAGCAGGCTTTGGACCAAGCAAGAAATCTGTTTTCTTCAACCGTATGGCAAGAGAACTCGAACTAGTTTTGTACAAAGGTGTGATGAAACAAATTCAATAAGATATTAAGAGGTTTATTACACCGCACAATTGTCGACTCGAATAGGAATAAGAGATGTAGCAGGCTAGCTGTTTCATAAAAATGTAAAAATGAGGTTTTATAGTCGTATTAGATATTATGGACATGGAGTATTAGAAACTCAAAGTACAACTTGCGCGCTCCTCTGATCCCTTTGATAACAATCTTGTCGGCTTGGTTTGCTCCACATGCATTTTACAGTTTTCTTCCAATATACTTGTTTATCTAAGTGTATGAGAATGAGAATGTGAAAAGACCTTAATTTTTTTTATTTTTTATTTTTGCAATGGGCAGGAAATTGTTGCAACAATTGATTAATTTCCATGGTACTATGATGGTTTTATCTAATAAGATCAAATGGTGTATGGCATGAAAAGTAATAATTATCTATCTGAAGAACAAAGAAGATCTTATGTGCAACTAGCTCATGGAACTTTTTATTTAATTGAGATTCCTTTTGGTTATGGTGTAACATCAGAAGTTTGGTAACAAAGTCCCTCCAAATTAATTGGGCTTCATTGATTGATTTCTTGAAGCAATAATTAAATCCCCCCCTTATGGTAGTTAGATGATGCTAAAAACAAGAGCATCATTAGACTACGGGGAAATTTTTTCCCCTTTGGATGTGGTGGATTATACTAGTCATACATATAATTATAATCCACACTCCAAGTAATTAAAAAAATGGATTAAGAATGAACATATCTTATGCTTTAAGAGAATCGTTTTATGGCTTAATGATTGCATGCAGACACGGTTTGGAATTTGGATTACCTCCCCCAACCATACTCTAGGTAGTCCAATGATTCATTAATGAATGATCCAGTCTCCAAAAGTATTGTGTGCTAAGTAAAACATATTAATGTTAGTTTAATTTTTGTTTTTGTTTTTTTTTTTTTGCATGACAAGGGAAATTCGTTAAAGATAGCAAATTTCAGCCCTTTTGAATACTCGAACAAACTCATTCATAAGAGCAATTTAGTCGTGCCCACAATTCTGTCGGTGACCACCAAAGGATAACACAAAAATAGCAGCCTTAGACGCTTGAATCCAGGACCTCTTGAACCCAAATCGGCAACTCTTCCATCTCCACCACCCCCTTGCCCACTTGGTGGTTTCTAGTTTCATTAACCTGGATGAGAACGAGCACAATCGACTAGAGTTTTTTCTTTTTTTCCTGATTCGATAAGTAATTAATGAATATGACCTGAAATTCGATAAGTCAGTTAGTGAATAACTTATTATTGGTTAGTTTTGATACATTTGTAAATGTGTGTTAAGTTTATGGATTCAAGAACAATGCATGTACTGATCAGTCACAAGATCAACGACCAAGAAAAACAGAGCAACAGACTGAAGCATGACAGTAAAAAAAACAATAGGACAATTTTATTTTCACAGACCAGTGATAGTCACGAGATCACCCACATCGTTCCTTTTTACTGTTTTCATTTGACATCACGAGTGTAGAGAGCAGAGAAGTGATTAAATCATTAAAGTATTTCACTGCCAACAGAGCCCTAACGATTCATTGGAAAATTAAACACACTAATGGCCAAACGCCTCCATGCAACATATGATCAGTCAGGACTCAGGAGCAGCAGACCATTTATACATAGCCAAATGTAATGCTTCATTGCTTTGGATTCAGATTATATATGTTGCTGATCAGTCAGAAATTTTGACCCGACTTCCCACTTTCCATCCCCAGTTTGTTATTGTTGGTTTAGCAGCAACCAAAGTTAAAAGAACTATTACGCTTTGTTATCGTTCCAATTTTATCGAATATCTTTGAAGATACGATACAGTGGTAAAGAACTCTTCTATGTTACTAAATATTTTGTTTATACTTCGTTGGCATCCACTCGTTTTGTGCTTGCGGGCGTAGAGTGAGTTTCACGAATTTGGTGTCTCTAGAGACACTGTAATGATGAAGTTATGAGGGTTTAATGGTTGAGGTGAGTAACTGAGTATAGGTATAGACTGACTTGATAGAAGTACTGAGTACCTCTATTAGGCTTTCTTTAATAGTACATTGTTGTTAATAATGCAGTAAGTTATTGGTTAGACATAGTGGTTTTCATTGACCTTATCTCCAAAGAATTTCTAACGAAGTAGAAAATGCAACATACAATAATTTTACATGGTATCCCCAATTGATCATAACTAATTCAAGGGAGAGGTTGTAGCCTCTCGTCTTATTCTCTTATTGATTGTATGTTTGGTTAACCGTGGCTGAACTAGCCTTTCAAGGGATATCTATACCCTTCAACGAGACTACCGTGGCATTACAAGAAACACGAGGGTTCCGTATGGACTCGAACAAAGGAAACTCCTTAGCCGCATATAGCCAACCACGTGAGCAGAAGCAACATACTGGACTCGACTTCAACCAGATTGGTCACGGAGTCGAACAGCTCGATCAAATGCAAAAAACGAGCATGGCCAGTACACAGTGGTACTCTCCGTGATCAGCACATAAAAATACGATGTTTGATCTTCAACGTTCGAGATATGAAATTACACACGTTTTCGACCATTATCGATAAACCAAAAGATCAGGAATGTGAAAACGGAATGATTCGTCCGTCCCACAAGCATATGAGAAATGTACAATTTTTAGAAGTTAAAAAGCAAAAACGAAGTCATATTGGATGAATTCATGACAATCCGCCCCCAACCCGTCCACCGCCATCTTGCTACCATACAATGAGAGACATTTAAAGATGGGGAGAAAAAAAAAGTAATTACCATGTGGTTTTAATTATTTTTTCATTTATTTATGGTATGGCAGGTCACATATATATAATTATAGCTATGCATAGATGTGGCTTTTGGTAGGCATACTTGAAATGAACAAAATGTACAAAAACTGAAGAGTGTCTGAGTGGGGATAACGTGAGTGATGGGAGGGAAGGAGGGAGAGATATCAATCAAACCAAGCCAGCTGAGAAAGAAAATAAAAGAAAAAGAATACCCAGATTCTGTGGTCCGTGACTCCATCACTCACTCTCTTCTCTACACTGGATTTTAATTTCTTCGTAACCCGGCCAAATGGGCTGGCCGGTTTATTATAATTAAACCCATAATTAACATACATATTCTAATAATCATCACTTTTCCATCATTCATTTGTCTACACAATCGTGATTGGGTATGGGACAGTATTGCCAATTTTTTTTTTCTCTTTTTGGGTTTAGATTATCAACATGGAGCTTAGAAAACCAAACTCTGGTGAGCAAGATTCCATGAACCACCACAAAACTAAATTTCTCAAACGGTAGAGATCACGAAATAAGAATGAACATCATAGAAAAGAAAAATGATCAAACTGATATTGAGAGGTGGTTAATGAACAAACTCTAGTTGAAGAACATGATCAAACTGATACTGAGACCACGAAATAAGAATGAACATTATAAGAAAAAGCGGTTAATTAACTATCAAACTCTAGTTGAAGAATATGATCAAACTGATATTAAGACTATTCGAAAAAATTAGGAGGAGGATATATATACACGTATATCCCAACTCACAGTCCAACAAAAAAAAATCATATTCGAGTGGATCAATCTTATTTCGTCCACATAAGTTATAATTTTCTGTCTTCCCGACGATCTAATAAACCGTAAATTGAATTCACACTAAACAAGTTTATGCCGGCGTATCAAATGTAAAAAAGCCTCTTTGATTATTATTGTTGCCACATCCTCCATCAAACATTTATTTCATCCCCTCCAGATCTTACCTTGATGAAACAGATACCAACAGTTATGTCATCCACTCATCAATAGCTACGATTAGAAAGTGCCATCTGCGTGCTCTACTAACCAATCTCCACAAAAACACACTCTCTCTCTCTCTCTCACTCACTTGTCCATTTTAGTGAGAGAAACCTTCATGGCTAACAATACTGACGTGGAAACCCCATCATCAAATCCTCCCCAAAAAAAGAAAAAACACATAATAATAATAATAATAAATAAATAAATTCATTCCTCAGGAAATTCTCTCTTTTACTGGCTGGCTCACTCTCTCTCCCTATATAAACCCACCCAGCCAAAACCCAACCCATTCACCACCCTTTTTCTTCCCCTTTTCCTCCAAAACGACACCCCACAACATGGCTCGCAGGAGCGAAACGACACTACCCGCATCCCTCCTCCTCCTCTCCCTCCTCCTCCTCCTCTCCTCGGTGTCGGGTCGGGCCCCGTTCGCCTGCGACCCGAAGAACCCGGCGACGAGGGGCTACAAGTTCTGCCGGGTCCGGGTCCCGCTCCACGTCCGGGTCAGGGACCTCATCGGCCGGCTCACCCTGCAGGAAAAAATCCGGCTGCTGGTCAACAATGCCGCCGCGGTCCCGAGGCTCGGCATCCAAGGATACGAGTGGTGGTCGGAGGCCCTCCACGGCGTCTCCAACGTCGGCCCGGGGACCAAGTTCGGCGACGGCTTCCTCGGCGCCACCATGTTCCCACAGGTCATCACCACCGCCGCTTCCTTCAACCAGTCCCTCTGGCAGCAAATCGGCCAGGTACGGTTGTTGTTGTTAACCCACATTTACAAGGATTGATGTTGCCCGTTCATCGTTTTTTCGTATTAACAATCTAACAATGTCAGTACGTGCTGTTTATTTTCTATGTCGCTACATAATTAGTTTTTCAATATTTGTTTTAACTTAACATGGAATTGTGTTTTTAGTAACCCCTAATTAATAATTTAATTTTTGGGATCATATGGATACTTTTTTTCTTTTCTTCTGGCGCCTGCAAAGGTATGGGCCGAGAAAGTTGGTGGGCCTGTGGGGAAGGGGGAAGAAAGCTTTGCTTTAAAAACAAGAGAGTCAAAACAATTTTTTTTTTTACCTTTTTAATCCACAAAACCCTTTTTCGCCCATACTTCTGCTTGCATCCACTATGCTACTAAAAGAATTACAGTTTCCCTCTTTTTTTTACCATATATCTTTAACTTCACTCCTAATAATTGACCAATTCACTCCCACGATGTGTTTTTTTGGTTGGAATCATAAGGGATGTCTTTTTGTACTTGTTTGCAGGCAAGTGTGCAATTGTCGCATTCCCCATTTCTACACTATAAAACAATAACAATGCGTAGGTCTATATATAATATATTGGTAATGACCCGCGAAGAGATTTTGCTATTGTGCTCACATCACATGTCATATTGTGAGAACGTGTTCATAAGTGCGTCCGATACGGTTGGATTGTGGGCGAGCAATCCATCGATATAGAGCGTTTGTGATTGTGAACACCAGAGTTCTAAAATTTTAATTGAGGGCAGTTATAAAGTACTGGATCATTTATGGCAATAGTAATTTCATGGTATGAAAGCATGTATCATTAAGAGCTTGAAGTAATGGTTTGGTAGTAGCTTAGCTTAGATTAGGTGTTTTGATTTGATTACTACAACAACCTACGACCAATTTTGCGTAACCCAATTGTGTTACGGATCCATGCATTTTTAATTAGGGTGTCCCTATCGATTTGACACTTGCTTTATTCCAAAGTTTCTTTCATTTTTTTTTTACTTGTTACAAGGATGGACACGTTTGAAAATTTGTATGTGTTGTGTCGTTTGATTTTCATCCATTTGTGTATGTCTAACATCGATCAATCATCGTCAGTCAATTGGGAAGATGGATATCAGCTATAGATGAGATATTTCAAAAATTTTTTTTAATTTTTTGGATAGGGGGATAAATTTTGGTGGGTACGATTACTGACCGAAGGTGACTAATATGGTGCTTTTTTTATGTGGATGTATGATAGGTGGTGTCGGATGAGGCGAGAGCAATGTACAACGGCGGGTCGGCGGGGTTGACGTTCTGGAGCCCGAACGTGAACATATTTCGTGACCCGAGATGGGGCAGAGGCCAGGAAACCCCCGGCGAGGACCCGTTTCTCGCAGGGAAGTACGCTGCCAGCTACGTTAAGGGCCTCCAGGGCACGTCGGGGAACAGGCTGAAGGTCGCCGCGTGTTGCAAGCACTACACGGCGTACGATCTCGACAATTGGAACGGTGTGGACCGGTACCATTTCAATGCAAAGGTAATAACAATAAGAACGAGAGAAAGGGAGAAAAAAAAACAGCCCCTTGTGATTTGATCCAAAAATACACCTAAGTGTATCATGCATACAACCTCCACATATATGAAAAGGGAAAGGCATAAGTGAAATTTGCTTGCACGAAATTGCTAGGTGATGTTTCTCTTTTCTTCCTAACTGTATTGATTTAGACATTATGAGATAGGGAAGAGAGCTTAGAACATGGAACCCACTTGACGTGGCAGAATATTGTGCTGGTGGTGCAATCCCAATTTTGCTTCATTGGAATGATTCGTTATCTTCAAATGAAAAGCTAATTTGTCGGGACACATCAAATGAAAAATTCCTTTCAATATTTTAGGGATTTTGGCATCTAATTTCTTGAAATATTTTTTATTTCAATCCTAATTATATCGTTCATTTGATTGGTCAAATTAATCATAGGTGAGCAAGCAAGATTTGAAAGACACATACGACGTGCCGTTTAAGTCGTGTGTGGTGGAAGGAAATGTCGCTAGCGTGATGTGTTCGTACAATCAAGTGAATGGCAAGCCCACTTGTGCCGATCCTGACCTTCTCAAGGGTACCATTCGAGGCCAGTGGCGTCTCAACGGGTAAGAAACTTCGTTTTAGTAATGATCGAATTTCTTGTAACCGCATTTACCGCATTTCTAATTTTGAATTTTTGGTTCGATTTCGTTTTAAAACGACAGGTACATAGTGTCGGATTGTGACTCGGTCGGAGTTCTCTACGACAACCAACACTACACCAAAACACCCGAAGAAGCCGCTGCAGCCACCATAAAAGCAGGCCTGGACTTGGACTGCGGCCCGTTTCTCGCTGTCCACACGGAGAGCGCCGTCAAGGGCGGGCTTCTTGTTGAGGAAGACGTCAACATGGCGCTGGCCAACACTTTGACGGTCCAGATGAGATTGGGCATGTTCGACGGGGAGCCCTCGGCCCAGCCTTTTGGTAACTTGGGCCCAAGAGATGTTTGCAGTGCGTCCAACAACCAGCTCGCACTCGACGCAGCCCGACAAGGCATGGTCTTGCTTCAGAACCGCCTCGGGGCCCTCCCACTCTCCGTGGCCCGTCACCGCACTATCGCCGTCATCGGACCAAACTCCGACGTCACCGTCACCATGATCGGAAACTATGCCGGTGAGTATTCCTTTTATTTTCCCCCCCAAAAAGTATGTCTCAATTACTATCAGATTACACATTAATAATTACGCAACGGTTTTCCAGGCGTCGCTTGCGGTTACACGACTCCACTCCAGGGAATCGCCCGTTACTCCAGGACCCTTCACGAAAACGCCTGCGCCGACGTGTCCTGCGGCAGCGCCCAGCGATTCGGCGCGGCGGAGGCCATCGCCCGCCAGGCGGACGCGACGGTTCTGGTAATGGGCCTGGACCAGTCCATCGAGGCCGAATTCAGGGACAGGGCCGGGCTGCTACTGCCAGGTCATCAACAGGAGCTCATCTCCAGAGTGGCCCGAGTATCCAAAGGCCCAACCATACTGGTCCTCATGAGCGGAAGCCCAATCGACGTCACCTTCGCCAAGAACGACCCGCGCATCAGCGCAATCGTATGGGCCGGGTACCCGGGCCAGAACGGCGGGACCGCCATCGCTGACGTCATCTTCGGGCAGACCAATCCACGTAAGCTTTCCCCTTTCCACCATCTGTTTGACCTCCACGTCGTCGTTTAAGAAGCTGAGTCAACGGATCCCTTCTGTTTTTTGATTGGTCCAGATGGGAAGCTGCCGATGACGTGGTACCCACAAGACTACCTCGCCAAGGTGCCAATGACGGACATGGGCATGAGACCCGACCCGGCGAGAGGCTACCCGGGTCGGACCTACCGGTTCTACAAGGGACCCGTGGTGTTCCCGTTCGGGTTCGGGCTGTCCTACACCAAATTCGCCACGTCACTGTCCGAGCTGGCACCGAGAAAAGTCAACGTGCCCTTTTCCACCCTCACTACTCTGCAACAAAACACCACTTCCTCTTCTTCTTCTTCTCCTCCTCCTTTGTTGGGTTCTTCTCAGGCGATTCGGACGATCCACTCCGACTGCGAGAGCGACGCGATGTCGTTGGACCTCGACGTCGACGTGCACAACGCGGGCGGCGTGGACGGGACCCACACGATGCTGGTGTTCTCGAGCCCGCCGAAACAGGGTGGGGAGTGGTCGATGGAGAAGCAGCTGATCGGGTTCGAGAAGGTGGATCTGGCGGCCGGGTCGAGGAAGCGGGTTCGGGTCAACGTTCGGGTTTGTAAGCATTTGAGCGTGGTGGATCGGAATGGGATCCGAAGGATCCCGTTTGGGCAGCATCATGTTCATATTGGAGAGCTCAAGCATCCAATTTCAGTCCAGTTGAGCAAACTTGGAGTGAATTAAAATTGATGAAGGTTAAGTTCAAGATTTGATTTTTATTCCTTGGCAAATGTAAGATATAGAAGGAAGAAGGGATTGGAGACAGAAACAAGGTAAACAAGATTATTAGAATACAAGTAAAAGGAATTGGTGAAAGAAAATGGGGAGACAGAATAAGAGAGTCTAGGTAAGCTGCCAGCTTTGTTTATTAAAGGATTCCTCTGCTGGTTGCAGTTTCTTGTTACATAGGAATGCAACTGTGGATAGAATTGAAGCTTGTTTTGTTATTTGGTTTTTTACTTTTTACTTTTTTACCCTGAAGTATTGTTGCCTCAAGAAATCCGAGGCTCTATTAATGGACTGTGTATTAGTTTGAAGTGTCTGGTTTTAATTTTTTACTGCAGCTTTTTTCACTTCAGATTCCTAGCCAGTTGCAGAGAGCAACCCCAACATGCTGCGACATAACAAATTATGCGCATGTTGAACATTGTTGCCCTAGTTGTCGTTTGGTTTTACATGAGATTCCTCTTTTGTTCTTTCCCCCAATAAAGATCTTACTATTCCACCAACTTGTTTTAAGGATCTTTGTGTAAGGTGCGAAATTGACCACAGGGCATATACCTAAGGAATGATTAAATTCATGCTCGAAATTCTTTCAAAAATTGGAGTTATTGATTATTGAGATTGACGCGGATACATCACATGTCTTTGTACTTTTATCGAAACATGATGGATCAATTAAGAGACTATATGTTAGAACTATTTTCTTATTGGTTAGTGTTAAATAACTAATTAATAATTTTCATTAAAGTGCAAGAGTCTTGTAAAACTGTTATTTCATTCCTCATTGAATACAAACTGTATTGTTTTTTTCTCCCAGCACCTAGGCACGCTTAGGAGACGTGTAAACACGTTTAGATGACACCTATATATGCCTAAGCGTAGTGATGGCTAGGTGAACCAGACGCTAGACAACACCCCCCCAATGTGCGCCTTACGCGTAATCCGCCTTCTTGAACTTTAATCATAACAAGTTTATCACAATCGATTTAGTTATGAAAAGAAGTATAATACGATACACCGGTTGAGGTCCTACTTCACTGGTCAATTTTCATCGAATGAAGGAGACATGCTAGAGTCTTCTTGGCCTTTTAAAGCTTATATTAAACTCACACATCAACTATGAAATGCCATCTGATTTCTAACAACATTCTCATGTGTTCAATTCTTGACAAATTCAAGATACAAATCTGAAGTGGCGATGATGGAAATAAGATTTTGGAGATCTCTCATACATGAAGTCGTTTTTGGTACATGCGGTTTGTGGTAACATTGAAAGTGACTTCTTACATTTGGAAGGGAATAAATCCTTTGGGTTCATTGGCTTCCCAAGTCACTTCAGATTCTCCCCCTATAGCCACTGATTTTCTTTCGTCTGGTTCTTCTTTTATAGGACCTATTTGTTTACTTTTTCCCATTAAAAAAAAAAACTACAATCTGAAGATATTTGCTTGTCTGGATTCTCTTCATTTTGCAGAATCATCAAGGTTTCACCAAGCAACCCTGGATATTGAAGAAGAGAGTAGTATTGTCGTATTGAGGATGAGGGCGAGAAGTATTAGAGTATTGAGTGGTAAGACTACATTTATGTTATATTGTGAGTATTATTTTGTAATTGACATAGTAATATTCCTTTATGAGAGTTGTACAAGTTAGGAATTTTGTGTATTAAGTATTAGTATTAGTGTTATTACAAGAGCCAATTATTGTAATCTCTACACAAATTCTATGGGGTTTCAATACAAGATACAACGGTTTTTACCAAACTTCTTATTTCTTAACATGATATTAGAGTCTTTTGTGATCGAGAGGTCTTCTGTTCGAATCCCGATGACTCTCGTTTGTTAAGTACAATGCAATCTGGACTCTCTGCAAACTTCAAACTCTTCTAAATTGGCTTTGGTTTGAGGGGTGCCTTAATAAGTGGTATATAGTTTATAATTGAATAATTTCCAGTAACTCGAGTTATTGAGACCAAGGTTGTCAAAACGGTTTGTGTCAGTGTGCCGATTTAGCAAGTGGAATGGTTCGACCGGTGGTACATACGGGTATGTGCCGGTTTATGCCGGTTAATATTACAAATAATTTACAAATACTCATATTTAAGCACGACATTTAACGTCAATACCTAAATTTGTACTTGAATCCAACAAATAACATCAACATTTAACTTTTTAACACATAAAATAAATAATAAATTACTTTTTATCAAATAAATTCACTAATATAAGATCATTTTATTTAGAGATTCGTATATCGATCATGCCGATCATACCGGTGGTGTCATACCGGTTTTATGACCGGTACAGGTTGAACCAGGTTCAACCAGTGATACGGCGGCCGACGTGACAACCATGATTGAGACCAATTGGTTATTGCACGACAAGAAGAAATAGATTGGACAAGAAAGAAAAAGAAAGGAAGAAAAACAAGGATTATAGTACATATACTAAAATGTTCTTGTCGTTCGATAATATGTAACTAAACAACTAAATTAGATTGTATAGACTTTGAAGTCTAATCTAAAATTCGAATTGACTTGCGTAATAAAATACAAATTTACCCTTAAATTGAATAAAAAAAGGGGCATGTTTCCATCTTTATCCAAGTCACGGTTTGGTTTTATCATGAAGAAGCCACCATAGATTACTTCCACATGTGCCTTTCAATTTTTTGCACATATAACAGCCAAAACCCTTCTTGTTTACTCCACATGGCCAAAAAGAAAATCCAGCTCCAACACCTCCCAACAACCATGAGTCCAATTCATATCATAACAAACGATGCAAACATGTTACCAACCATTATTGAACTAAAGCTGTGTGCCTGGTTTCTTCTAAGTCAACCCTATATTGATGGACAGAGGATAAAATGGGAAGTTCAACCTGTTCATACCATACTAATGAAACAGTTTATTGTTTAACCTTCGATAATATGAGTTTTTTTTCCACAATACTGAAACGGTACGGTTTCACAAACATCGATAATAGTCGACAATTCATATCATGAACAATTCTATACAAAACAACAAAGGGAAAAATAAATCGCAAGCAATCTCATGGATTCCAGACCAGTGGCGGATCTTAGGGGGGAAGCCACCACCCAACCCTTCCCTGGTTCATATCTAGAATAGTAAACGAGATTTGCTGGCTTCTAGCCCTCTTCACCTCTTTTGAACAACTACTAATCAGTATCTTAATTTTCTTATTTATTCTAAATGCGGTTCGGTGCCCTACTTGTAAGGAAGTGGTTAAGTACCATACACGGGCCTGTATAAGATCCAGCATAACCTTCTCCCAACAACTCGAGTTATTGGGACCAACTGGTTTATGAAATGGTATCAGAGTTGGTTTGTCCTTGAGGTCAAACCAGCTCTGATATTAACCGTTGTCTTCAAGCACATGGTATGGCGGGCCTGTGCAAACTTCAAGCCCATGGGTCGGCTTTCGTTTGAGGGGGCGTGTAAGGAAGTGGTTAACCACCATACACTGGCCTGTATAAGATCCAGCATAACCTTCTCCCAACAACTCGAGTTATTGGGACCAACTGGTTTAATCCGCCGCTATTCCAGACTCGACCTAATGTAGCACGGGATAGAGGGCTCTGGTACATCAAATTTTGAGTCCACAAGTGCCTCTGTCTTTTGTTCCTGGTGCCCTTCAAAGGGAAGAGTGTCGGCAGTAGCTAGCGGGTTGATGGATTTTCTGCGGCCGAGAGAGGAAAAGGGCCGAGGCCAACGAAGATGGGCCCATCTGATTTTGATCCATTAACACCCTTCGTTACCACAAACTCTACTCAATTAGTGGTCTACGCTAGTTGTAAACTTCATTGTTGGTAATTTTGATATACATATAGAGTTTTTAATTTTGCTTTGAGGGATTGGCAATTGGGATATGATAATATATTTTAATTTTTAATAAGTCGCTCAACTGTCGTTTATGATTCTCTAAACTCAAACCATACGACCAAACTTATACAAAAAAATAATAACCAATGATTTTTTATTATCCGAAGTATATCAAAGTACATTTAATTGAAGTGAATATAAACATATACTATATGTCGAGCGGTACGCTAGCATTCGCCATAGGTATATATTCTATTTTCAAAACTATATTCTTTCTAAGTAATTGATTGTATTTATATACCAGACAAAGCTTGTTGTTATCAACCGTCCTACTCTAGTTCAAAACTGTATATTCTATCCTTTGCTTCAACGATAGCATGATTGTCATAAGAACATTAATAATACAGAATAATTTATACCCAAAAAAAAAAAAAAAAACTGGACAAGAGACCAGAATTTTGATGGTACCGTTTATACCCATCCAAGCATATGGAGGTCAAAGAAACGTTCACCACAGAGGAAAAACATTTTCATTGAAAAGAACAATGCGTTTTCTGACTAGCAAAATATTAATCACCAGCTGGGTTTTAGACCAATGAGATATTTTTGCTAACATTTCATTTATTTATAAAATAATATTCTAGGACCGGGTAAAACATTGAAATAAGTATTTTAGAGATTTTTCCCGAGTTTATTTTTTTAAGATTTGACGAGTTCGTACATCTTTAAAATTTTGGTTGGGTTAGAATCGTCTTATATGTGTTCGATCTATCGTTAAATGGAGGTTAATCAAACCGATAGATCATATTCATATTTCTTGTTTTGGTCGCGGATATGACCGAGGTTGTGACCCATCTTGTCGTCCCGTCATACATATATATGAAAATAGTCAAAATTTCTATATATCTAAATTAACGTTAATATTTAATTCAGTGAAGCAATCAATTAAGTAAATAAGCACAATTATTCAACCACGAATCAAGTGGTAAGACATGCGCTTTCGGATAAAAATTGTCACAAACTAACGAACTACCAACAAAATTATCAGTCAAAACATATGCTCTCATAAATTTACCTACAATTCATAAACATCAAGATAACATTCGACGTATTCGCCAATCTGACTCGTCATTCAAAAAAAATCTCACTAATTAAATTTTAAAATATGAAGAGAGCTTCACAATGACAAGTAGCTTGCCCACCAGCCATAAACCTATAAGTTAATTTTTGCTTCCAACTTCCCACCCACCATCACCCCTTTTCTAGTTCCTCCTCTTCCTTCCTCCCTCCCCTTTTTCTCATAAGACAAATTTCTATTCTCTTTTGGCCTTCTAAGGAAGATCTCATACATTATATAATAAAAATTTGTTTGGGCTTTTTCCCCCTTCTCTTCAAGCCTTCATATTTATCTATTTCTCACCAATTGAAAACCCCCACTCCATATTCTTATCCCTCCCCTTTACTCCAACCCCAAACACAAAAACAGGGGAGAGCCCTTCCAAAGAACCAAATACACAACAAAAACACACAAACTACTCTTCCTTCCCTCCTCTCTCTACCCTTTTCATCTCTCTCTTCCTTCTCTCTTCTTCAAGGTAATGCAAAAAAAAAAAAAAAGATATTCTTCCTCTGTTTCTCTCTGTTACAGCTGACTTGGCTCTCCCTCTGTTTTCTGGTACCAAAAAACAGAGTGTGGTGGATGTTATTATTCTCGTAGAAAGTTTGTGAATTGCGGCTGACTGAAGGGTTGGTGTCTCTTTTAAACAGGAGGGTCGGAGGAGAAATGGCGGATTGCGGTGGAAACCAGAGCCTCTACGCTCCTCAGGAAATTCAGGTAACGAGACAAAAATGAAAGAAAGCTTCCGGGTTTTTTTTTTATTGGGACCTTTTTTGTTGTTGTTGTTGTTGTTGTGTTGATCTCATTCTAGCAAAACTAGGACGAAATTAAGGCCGCCCCTGATTTAGGATTCTTGCACTTGATTAAGAAGCGATTTAGCCGTCCTTAATTGCTGACCGAATCTTGTCAAAACGGCAGACGGCGTAACGCGTGTTTGTTCTTTGTTTGGTATATTAATATGGTTGCCATGCTAATTACGCCTCCAAATCTTCCAACCTAAACTATTAATCTCTGATTAATTATTGTAATCAAATTACTTAAAGGTGGGTGGATATTTGGTTTTGGGGTTGGGGGCCCTAAAAATGAGAGGACAATGGGTGGCGCAAGCAAGCAAGCAATTGTAACATGTGGATGGTGATCCCTATTGTCGTGTGAATGTGGACCCTACCATCTAACGGCTAGGTTAGGGAGAAATTTCGTACGGCGATATGGTCAATTTACACTATTGGTCACTAAGCTCGTTTCCAAATTTTATCGAATGTTCTCAAAAGGATCGAGGTCTGTCCCAAATCAATCGTAAGTGTATGAGATACATAATATAATAGCGATGTCACCCTTTCATTTCAATCCGATCACAAAAAAAAAAACCTTATCATACTCGTAGCTTTAGAGGTTGTACGTTATTGTTGTGGTGGGCAAATACATACGGAGAAATTCAATTAACTCCCGGTGGTGATTATTATGAAGGTTATCGCAAACCTCAGTGGTGAAATTGTCAATAATGTAAAGTTTAGTGATCGGTTTGGGTAATAATTTTGATTCATGTATATTTGACTTTTTTGTGGACGACGCCTGTCCCTTCGCAAGGGCAGGGGTGCCCTCCAGTTGGACAATTGTCGGCAGGAGCAGTACCGTACACTTTCGAGAAAGAGACATACCCACCAAACTTATACTACTTGCTTAATTGCTTTTCACATCCTTTTGTTTTTGTTTTTTTGGGTTTTAACATAATCACGTGCACAATTTGCTTTTGCTGCCTGCCCCAACTTTCCATTTTCAGCCAATCAAATTAAACCTTATCGCCTCCAACGGCAAGTCACGTTACTGTATCAACATTTAGCACGGAATTACGCGTGTCTTAATTGTATGATGATTATGATGATGATTGCGGTATCTAATTTTGTGGTTTAGGGTAATGTAATGGTGGTATTATTTAAATTAAATCCGTGGTTGGTACAGGTGGCGAACAAGTACGGTGGGCTTGCACCGAAGAAGAAGCCCTTGATTTCCAAGGTACTAATTACTCTCTAATCAGTAATTAAGAGTCGTAATTGCTACGCAAATCAGGAGGATAGATAGTAAGCCACATTGGGTAATTGTGTTTTAATTGGCGTGTAGGATCATGAACGTGCCTTCTTCGATTCAGCTGATTGGGCACTTTGCAAGGTAATTAATCACACATTGCTTCGCCAAACTTCAAATTTGGTCCAATTGTTTTTATTATTAATTGATATAATAAGTGTTTTGAAAGAATTTTTTTGGGAATTATTAATGTTGCATATGTATGAAAATAGCAGCAGCAAGGAAGAGCAGGGGAGGCTCAGAAGACCACGGTGGCAGTAGAAACCTTGCAACCTAAACTAAAGGTAAAAAAAAAGTTAATTACCGTCTGATTTTTATTATGAATATTCAATTGAGATTAGAGGGAGAGTAAAATGAAATCAGTGAAAAAAATTGACTTGGTCGAATCTGGTTGTTGGTGACAGAGGACGCCACATCAGCAACTGCCACCTAGAAGGCCAGCGTGTACATCCAGCAGCCACGTGAGTCTCTTTCTTTCTTTCTTTGTTTCAAGTCAAAAGATTTTACGTTAGGTTCACCAAACATATCGTTAGTTAGCCTGTGCTTATTGGAGTTGAAAATAAGAGGAGGCTGCTGTTTCTTGGATGCAGGGGGAGTCGTATTGATTAGGCAGCGTTTGGGAGATTGTCAAATTGGATGCGAGGCAGATGGTTTCGTGACTTTTGTATCTCAGCTTCAAATATCCATTTTGTAGAGAAAAAGTGGGAATTTACTGTGGTACTAGTTTGGTTTGGTTTGGTTTGGTTGGGGCTTTTTCCAATCGTTGAGTAATGAGTAGCTTTTAATAAACGTATCATGCGACCGTGGCCATTAATCTTAATTATTATTATTGTTACGCTAATTTACGTTATTATTGCCACCAAACCTAACGGCCGAAGAAATTAACGCAGGCTAAGTGTATAATAATTATGTTATTCATCGTTGCTTGTAGTTTGAGTATGGTTTACGAAACCAGTGGCGTTCTCAAAAGTAAATGCATAATCATCAACATTCATCGTAAAATCATGAATTCATGATCCGCTGTAACCCGAATAGCTTGCGACAGGCCCACTAGCTGGGCCCATGAGTTGAAGTTCACGTCTCTGAAGTCCATGGTCTCGTGGTTGTGGTTTTTTTGTGTGTGTTTCACACTGTCTATTTATAACCGAAGCCCAAATACCATATTGGGCTGAACTGGAGCCCAAACTGATACTTGGAAAAGGCTATCTCCTCTTGCTAATTATTTCGGAATCTGGTTTATCACCGTGACAATCAGGATAAACGGTGCTGACTAACGTGCTAATGATGGTCGAATTGTTCGGTATTTCATGAACAATGGGTGTACAGAGTAAGAGTCGTTTGTGAAAGTGTCGCGCTTTCATCAGCCGTGAAACAAATAAAAAAGCATGCAGTATAACCGTTTGAATTAGGGTTAATACCTTATTTTGGCCCAAACTATGACCATATAATCAACTTTGGCCCGTGGTTTCAGAAATTAACATCCTAGCCTCAACTATGCAGCATATAGACTCAATTGGCCCGACAAATAGTTTGACCGTCAATTTGGACGGTCAACTCCGTTGACCGTTAGTCAACATGCTATATCATTGCCTAGTCAGCATAAAAATCATTAAAAAAATTCAAATTCAAATTATTTTCCTAATTTCTATTATTTATCATTTTCCAATTAACCAAAAAATAAAATTCAAAAAATATAAAATAATTTTTTTGCGATATTTGAAAATGATAAATTTTATAAATTAACCAAAATTATCAAATTAAATTTTAAAAATTAAAGAATTATTATATAAATTATATTTTTTTGGGAAGTTTTAAAAATATAAAATAATTTGATAATTTTTGGTTAATTTATAAAATTTATCATTTTCAAATTATCCAAAAAATAAATGTATTTTATGTTTTTTATAATTTATTTTTGGTTAATTTGATAATATATAATTTTTTAATAATTTTTAGGCTGACTAGGCAATGACATGGCGTGTTGACTAACGGTCAACGGGGTTAACCGTCCAAATTGATGGTCAAACTATGTGTTAGGCCAATTGAGTCTATATGCTGCATAGTTGAGGCCAGAATGTTAATTTCTGAAACCACGGGCCAAAGTTGATTATATGGTCATAGTTCGGACCAAAATAATGTATTAACCCTTTGAATTATATCATGAAGCTGAAACTCCCATTGAGCATCGAGATTGTAGCCAGGGCAATGGGTTGGTCCATATTGGATCAAATTGACGCTTGAATCAGACCATAACGAATCAAATATAATATGGTTCGATTCTTAGTCTCATGAATTTTATAAAGGTCGAAGAAAAATGGACCGGATCAAAACGTAGCCAATGCACAATTGCGCATTGGTCTGGTTCTTGGGGAATGCGTTAGAGTGGTTATTAAATTTTGAGTAACCACAGTGGCTACTAACATCTACACCTTTAATTATATCTATTTCATCCTATTTTTAAGTTGACGGTGAAGATTATATGAAGGATAATTTTGGAAACGAAAATAATACAACACCTGATTACTATTCTTTAAAAAATTATTTTTATATATTGTACCGCAAACCCTAATGCAATCTCCTCCCCTTCTACCTGCCGACGGCCCTTCTTTCTCCGGACAAGAAATTGCAGCCGCCTCCTCCCTCTTCTCCCCTCCCACCCGACAACAACTCTTCTTCTCCCCAGCCTCCCGCCTTCTCCCCTCCCCCGCCGTCCCCACACCACCCCTCCCACGCCGTCCTCAAAGAAACCGTAACTCTCAATTTCCCCTCTTAACAAAAAAAAATCGATTCTCTATCTATTAGCTGGAATTATTTGAACATGTCTCTACCAACAACACCAGGTTATTTTCTTTTCTTTTTGTGATTTTGTTTGTGTTAGTGACTAGTGAGGAATGATGTGTTCTTGTAAAGTTGCTGCTAATAGGAATAATCTTCCTTGATTCTTCGTTAAATGATTTGTTCTTGTGATTTTTTTTTTTACGTTTTCAATTTTGATATTGAGGAACTATTTTTGGTTGGGTATATTTTCCATGTATTATTGCTTGCTTTGATACGAGTGATCATTCGATCATTTTGTTGCACTATAATTAGCTCTTATAATTTTAATTAGTATTTGTTATTGGTTTGTAAATTGTAATCGTATTCCTCCACTGTCTGCAATTTTTTTATTTGCATAATGGTATTGCTTTACTAAGCAATGGTATTGGTAATGACATTCGTTAAGGAGAATCGCCTTTTCTTTTGGTAGTACACTACTATTTGGTATTGTTTGTCCTTTATGTAATGGTAGTCCTGCAATGGTATTGATTCGATGTGCAGTGGTATTGGTTATATAACAACATGATATTCATTCATCTTCGTTTGGTAGTGACATTTTAGATTGGTATTGGTTCATTACACGTGTATTAGTATTAACAATGCTAGTCTGGTAGTTCTTCAAAGTCTAATGGTATTGGTTCAAACCTCAATGTTCATAATTCTCATCATATATGCAATGGTATAGATTGTTTATATTGGTAGTTTTCGTGTAATGGTATAGATTTATTTCTGCAATGGTTTTGATGTTAGTGGTTGTCTAATGGATTGGTAGTGATTTCGTGTTTTTTTGTATGGATTTTTTGTTTTGTTTTGGTATTGATTTTGTCGCATTAGTATTATTTTTGTCGCAATGGTATTGTTTTTATCGCATTGGTATTATTTTTGTCGCAATGGTATTGTTTTTATCGCATTGTTATTGATTTTCTCGCAATGGTATTATTTTTGTCGCATTGGTATTGGTGTTTTTGTGAAATGGTAGTGTTTTTATTTCTCGAATGATATTGGTATTTTGTGCAACGGTAGTGTTTTGTAATGGATTGATATTATTTTATTGTTGCAGCGGTATTAGTTCGACAGAACGAAATCAATGGAAAGATTGAGAAAAGGAAGGAAGAAGCATATGGCTGAAGATTGTGAAAATGAGAGAAAAAGAGAGAAATGGTAGTTAATATAATTTTGTAATTTCCTAAAATGTACTTTATTAAAAAAAGTAATTAATAATGGTACGTTTTTTTATAATGGTATTGATTTTCTAGACTAGTATGGATTTTTGGTATTGGTATTGATCTTTCTTGGATTGGTATTTATTTTGTCTAGATTGGTACTAATTTTTCGTATTGGTATTGATTTTTTGTTAAGTAGTCGAAAAAAGTACAGATGGTTACAATCGTTGAAGCACAAGAATGAAAGGATCAGAGGAAGGCAAAGAGGTAGAATCAAATAGAGAGAGAGATATAGAGCGAATAATATAGTTTTTGTATAAAATTATTTCTCCACTGTAATTAATTCAATGCAATTAACATAAATGCAAGTAATTCTTTTGATATTCAAACCCAATCCATCCAAACAAATATATATTAATACCACAACGTCAACACTACCAATAAATATATGCACCACTACCAAAACAGTAAGCATCAGAATATCAGAATACCACTACGTCAACACTACCAATAACCATATGCAACACTACCAAACCAATAAGCACCAAAATACCATCACTACCCTTAGTAACCACGGTGGCTACAGGGACCAAGTTACCACCGTAACCGCTCCCGGTTCTTGGTCCTCAAATATCTTTCACTATTGGACAGCAATTCTTCTGAGTATGATCCAATCCGATCTTGACCGATGCCCACCCTTAGTAGTCAGTGGCAAAGCTACATTAGGCTAAAGGGAGCTTACAACCCCACTCAACTCCCAAAATGATGAAAAAGTACATGTAAATTTTGTAATAAATTTCAGAAATATAGTTGTTTGGTAAAGCTCAAGGTTGTCAAAACAGTTTATAATGTTGCGTCGGTTTAACAAGTGGAATGGTTCGACCAGTAGTACAACCGGTGTGCGGGTTCATGCCGGTTTATCAAAATATGGAGAAATGCGAAAACCCATTAACAATAAATAAATTTAGGCCTCGTTTGCTTCATGGATTTGATAAATGAAGGTTTTGGTCAAAACTTTGATTTTATGAAACCAAGAATTTATGATGGAATCGGTCAATTTGGTTTTTTGGATAAAACCATTGTTTGGTTGATAGATTTCATGATGGATTTTGCATAATTATAATTATGGTTACATTATGAATTTACCTATCTACCCTTACTATATCTTATTTATTGTTAGAAACAAAACAAAATGAGGATAAAATAGTAAATAACCATCTTGGACTTGAGACACCCACACAAATCCCACCCCCTTGAGATTGAATTTCCAAGTCCGTGAGGTCCATGCACCCTAAGAAAATGTGGGCCCCACGGATTTATCTCTGCTAAATCCATCAAGCAAACGACGAATTGTGTACAAAGTCCATGATGGTTGGTTTTTATGTACCAAATCCATAATAAAATCCATTAAGCAAACAAGGCCTTAATCTACTTATCATTGATACTGGCATTCAAATAAAATGCGTCATTTATAATACTCATATTTAATTACAATATTTAACGTCAATAACTAAACGTTTATATTTGAATTCAACAAATAAAATCAACATTTAACTAATTTTAAACTCATCAAATAAATGCTAAATTAATTTTTTATTAATTAAGTTCATTAAAACGACTTCGTTTTGCTTAAGATTCGTAAATTAATAATGTCGGTCATATCGATGGTGTTCACGCCAATTTCAATACCAATTTAACCATGTTCAAGTCAACCATGACATGTCTAGAGAATTTGATTTTTATTCCCACTCATTCTGATTTATACTGTATCCAAATTACAACATGAGAGGGATTCCATGCTCTAGCAACAAAAGTGTCTTGGAGGGCTTTTCTCAAGGGAAACGTGTCACTCTCAAGTTGAATGAAGTTATGAAGAAAACCCAACTTTCTCGAAGGCAGACGCCAATTGTTTTGGGCATACTCAAATGTCATTGCCTACGCATTTACGTGCATGGATCCCTCTTGCTTCCCGTTCTTCCTGCAAAAAAATCCTCCTTTCGCGGGGTCAAACCACGAAAACAACCTTGAGACTTTTAAGTCATCATCATCAATAAGACTAAACCTTTTTCTCAAGTACCTAAATTATGTTGTTTTAACAAACATGTTTGCGTACTGTCAAATTGTAACAAACATTACATTAATCAACGTAACTATGATGTAATAGACGATCATGTTAAAAATGTATAGTAACGAAATATAGTTATATGAGAAGAAAGTTTCGATAAGTAATGTTGAGATCACTGGAAAGGATGTTTGCTACGATACTTCTTCTTTGACTTCTCTGTAATTTGAATGCTTTTACTCTTGAATTAGTCACGTAAGAGAAAGAAGCTCGACCATGTTTAGACAACGGACAAATTTGAGCAGGAAAGGCGAAAGACCTTCACATGCTATTTACCGTTGGAATCCTTGTTTTTTTTTTTTGGTCCTGGTCCCTTGACGTATAAATAAAGATATCAATTAATAGAGACATTGTTAGAATGGTACAAAGATATATATTTGAATTCTTACGAGATAATACAGGAACAATAAGGGTTTTCTAATACATGCAAATTGCTGACTATCAAATGCTTACTTATCAACCGTGAATTAATCGCGATAATAAAATGTCTTTGCAATCAAGAGAACTAACATGTAAACGACATAAACATTGTTGAAAATAATGCATAGTATAAGGATGTGTTTGCCAAAATGGCATAGTACAATGACTAGAAAATCTCATGAAAACCCTACATTGAACAACCATTGAAGGAGAAGTTTTCATTGTTTCTTGACCGGTTCACAGTTGGTTACTTGCACTCTAACTGCTCTCTCTCTCTCTCTCCCACAATTTCCCTCACCCAGAACGTCACCAAATCTTCAATGGAGAGACAGAATATATGTCCATTATCAAATACCAATCCTTTTCTTTTCCCAACCAAAACGTGCAGAAGAATCACCTGCTAACACTTCCCATTGGAGCTCCCCCCACAAGTTTTTCCCTAATTTGTTTACCCGATTCGGTTGTCAGTTATGTCAATCTCTCCAAGAAATCAATTTCTTATTGTCTCCAAGCTAACGAGATTAAACCCACGAATCTGTAATTGTTATTTCCTCCGTTCATGGTTGTTGGCACTCGATTTCTTATATATACCAACCTCAATTTCATCCCCTGTATCACCTCCATTACTGTTCTATCGAGCTATCAGCTTCCCCCCCTTAGCACCAGCCATGGCAGCTTCGTCAACATTCAGCTTCGTAGTCACAGCTTTGCTCCTTGTAGCCATATTGATCATTTCCCCCTTTCAACTAGGTACGAGACAGAGTAAAGTTTCTTCATTTTTCCTTCTCTGTTTCAATGGTGTCGCATACCCTTTTAGCGACGGAAATTTACAATTTCTGAGTGGTGATGATTGACAGGAAAGGCAGATGAGGAAGCGCCTTACATAGACGTGGGCAGCAATGGAGTTTCTGGAAGCACATCGTCTTCTTCTTCTTCGAGCAGCAGCAGTAGTGACAACGATCCAGCACAAATGGTCGCTAAAGCTATGCTCTGTTTCAACAACAGGGGAGTAAGTAACTCATTATCAGAAAGACAGAAACCCAAAAACACAAAGAGATTTTTTTTCTTTTCTATTTGGTTTCGCTAATGGGTACATTTTTCTGGTTGCTAATTAGATTTACAGAAGCTGCGACGAGGACTTCCGATTGAACGAGAGCGGGAGACTGGGAGTTCCATTGGAGCAAGTGGATGCCTACTGCGGCGGTTCTTGCTTGACGGAGACCAACATGGTGCTCGATTGCCTTGAAGGGATTATGAAGAATTTCAGATTCTACAACACCGCCACGATCAAGGACATTAAGGACACCGTCTCTGCAGGATGCAGTGATGGACCTGACAGAGGTAAATTTTGGCAATGTACATCCATGTTACAGTTCTTTGAAACGACGCGAGAATTGAACTCGAAATTACATCGTGTGGGAAATTGTCGATGTGTGGCGTGGGTTGTGGTTTTGATTGAGATTTTTCTGTGAAATTCTGCAGGGAATTTCGATGTGTCTGAGCATCTCGAGGCGTCTGAATCTACTGTTCTGAAGGGTGCGAGTTGGGGTTTGTGTGCTATTGGTTACTTGATCGCCGGCCGAGCTTTGCTCCGTTGGTGATTTGGGAGGCAGAGTTTGTTTGGTGGGATTTTTTAGGGTTTTGGGAGGGATTATAGTATAAGTGGTGGGTATTGTTTTTGGTTTAGTATATGGAGTGTGGAAATTGATTGCATTATTGTGTATTGATTTGGATCAAATGATGATTGAAATATGTGTATCACATGTTCTCTTTTGGCTTGACATTATTACCAACTTGGAGATGCAACATTGGTCAAAGTTGGCTCTAAATTTTGCTACATAAATGACGTTTAGTGTGTTTTTTTTTTCTTTCCTTTTTTTTTACTTGTTTCATCCATGTTTAGCCACACTCGATCTTCCGGATAGGAATGGCAGTAGAACTTGAATTCGCGGGTACCCTACTCGAACTAATCTGGTCAACGCGGGTAAAGCTCGCTTTGACGGATTGCGGGCCGGGTTCGAGTGTAGATCAACTATTCTTTTTGCGGGTTGGGTTTGGTTTAGCTATATCCAAACCATAGATACCCGCACTCAAGTCCATACCCCCACGACCCATGAAACCCTTAACAAATTAACTATAATTTATAAACTAATTCCTTACATGTTCAATTAATCATATTGTTTGTGGATGTTTGTCTTTAATATTGAACAATTAGTATGAATGATTTACGAGCTAGTGTGCAAGTAGTACTATAGCAGACAATAGTAGTGAAAACTAGTGTAATTGCATCTTTGTACATGAACTCATGGGTACCCATGAACCCGCGGATACATAGCGGGTTGGGTTGGGTTTGAGTTTTTAAAATCCAGTGGGTTTAACCTCCGATTTTTTTGCTGGATAAACATATGGGTTTGAGTTTGGATTTGGGTTTGGCATTTACCCGCCCCGCCCCAACCCCTTGTCAACCCTACTTACAAATGTCATGATAAAAATCATGATTCTTCATACTGCGTGACAATGTGCGGGTGCTTGGAGAGTTAAATTTGTCATATGCAAAAGAAAATTGTCGTTTTTGTTGTTAATCGGGCAATCGACATTATTTTTTAGCACTATCATAAGCTGATTTGAGATATCAATTTAAATATCATGCGATAAAGTACAAATAATATGATCGACCTATACTTTTTCATTAAGAGAGATCATTCGCAACAAATAATATCATACTTATGCTCTCAAATTAACCAGCAACTATGATTCAAACCTTAAATCATGAATCAATGTATAGGAGAAAATGTTCACATCCAAATCTTGATTCTGTAGACTATACATAATGATTATATACTCTCCTCTAACTCCTAAAATGTATTGAAATCAAATCGAACCTGCAGACACATATAATTCTACTAAACCCCACTGGTTTTGAGAATTTCCACCCATTTCTCAATTCATTTAATCCTCTTCCCGCCACATTCCGTCCCCTGTTCCCCATCAACTCCCACAGAGAGCAATTCTCCCACGTTTCTAATCCCCAATCCATTTCTCTCCTTTCCGCCATGGAAAGCGCCAAGAAGCTCTCAGCAATTTCTCCAAGAACCCATCTTCTCTTCGCCTTAATCCCTCCCTTCGTCTTCCTCATCGCCTTCCTCTGCCTCTCCCCTGCCTTCACCACCACCAGCACCAACAACTTCGCCTCCCGCCTCCTCTCCTCTCCCTTCATCTCCTCCCTCATTCCCCCTTCTGAATCCCACCGAATGAAGCTCCCCACCGCTGCCGCCGCCATCGAAACAGTTCGCTGGAAGTCCACTAACGAAGAAGAACTGGGCTCTTCTTCTTCTTCTTCTTCCTGCGACATCTTCGACGGGAATTGGGTCCCCGACGAGGATTCCGACCCGCTCTACTCGCCCGGGTCCTGCCCCTTCCTCGACAACTCATTCAATTGCTTCAAGAACGGGCGCCCGGACTCCGGCTACCTCAAATTCCGATGGAAGCCGTACGGCTGCGAGATCCCGAGGTCCTATGAATCAACCAAATTCCTCTGTTCGTCTTTCTTCTTCCCCAATTCAGGGGAGTTTCGGGTTTCTCAAAAAGAAATCATCTTTGCAGGTTTAATGGGAGAAAGATGCTGGAGCTTCTCAGAGGAAAACGGCTGGTCTTCGTCGGCGACTCGCTGAACAGGAACATGTGGCAGGCTCTGGTTTGCACGCTGCGAGAATCGGCCAAGAACAAGACCGGGATCTTTGAAGTCTTCGGCCGGCGGGAGTTTCGAACTCAGGGATTCTACTCCGTCAGATTCCCGGTGAGTTTTTCCCGTCAAAGATCAAATCACCAATCTTTTTTCTTTTTACAACACATCAGTCCATTTTCTAATTCCGTTTGATTTTATGCGAACCCAGGAAGCCAATTGCTCATTGGACTTCGTGAAATCGCCGTTCCTAGTTCAGGAATGGAAGTCGCCGGTGTCGGGGAGCCACCACCGGGAAACTCTGCGGCTGGACATGATACAGGGCAGCTTCTCCGACTACCGGGATGCTGACATCATCGTGTTCAACACGGGCCACTGGTGGACTCACCGGAAAACTAATCGAGGGTAACGTTAAAAGAAAATCAATCAATTCATCTCCATCCGGTAATTAAACGAAATTGAAAGATTGTTCAATTTTTTTTTGTTACTGCAGTAAGAATTACTACCAAGAAGGCAGCCATGTCTACAGCAAGCTGCGAGTCACTGAAGCGTATAAAAAAGCTCTGGCCACTTGGTCCCAATGGGTCGATTCCAACATTGACGGAAACCGCACGAAAGTCTTCTTCAGGGGATACTCTGCTTCGCATTTCGGTACAGCGCAGCGGTGCGACGACGGCAGCGCGGCGGGTCCGGTGACGAACGAGGCGGAGCTGGGGGCGGGGGACTATCCGTGGTGGATGATGAAGGCGGTGGAATCGGTGATCGGGGAGATGAAGACGCCGGTTTTTTATCTGAACGTGACCAAAATGACGTCGTATCGGAGGGACGGGCACCCGTCCATTTACCACGAGCGGAGGGCTGCGGCGGCGAGTGGCGGTGGTGGGGCCGAGTTTCAGGACTGCAGCCACTGGTGCCTTCCTGGGGTTCCGGACGCGTGGAACCAGCTTCTCTACGCCGCTCTCTTGCTCGACGGCGGCGGTGGGCGGTGAAGCAACCTGCTTGGTTGCTAAGGGGGAACTCTTTTTGGTGAAGGTTGGAGTTGCTACTTAGCAGATTTCCTTTTGTTTGTTAACCATGTGTTGGGTAGTTGACCTACATGAATGGTGACTAGCTCGATTTTCATTGTCCGAATGGTGAGTTTAGTTCGATAATTCGAGTTAATGGAAGGAATTTTGTAATTGGTGACAATATTAGAGATACCAATTTTCTTAGACTTCAATAATTTTGGGGAGAGCTATCCATTGGAGTGAAAATACCATTGTCAATTTGTGCATTTTGTAGAAGCAACTCATATTGGAATGAACATTATGGATAGAAAAAAGTGTAATGCACTGGTTTATCCGTTTATGTTTGTCTGTTGATGAGATGGATGGCATCATAGGTTTCTCAAAACAAATTAACAAGCTTAAAGTTAAAGACGTTAATGAAGTAAATAAAGATTCACTTTTTTAGTTGTGTTGATAGGATATTCATCATTCATAACTACAACTACTCTTTCTTGTGGTAGATGTTTGGATGAGATAATTTGGCCCAATTGATTTAAAACGAAGCGATTATATCAAATTATCTTGTTTGGCAACACAAAATGGGAATACATCAATTAAGTGAAATAGTTCGAATTGTCTCGTTTTACGTCATTTTGAATTGAAAGTATTGTGAAATGATGTACCAATTGTGAGGAGCAATCTTGAGACAATTGTGTCATATTATCTACTACATTGATGTGCAATTGGATATATGAGTTCGCGTAGATGATGAATTTATGAAATTATTCAATTTGACTCAAGAGCCTCATAATTACTTCATCTTACAATGCATGCATCCTTTCAAAACACTTGTCCTTCACCTGCCAATTCAAATTGATATAAAACAAGATAACTCAAATTATCTCGGTAAAATTTCACCATTCCCTTTTTATGGGATCAAATGAGCCGATTCAAGTGCTTTATTTTAAGACAATGAACTCCAATTGCTTCATCCAATTTGACCCAATTACTATCTATGGGTTTTTAGTAAAGTCGATTAGGTTATTTCATCATTCTTCTATTAACTAATGGGCATAAGTTTATGGACTAATCAAGAGCATTTTTGTCAAATAGAGGGCTCGCTTTGTCGAGTCTGAGTATTTTATAGCCGTTCAGATTGTCAAGAACCATGTGCTTAACAAATGAACGTCATCGGGAATCGAACACAAGACTTCTCGGTCACAGAAGGCTCTGATATCATGTCAAGAACCCGTTGGTCCCAATAACTTGAGTTATTGGGAGAGGTTCAATCGTGGATCTATACCATAATACTAACACAGTAACACAGATGACGGTCCTTGTTCCGCCGAAACGTGGACGGATGGGATTATCCATTCATCAAAACAGCCACATCAAATAGTTTATCGCCACGTTTAGTACACAACGTAAGCTCGGCCGCGTTCAATCACTTGAGCAGAAGAGAAATGTAAAGGAAGAAGCCGCTCTTCTGAAAGACGACTTTACTCTTTTTCCTTGTTACTTGGCTGCTACGTCGCGAAATTGATTCCTCCGCGCTTCCAACTTTCTTCCGCCGCGCTCCGCGATCTCCGGTTTCTACTGCCGTGAACTCACTGTAATCACAGGGAAGACACTTCCCGCGGCAATCCGCCGGAGGCGCAGTGATTCACTGGATAAGGTATAGACGAACAATCGCAAGGGAAGGATGAAGATCGACCTCAATAAAATAGCTCGGAAAGTCGAGGTTGACAATCGGATTCCTCTCCGGTACTATTACAGGATCGCCGATAACCTCCTCCGTCAGGTGCCGTCTCGTGCGCGATTTGTTGTTCGTCAATAAATTGAGTTTCTAGGGCTCCCTATTGATGAACTTCGGTTTCTTTGTTCTCGTTTATTATTTCAGGCGAACGTCTACCGAGATGAGCGTAATGTGGTGGATTTGTACATCATGCTTCTCAGATTCTCGAGGTAAAATTGTTGATGGCGCGGAATTGCTGCGCAGCTAGTTATCGATGTAGCTTGAACTATCCTTTTTTCATAGTGTGATTTCGAGTTCTGAAATGGATCGTTATTTTGTGTGTATAACCAGCTTGGTCTCTGAGACTATTCCGTTCCATCGAGATTATCACAGTTACCTTCTGAAGGAGAAATCTAGCTACAAGAAGGTGAGCTAATCAGTTGTGATTTTGATATGGTATTGTTACTTGCTATTCTCATGCTCTGTTGAGATAATATTGTGGAATTTGTGGCTCTTGATCCTGTTGTACAGAGGTTGCTTTCTGTCTTAGAGGAACTTGAATCCTTGAAACCTGAATTCAATCGACGAGTGGAAGAACTGAATAGAGGTTACTCGAATGTTCGGATACGAGAACTCGATGGTACGGAAGAAAATTCGTATATGTCACAGTCATCTTCACCACAGTGGCCCACAGTGAATAGAAGTTCATCCTCTGGAAGGGATGTTGCACAGGTATGCGGTGCTTACTTGAGTTCTTTGTGTTTTTTCTTAGTTACTATAGATCATTTTTCGGTTTATGTTATTAATGTCTTGATTTTAGCCTACCAGCATGGTTCCTCAATCTTCATGGAAGAACAATGATGCTCAAGCTCTTTACTCAAGTCCCTCGCCACTTGAAAAGCAATTGCATAAGTTGTGAGTATGTTTCTCCAATACTGCATTCATTGTTTCGTGATGCTGTACCATGAAATGTCAATGGCCATCTGAAAAATGTACTTAACGTCCCGTGCTATTTAGTTTAGCTTATCTTATCCTCATCTTTTCTTAGTATCACATTTTGAAGGCTTGAAAAATGCTTTCTACAGCCTGTTAGATAAACTTCTTACTTCTGCTATGTGATCTGACCTTCAAGTTGTGTGTTCGTCCATAAGAGCACCTTAACTTATGTGCTGGTTACAAGACTAGTATTTAGTATTCGTTCATATGATCTTTCTCTTTTATTTTTGTAGATTAAATTTGTTTCTGGGGATGTATCCTGAGACAGTGTGTGATAATAACATATCTTCATATATGTTGATCTATCTGTAGGCCTGTTCCCAATCAGGAAACTTTGTCTAGGCACTCGCTCTTAGGACCAAATGGCCTTCGTGCTGAATGGCGGCCACCTACTGCAGTGATCAAGGTAACTTTATTTCCTGGTTTGTTTTCTTGTCAAACGTTGTATATTTATGTCCTCCACAAACTAATTAGTTTGTTGTGTTACACAGGTGCAGTATCCTAGCCACGCTGACTTGGCCTCTACAGAGGATACAAGGTAATTATTTTCTATCTAGTTAGCCGTTGTATCTTTCAGTCAGGGACTACTTCTCAGTGCTCCGTATTATTATCAGTTTTTGTAATTTATCCTCATTTCTGATCCATGCCTTGGTTTCACAGCATAAATCAGGCTGGAGAATATGCCAGTGTGGCAGTTAAGAACAATGATTCTGGTGGTGTCATGGATTCCGTTCTTTCCTTGGACGATGGCCGATGGATACACCCTGCAGAGGAACCAGGAAACACATTAGTTCACGAGGCAAGGGAAGATCCCTTCCAGTTTGTTGGTATTAGGCAACCATCCCCTCCTCCGGTTCTTGCTCAAGTGCAACATGAATATGCTCAAATCGCTCCATCTAAAGTTGCTGACCCACGACCGGGTCCAGCACCTTCTCAAGATGATGGCATGTCTGGCCCTAATTCGTATCAAGATGTGCATATTGTAGGTCCACTATGCTGTTATCTCCTTTTGTTTTCTAATCTCTACTCCTTGCTTTTATTATATAATGAGAATCAGCTTTTCCTAGACAATTACCATTTCTTATGATTCCTGACTATATTCTGCAGCCTGTGAATATGATGCAAGATTTCTTAAGATTGGCCCGGGCAAATACAGAGAAGAATTTAGAAACGTGTGGTGTTCTGGCTGGAGCTCTGGTAAGGGAAAAGCTGCGACTGAGTCTGTCTGGGTATTTGTTTCGGCAGCTCCTTATACTTGTTTTATGTGCTGTAGAAAAACAGGGTGTTCCACATCAGCACGCTTATCATCCCAAAGCAAGAGTCAACTTCAGATTCGGTACAGTATCTCCTCTCTCAAATCTCTATCAGATTACCATTCTGTTTTGGAGCAATATTAGCCGTAACTCTTCGGAATCTATTAAGATTCTTCTCAATGTACTGTCTTTTGATTTTGTTTTTGAGCAATTATGGCCGTAACTTGTAAGTTTCTAAGTCCTTGTAGTTTGACCTTACGTATGCTTCTGTTAATTCCTTGTCTGTGTTTATCTTGCCAGTGTCAGACGTTAAATGAAGAAGAGATATTTGAAGTTCAAGACAAACTCTCGTTGTTTCCCCTTGGGTGGATCCATGTATGTTGGTGACTTTACCATCTTGGCAACTCCATCATTTCCTTTTTCTCTTATTCATAACTTCTCAATATTTACAGTGTAGATTAGCCCGATAACTGTGCTCGTTTGCTTCCTTGTTGGTTCTTCATTGGTTGCAGACACACCCAACGCAAACCTGCTTCATGTCGTCTGTCGACCTGCACACACATTACTCCTACCAGGTATATCCACAAACCAACACCCACTTATTTTTATTCGTTCTTGCGTAAACACAGGACTCATCTTCCTTAGCCAATGTTAACTGAAATATGGCTTTCAGTCACTCTAAACCAATCTGAGCCCTGTGTTCCACAATGCATCTGTTACAATCCCATTGATCTGTTTTCCCCTCAGATAATGCTGCCGGAAGCAATTGCCATTGTCATGGCTCCAACCGATGAATCGAGGTAGAAACATTGTTTTCTCCCCTTTTTGCATGGTACACCACAAATATCCCCTTAAGCATTCATATTACCGATTCATTTCAACTCCCTTGTTGCACAGCCCACACGGAATATTTCATCTATCAGACCCAGCCGGAGTATCTGTGATCCGTAACTGCCAGCAAAGGGGCTTCCATCCGCACGAGGAGCCCTTGGATGGAAACCCCATCTACGAGCATTGCTCCCACGTCTACCTCAACTCCAAGATGAAGTTCGAGGTCATGGATCTTCGGTAAGCCTTTTTTTCCTGAAGCCACCACCAACATAATCCCTAAGCTAATGATCATGGTACACATAAATATCTATATCTCAACGAGCTCTGTAAATACAATTGCTTTTCCCCCCTGCTACGATTTACTTCCGCAGCTCCCTGTACATAGCCTCTTGTAATGTGTATTACATATCGCATCTCCGAGTCATTCCCAACACAAGCCTATCATCACCATGGGTCGCGAACCGAGTTGATGTTTGAGTGGAATCAAACCGCGGGTTGGATATAATTCAACTCGATCTCTATTTTTAAATTCCACACTTTTTTCTTCTCTCTTTGTTTTCATTCCTAGTACAAAAGGGACTGGAGTTACGTCTGGCTGGCCGAACTGTGTTTTACCTTGGACCAGACAAAATTGCCCTGTACCTGCTGGTCACTACACTATTCTCTCTAAGGGTTCTCCGGCGAGGGTGGACCACGTAGCTTGAGTAGAAAGGGAAGGAAGAGGTGGCGGCCCATTGCGCAAGTTGCCAGTGAATGCCATTAAAGGGCGCAAGGTACTCTTTTCCGACGGTGGAGCCTTAAATTGCTCTCCCTTAGGCGTAGTGTGAATGAAAACTGGATAGTGAACAGAATACTACTACCGCCAACCTCCCTTTCGAGAACCGCCCTACAGGGAGAAACCATTACTGCTTTACAGCGCAATCGTCTTAATTTCTTTCTGGGGGCATATTGAATTGAATCTTCTCGTTGATTCGGCATCTCTCGGTGGCGGAATAAAGACCTTTTTTGATGCGGATCCGACCGACCCAGGTTCTGCGAGTGTCGTCATTCCTCGCTGACCCGACTTTCGGGAGAAAGTGACAATTTTTTGTCAAATCTCTGGAAAAGCGAGACGTTGGCAGGTAATGTGTGCGGACGGAGGGGAGAGGTGCCGGGATTCTGCCAGCTTGACGAAAGCCATTACGGCAGACAGCACTCTTTGCTGTTCTCCTTCACACCCCAAGCTCCCTTGATCAAACGTTAGCAAAAGAGGCAATAAGAAAGGCGTTTTTTTTGTCTCCTAATGGTGACTTGGGTGGGTAGGGTGGGATTTTGGTGTTAAAACTCATCCATCATTCGCGCACATTTAACGAGTTGGTATTTGATACAGTTGCGACCCGTTTTTTCGCACGTAAATTTTTCAGTTGGCCGCTTGAAATGAAAATGTTGGTCGACGAAGAAAACAAAGTCACTCTGGCCACAAATCATGGAAGCAAAGGATCTTTTATTACACAACAAAGTAATTTAAGTAGTACAAAAAATGCTCTTTATGTTCCTCTTTTAGAAGTTGATGGTCGGTGTGTGATACTGCTAGGAATATGAAGAACTAATTGATAGTATAAACGATAAATAACTCTTTTTTCGTCACGTGAAATCGAGATGCAGGCCATTCTGATGACCCTCAACAACCCACCCATCCATTGCGATTTAAGTTATTTGAGGATAGTTCGATTTGAAATCGCGTATTAACCACCCGACAACACTTCCCCCCGTCATGCTGACGAAAGATTATGGGCAGCACTCTTCTTTTAACTCGAAGAAGTCAAATTCACAATCCCTCCACGTCACTTTTTCATGATTGAAAATTGCATGTACCTCAGACATTGATACATGGCCTAAGTTCGTCCAGTCGTCCTACGTATTTGAATCGAAGCATATATAGTTAGTAACCGAGAGTTTAATCAATGGATCATGACAAAAAAAAGCTTGAATGAGTGATGGACGTGACTGACCAGTGGTTGGTGGGTGGTCGAAGCCGGTGAGTGAGTGATTCACGTGGAATATTCTCCACCCAAGAAGAAGAACGGCAGCTACGACCTTTTGCAAGTAAACATCGTCACTCACCAACTCATTGGACCAAGTTCAGTTGGATCACCCAACCTGAAAAACGACAATGCGAAGAAAAACAGAGTGTCAACGAAAAGGAAGAAAAACAGAGCATCTCTAATCTATCACTAACTATACTGAAAAACCAACCGCCAAATGCCAATACCACCAATGCCCATTCTCGATATCATTATGGAGCCAGCGGGCAACTTGTATTTTCGGGCTGAAAAGGGCGTGACAGGAAGAGGCAAAAGGAATGAAATTTACTAAGGAGTTGGGCGGGCGTTGGAGGTCGAGGAATTGGGGGGGAAACTCTTCTCCCAGCTAGAAGCATTTAACGTTTATGCATGTAGGATGATGATATTTATGCGGGCCTGCTTGCTTAGCACTTTTTTTTCTTTCTTTCTTTCTCACTTGGTGTGTTTTTGGGCTGTATATTGAAGTTTTTGGTGCTTTGTTCATAATGGGGAACCATGAAAGGGAGAGAATAGAAAGATCGATTGAGATATCTTTGCCTTCAAGAAACACCCCAACTGTCTGCATTGAATGTGTCCAACGAACCGCCCGAAAAAAGAAACTACTAATACCTGGAGAATAGAAGAAGAGAGGACGTCACACACACACACTGGACTCGACTCGACTTGTGCTGTTCCCTTCTCCACCTCTACCGCTTCCCGTCCATGGATGTGCTAGTGGGTTGCCCGTGGGCCGGTTTTCGTTCATCTCGGTCAGAAATCGACGAGACGTGGCAAAAGGTTTGAGGGAGTGTCGGACGAATGAGATCTGATTTACGATTTTCGTTGATCTGGGTTGTAACTTGCGCGGACGTGAATAGGTTACGTAAAGTATAGGAATTTTCGGACGTGCATAGTATAAGAGCAGTCCATGACGTTCAAATCACGGGTTCGATCGTGGTTATTCGAACACTAGAACTTCAAACCCAACGGACAACTTGTTTATTTCACATGGTTATGCAACGGACAGGGCTGCAAACGAGCCGAGTCGAGTCGAGTTTTTGCTTAGCTTGAGCTCGGCTCGTTTATTAATTTTTCAGCTCGAGCTCGGCTCGAACTCGAATTTTGATAATCCAGCTCGAGCTCGAGCTCGGCTTGAATAAAAATAATCTAGCTCGAGCTCGACTCGGTAGAGCTCGATAAATGCTCATTAACATAGCTTGTTAAGCTGAGTACAAGCTCGGCTCAAGATGAGCTCGATTTAAATCATTTTTGCTGGAAAAATGTATAAACATAAGAATTTAAATGATAGAAAGAACACTAGAAACTAGAAATAATATCTAAATTTCATACACATCTGTATTATAAGACAATGTTCATGTTTAAAAGAGTAATTCATCCTTCCACAAGCTCAAAACAAGGCAGCTCGCGAGCTTAGCTCGACAAGCCACCGAATCAAGCTAGCTCGCGAGCTTATCAAGCTGAGCATGGTCTAGCTCAGGCTTGGCTCGTTAACTAACGAGTTGGCTCGCGAGCCGGCTTGTTAAATAACGAGTCGAGTGTCGAACGAGTTTTTTCCGATTCGAACGCCGAGTTGCTCGCGAGCGGCTTGGCTCATTTGCAGCCCTAGCAACGGTATATCATATAGAAGTTATTAGAATAAAACACCACGAAACAATAAGAAGATTAAGAAGATCGTGGGGACCGATGAGGAGGGGAGGACTTGGGGTTTAACTTGATCGCAAGCTATTGTTCCAAGTACGGAATTGAATTAAAACGTGACTGAAAACATTAAAGGAGAAAAAAATCTTAAATATAATGACGGAACGTACGAATCTGATCCGTCGATTATAAAAACCGATGAATCGTTACCGACTTTCCATCGTCGCTCGAATGTTATCGCCGCGAACATTTACCCACATTGATTGCTACTAGCTCATCACTACCATTGCGGTTCAGCATTTACAAAGCAAATCTCTAGTAAATCTCTCAAACACACAAATATGATGAAACTGAAAAAAACTACAATCAATATATGTCCTTGTTCTGTACAAAATCTTGCCTTAATAGAGAAAAGGGAGGTGAGCGCCACAATTCACTTGCTCTCCATTTCTGAGTGTGGGCCCAAGAATCTACTAAACCTGGTAATTAGTCAACTTGATTTAGTAGGAGATGCATCCAGCAAAAGGCAAAACCACAAAAAAATTTCAATCCCAAATGGGTACTTAAGATGGTGGGTAAACTCCTCTCCATCAGCCTACGTGGCACTCCCTAATCCCAATACGTGTCCACATCGCCACCATCTCTCTCTTCTTCTTCCTCTCACCCAAGCTCGTATATAGTACGGGGAGGCAGAGTATGGAAGAAAGACACTGTCCACTTCTTCACTCATCTACTTATTATTACTTCTACCACTCTGCTTTTTTTCCCTTTGTCCCAAAAAAAAAAAAAACACTCTGCTTTTGTCCCCTTCTCGTAAGCTTTGCTGCAGCAGCAGTCATGGGGAGAGCGCCCTGCTGCGAGAAAGTTGGGCTGAAGAAAGGGAGATGGACTGCCGAAGAAGACCAGATCTTGACCTCTTACATTCAGCAGAATGGCGAAGGCAAATGGCGCTCCCTCCCCAAAAACGCTGGTAACATCCCCTGCCTCAAACCCTTCCTCCTCTGTTTTTCACTCTGTTTCACGGCTTATAATGTTATATCCATGTTCTGAATCCTACCCTCAGACGCTTAATGTAAGAGAATGATATAAGATTCATATTCCGGTCTCTTGCTCGAGCAGAGGCCGAAATAAGTGTCGAATGTGAAGGTTGCTGATGCATTTTGGCTGCTGTTGTTGTTGTTAGGGTTGTTGAGGTGCGGGAAGAGTTGCAGGCTGAGGTGGATTAATTACCTGAGGGCGGATGTGAAGAGAGGCAACATCAGTAAGGAAGAAGAAGAAACCATCGTTAAGCTCCATGGCTCCCTTGGCAATAGGTACTATTTAATTTCTCTTGTCTTTACTTGTCCTTTCTCTCTAGTTGATGTTGGCCCAAAGAAGTTAAGTATCTGGAGCCCAGAAGCTGAAAGGTTATGCCAGTCCATGCCAATTCCAACTAGTGTGTCTCTCTCTCTCACAGTCTCTCGGTTCGACCGCGGTCGTATAAACCGGTTATTGGTTGCGACTCTTACGAGTCGTAATCTTCTTAGGTTATTGTCCTTTTTTTTCCGGCTCGTGCTTTTTTGGTCCGATTTTCATTGACGGTGATCCCACCCGATCGTTATTAATTCAATTTGTTTTGGATTTCGCTGACGTGCTGATCGGGATGGTCTTGTTGGCAAACTATCCCTCGATTGTCACCTGATCGAAAGTGTTTGGGGGCGTCATTGTTTACAAAGTTGAAAGATTATGTGAAGTCAAAACTCATGTTGACAGCTACGTACGTCTATCGGTATTCCAACATAATCAAATTAGAATGTGTTGGGGTTTGCACGCACAAATTCTTTTTCTTGTTTTCTTGTTCGTTGTTTCTGTCTCTTTAATTTCTAAGCTTGATAAAGCTAAGGTTTTTGATTCGTCACCAACAATATGAGGAAACGTACGTAACAACTTTACTTTTGTTTGTTATCTCAATTGAACTCGTAAGCAACTTTTACATGTTCACTTTTGTGTTCGTTTTGTACGAACGTAAATTGTATAGCAGAAACTTAGCCAGACCAACTTAAGGACCGGTGAATGTACCATAGGAGCCAAAACTAGTAAGCCTAACAATTTATGAAACCATGACCTAAACCGCCGGCTTGCCTAGTCTTTTTTTCCCCTCCCCACACACCCAATTAATTGGGACAAAGTAACAAAAAAAAATAAAAAAAAATTTGGTGGTTATTCTATTTATTATGGGCTGTCCTTCTTGTCACGTTATTGCCTTTGAAAGAAACCCATGAGACACAACTTATTTCTACTGTACTGTATTTTTAGCTATGGAAATAGATACATGGTACAATTTCTGTCCTAGGTATTAAATTTTTGTGTACAAATGGTTGTTTGTTAAATGAAAAAGGATTTTCTAGCGTGGTGATATCGTAATCGTTTGTCTGTCATGGTATAGAGACGTTGGACTCGAGTCTCTTTGTTTATTCAAGAAGAAGTTGTTTTTCAATAAAAAAGAAATTTTTATTTGTTTGTCGCTAAAAATTAGTTTATTAGCTGTGCTGATGGATGATTGATGATTGTGTTGATTAGACTCGAGGCTTAATTACATTCTAGAGTTCTTTGTAAACCTAGAAATTTTGATTTTATGGCCACACTAGAGAAGACAAGACCTTTCTTAAAAAAAAAAAAAAAAAGAGGACAAGACCTTCAACAAGCAAACAAAAATCTCCAAAATTTATGGAAATTAAATATTTCCTTCAATTGGAGTTATATTTGAATATTAAACCCAATTAAATGACCACCGATTTTCCCAACTCAAGTTATTCATCTAAATTGAAGAATGTATCTTGCTTCTTATTGCCTGGTGCTTTTGTGAGACGTACGTTCTTTTCAAGTGAAAGTTGTCATGTTCACAATATTTTCACGAATTCACCATATCTTGCATCTAAATCAAGGCACAATAGAGTTAATCGATTACCATATAATTTAAAGATGTGACATTTCGTTTCCCAATACTTTGTGATATCATGTCAATGTACCAATCATATATCAAATTGTGATAAAGGAATCTTTGTACTATTATTCTCATTGTAAATGAAAAAATATCTCACATGTGTTGGAGAGTTCTCCTACGTTGAAAACAAAAAACAACACATAACCGAGAATGTAACAAGAAAGCAGATTGGGTAGCTAGAAATGCTCGCCTTAATCTTCTTCCTCCGGATTGGATTACTGTGCTAAATATTGTTTCTCCTATGTTGTAAGCCTCGTCTTATTGGGTATGAATGAAATGAATGTTTATTAAAAAAAAAAACACTTTGCAAATAGTAGCTCCCATTCTTCCATTGTATTGAGGTGACTAGGTGTAGTTTTTTACATCACAAATTAGTTGGGCCAATTTCATGAAAAAAGTAGTTGGGCCAATTAGTTAAATTTAATTTAATATATTAAGAGATATTATAGATGTAATTACAGTAGATTATATTTTTCCCCCCACAAATTAGGTTATATTTTTTTTAATTTAAAATATTAAGAGATATTCTAGAAGGACAGGCTTTGCTTGCTCAAACACAAACACAAACCAAAACCAAACACAGTACCACAGCCTCATTAATTAGTGTCCTTATTTTTCCAAATGGTTACCTGTCGGTTGTCCATTTCTTTCTTTCCCATTAAAAAGAGGAGCCTTCTTCTTCCTTCTTCTTTTCCAACGGTGTAATTAGGAGCCGCGTCATCTCTCAACTTGGAACCCTAATCAATGCGTCACTTCCTAGCAAGCTTAGCTGGCCTCGTAACATTTTTCTGTCTTTATTACCTTACGACGAAACATCAAAATATCAACAAACTTATAGTCCAACGATATTTTTTCGTAGTAAAGTACGTAGTGATTCATGATTGAGTGTGTAAGTTCTAGCCATTCCCTGCCAAAACTATTATTGGACTGGGTCCAGTCCAATTCTGACAAAAGAAATCAACCGATCCAGTTTTTTCACCTCCTATATTCGGCCCATTATTCGGGAAGTTTTTTTACTAATTGTGGGGGCCCAATTACTGTTCCAGGTGGTCAGTTATAGCGGCCCAATTACCGGGAAGAACGGACAACGAGATCAAGAACTACTGGAACTCTCATTTGAGCCGCAAGATCTACACATTCCGCCGCTCCTCCTCCTTCGATTCCTCCGCCTCCTCCACCGCCTCCTCCTCGTCTTCCACCACCACCGCCTTCGTCGACGATGTCGGCGCCGCCGCGGCCGCGCGCAGCAGCAGAAAGCGGAAAAAGGCTGCGGCGGCGGCGACGGCGGCGAAGGAGAAATCTGAGAATCCCGGCCGGAAGCAAGACGAGAAGTCTGCAGCTCCGGTAAGCGGGATCACTACCTCCGCCGGGGAGAATGGGAGCGAAGGTGACGGCGGCGGGGATTTGGGTTTCGACGGTGGAGAATTGATGATGGAATTGGATGGAAACGCGGAAGTTGTTGTGGGAGGTGAAGAAGAGGGGATTTTGGGACCGTATGAGTGGCTGGATAGTGAAATGAACCGGCTTAAGAGCAAGCTCCATCATTGCACTGAGGATGGAGGAGAAGGACAGGGGAAAGAGGATTTGGCAAGTGGGGGAATGAAGAATGGTTGTGATGGTGAAAGGGTCGTGGTTGAGAGTGAGAGTAATAAAGGAATTGAAAGCAGTAGCAGCAGTGCTAGTAACAGTAATAACTGTAACTGTGAGCATCATGATCAGGGGGAGGAGGAGAAGGCGGAGGAAGAATGGCTGGACTGGGACCAGATCACTGGAGGGGACGAGATTCAGAACATTCATTGGGATGAAGGCGACAGCAGCATTTTGTCTTGGCTCTTGGATGGCAATGAACAGCTGCAATAAAAGGGATGAAGGAAGGAAGGAATTCGGTGGGAACAAGTTGGATTGGATTATCTTGTTTGTTAGCTTGTTATCTTTAGAAGTCATATATATATGTTTAATTACTCTAGCTATATGTATGGTTATTTGTAAATAGAGACTATAGAGGTCTGATTAGGTGTTGTTTGAATGAATCTCTCTGAGGAGAGAAAAGGGTACTTTTTCCACGTCTCAGAGAGGAAAGGGATCAAATTGCTGCAGTTTTGGGTCTTGTGTTTGTCTATTTAATCATGTTATAGCCACAGAGCAATCAAGAGCATGACAGTTTTGTTGAATGGATCTCTCTGCAAAAGGGGTACATTCCTGCCCTGGAAGAGGAATCAATCAAGTGGCTGCAAATTTTGCGTCCTTTCCATCTTTGTCTTTCAATGCTTTGATTACAAGTTTCAATAACCCTTTTATGGAGGTATGATGTTTAAGAGACTGTTTGCTGTTTAATGCATCTCTCTGAAAAAAGTACTTAACAGGTCTCAAATCAAAATGGCTGCAGATTGTCTCTGTTTGTCATGGCAGTCTGCTGGTCACAATTTTGGCAAAGCCTTTGTATGTGTAAAAGGTCAAGAGACAAGAAGCAATCAAGATGCAATTTTCAATTCTGTTGGGTGTTCAACGAATCTCTGAAAAAGAGGTACTTTCCAGGTCTGAAGGAGAAATAAATTTGGCTGCAATTCTGACATACCCCTTTGCCTATATTTTCTTTCATGAATACCAACCCTTTATCTATATATAGAAAGCCAAAAAGCAATCAAGACATGGTTTAAGAACCAATACTTCCTTAGAACTGCAGAAGAACAAATGGAGCGGAGATTTTGACACATTCATTGACATAATAACCGTCCTCTTCAAACTTAGGCCGGCTGGATCAAGGGTGCTTCTGGATATCGGCAACCAATTCATCAACCAACGAATCGAGTATGAGCCCGTCAATCTCTTTTCCAACAACACAGAATGCATCTTCTTCATAGTCAAGCCAATTGCCATATTGGCTTCCCATGTCCTTGTCCACAAGCTCATCCACCATGCAGTCTCCCATCTTTCTCCAGGACACGATCTCCTTCTGCACTTCTTCGGCCAACCAGTCTTTTCTTCCAATGACTGTCACTCCCTTTTCCCACGCTTTATACCCTCCATTGATGTATCTCCTGCATCTCCAGTCCAGGCATTCACTCACACAGTCAAACAGTTCCTTCTTTTCAAGCTTCGACGAATCATTTTGATTTTTCTCCATCTGACTGAAGAGGTGTGGGTTCACGACCTCACTGGACCTACCGATTGCAAAGTCATGGAACATCAAATCCAGATAGACAAGCATCTTCTTCACGTATTCACCCTCCCAGTTACTTGGTTTTTTGAAGTCTGGTAATGTGTTTGCATGGGAGCTTGTAGATGAAGCTGAATCAAGAAGCTCTGCATCGGCATATGGCTGGTGATGTTTCTTAGGGAAAGTGAAGCTAAGGACTTGCTGTGCTTGAATAGAGGACGAGCACTGCTTGCCTGTTTAGATGAAAAGTCATACAAGGAGGAAAAAAGATGAGAACACTTATGGAAGTCAGAGTGAGTAAACCTGTCTACAAGTTGCAAACATTTGTACCAACAAGTTGCAGACATTGAAAACACAATGTAGAAATTTACCTTCTGTACTGCTACTGTCCATGCTCTCCAATGTGCAGCTGCTTTCAGTTGAGAAGGAGTGATCAAGAACTGAGATCGGGCTTGGCCGCCTGCAATCAAGCAGCTTTTCATGATCATAATATTTGCTGCTAGTGCTGCTGCATTCCTCCATTGCATCAACTCCCCCCTGCTAAATTTGCAAGTGACATATATAACTCCCCAGAAACCAGGAAATGAACACTCTTTCTAATGGAAAAGAGAAAGAGAAATTACGGGTACCTTAAATATGGGTTTGAATCTATATGCCACTGGATCAGGTGAAAACGAGCTAGCCCCATAGCCTCCAAACACTTTCTCTCGACATGGTAGTAGCTGCTGCTTCTGATATTCCTTAACTTCAGATGATCCAACTTTACCAATGGTATTGCGGCTAGAAGACTCGACAGCATCAGTTAGTTCCCTCAACTTCTGCTCCAATAGCGAAGTCAAAGCATCTCCCCCTGAAGACAACTTCCTGGTTTCCGAGTCGATCAACAAACGCTTACTAGGATTTGGCGTTTCAGGCATTGATGAAGATCTTGCAAGAGGAGTTGTAAATGTGAACGAAACGACATCACTTCCTTTCCTCTTGCTCTCTTCTGCCGCCCAAGTAAAGTTCTTCGCTTCATCCTTTGGGCTTCTGTCAATCGACATGTTGTCTATTGCCCGTTTCTTCCTTGGAGGAGTTTTCTTTATAGAGTAGTTTGATGAATGACCTTCATCTGTGCCTGATTTCCTGGACCCATATTTATAACCGGTCGAAGATTTTCCTGAAGCTTTGGGTCGCTCGTAAGGATTCCCTGAGTTTATTTTTCGACTCTGGACACTTGAAATGGAGGGTTTTGAGGACGATTTAACTTTCTCCATTGAGCAATTCTGTTTCTGATTATTCTGTCTTAGTACTGGAGATGGTGGAGAAGAAGACCTCTTAGATGATGTCTTCTGGAAATTTGTTTGTTGACTCCTGAATGGCTGCTGGCTTGTTGCCATATCACCACTTGGTCGCTCTTTCTGCTGCTGCTGCTGCTGCTGTTGTTGTTGCTGTTGCTGTTGCTGTTGCTGTTGCTGTTGCTGTTCTACTACTATACCCCGATTACCTCTCGAGGTCAAGCCTTCTCTTCTCTGTTGTACATTAACCTTTGCTTGGACAGCAAGTGACACGGATTTCCCCTTGCTTTTTTGACCATAAGACGAAGAAGATCCTTCCTCCAGCTCATGGGAAACCCTAAAAGTACTTGCTGCATCAACTGTTGATCCATTCCAGCTCTTGTTCATAGGTTGGCCTTTCAAGCACTTAGCAGCGTTCGACTCAGCAGGCTTCCTAGAAGCAGTTTTCTCCTTGGCATGATCACGGGCTTCAAGTCTCGACTTCAAGTTGCGAACTTTCAAGGGTGCCGATGAAGAAGAAGAAGAGAGCTTTGACTTGGGAGGAGGAGCTTGCGGACTAGACTCGATGATCTTAGCAGCGGCTTCCATTATGTGAGCAGCAGAATGGCTCGGTACGAAATGGGCACTCTTTATAGGTGAGAGAAGTTTATGATGAGTAATAGGGATGGATTTAGCAGACTTGGGAGGCAAGACTTCGGTCTGGAACTTCTCCATAGGCCTGCTTACCGCCTTTTGAGGCCTATGGAGCAGCTCGCCTGAGTACATGCTGTGGTAGTCATGATGGTAGTAAGCGGATTGATTTCTGCTACTGTGAGAAGACGATTCACGTAGTGACTGAGTATCGGAAAATGCAGTGGTGCCCTTGTGCTCCAGGAAACTGGATGTTGTTGGCATGGAATCGAGCCCCATGAGCCTTGCTATAGCTCCAGCTGGCCTAGCTCCTCCATATCCATCTTCATCTGTGACTGAAGAAGCACAACTGTAGTCGCCACCACTTCTTATGCTGCATGGTCCTCCTCCATTCTCGTCGTCATCCATCTGGTTTGAAATCGCCACAAAAGGAATCACATAAGTGATGGAATGTATTCTGATCAGCAGACCCCAAGATTCACAGAATGAAGTAGCTATCATCATCTCTTACCAGACGGAGCCGTGTCATTGGCAAGTTTCCGTCACTTCGCTTCCCTTGCTTCGACCGTTCTATGAAGAGACAACGAGAACGAGATTAGGCAAAACCATGATCAAGAATTCTGGAAAGCCAAGGTAAACCAGTTGTTTATTTTTACCTGGTAAGTCCGATTTGCTCGAGAACAACTTCTTCCTTGATTTTCCAGACCAGTCAAACAGCTGAAAGAAACCACCAACGTAGCCTCCTCCATTCTTTCCATCTTCCCTATCCATCCTCATCTCTCTAGACCGACTATCAAGCCCTTGTCAAACAAAACGATGACTCACAACACCCATCTGTAACAGGAGACTGTTGTATCAGTAAAACCCTAGCTGTTGGAATCTCCTAATCCATCAGATAGCCAAACTTCATTATCAATTCTCTACAAACTACAGCAGAATGTGAAAACTGGGAAAACAGCTGAACTTTCTAGACACCTAAGATGGGGAATGAGCTCAATTGCTAGCTTAGCTAACCTGTGCATTCCATCAAGCACTACGCAAGCTAAAAAAATGACTCAATATATGTGAAATCAACTGGAAAGACTGTCGCTTTTTTTATGAGCAGAGCAGAACCCAGAAACGAATCAAGCCGAAACTACATTTCCCTCCCATGAACCAAGATCAACGAATCACGAATAGCAACAAAAAGAAAAGACCCACATTGCAGCAATTCAACAGAAACATTAGATGAAGGAGAAAAGGGAAATCCCAGAAGGCAAACCCCTTTTCTCAGCTGGCACGACACACTCACCTGGAAAACAATAGCAATGCGAGGAATCAGCTGGAAATTGACCACTGAAAAAAAAGGTCTCACTGATCTGCCTCTCCTTGAGCTGAAAAAAGGAACTCTGTTTCTTTCCGTCATATGCAGAGTTCAATCAATGTGGATAACAAGGGGAGAAAAAGCTCTGGGCTTCCTCACTTGGCTCCGGAACAGACGCAATTAAAGAGTACGGTGCAGGAGGGTTTAATGAGAGATCAGAGTACAGAGACAGGGATTGAAGAAGTGAGAAGCGAGAAGAAGAAAGGTCTTGTCGTTCTTTCTTTTCCCAACTGCTGCAATAGTTCAATTCAACTGCATTTAATGGACACCCAGAGAGAAAAAGAAAAACGCCATGAATACTCACTCTACTACTCTCCCTCCCACCCCCGTCTTCTGTTCTTCCTTTATTATTGCGATTACTATTGCGACACTCAGAAAAATAAGAAATAATCGGAGGAAATTAAATGAAAATAAGCCATATTTTCTTGTTTTTTCTCCTCAGTTCAAAAAAAGGGCCGCACAACGTCTCTTTTGGCAGAGGAGAACAAAATTCAAATTCCCCGACAGAAATTGTTTTTTCTCCGTTTTCTATTAAGCGGGGGGGGTTTGATAACTTCACGGGTTGGTGCACGGAAGAGCGGGCGTAGATGTGTGACACGTGGTCGGAGATTGAGTGTCGTCCGTCGATTCTGTGGAAACGGGGAATCCTTTTTGACGGGACGGGGCAGCTATGGATTGAGATGTGCGAACGTCAGCGGGGCAAAAGGGACTTTTCCACTGAGGAGGAGCGGGATGTCTTGGAAAAAGTCAGCAACGTCTTATATAGGGGAAAAGTTGGTTGGGCCCGACCCGGATCTAAGGAATGGAGCCCGGCCCGGTAAACGAGAAGACAAATTACAAAATCGAAGCTCCAGGATCCAGATCAGTGTACTTTGTCAAATCAAATCACCCTTCGAAACCAATTAATTTTTTATACATTTTTCATAAACCAAAACAATGCTATTGTAATTACACCATAATTTGGATTCGTGAAAGTAACATGACATTTACTATTTCGAACTAACATATATATATTTTTTCGAACATCGTCAGACTTCATTTAGTACAACTAAATATAAATTATAATTAAAAATACGATAAACATAGCCCGATATCAATAATAAACCCAAACACGAATTTACATAAAACTTATTTGAAAAAAAAAGGGTTAATTGCATGGTTGGTCACTGAGATTACAAAAAACGTTTATGTTTGGTCACTCGAAATATTTAAATCCATTTTTGGTCATTAACTTTACAAAACCCGTTCATTTATGGTCACTCTCCGTTAGCCGCCGCCCAACGTCGTTAACGGCGTCCGTTAAGTGATGACGTGGCTGACGGATTCACCTAATCAGCACCTTTTAACCCTAAAATTGACTGACCCCACCCGCCATGTCATTTAAACCCTCCATGTCAGCTAAACCTAACCAAACCAGACCAGACCCAACCCACCAACCCATCTATCTTAATGAAAACAGAGCATCTACTCGTCGGCGGCAGCATGTTGTGGATGTTGGGCATCACGCCGCTGTTAGCGATGGTGACGGATCACTCCTTCTCTTAAAAATAAAACAAAAAATTGATGAAGACCGAATCACTCCTTCTCTGCTTAATTTCCAACTCTCCTTTCCTCCATCGGGCGGAGGTTTTCTGTGTTCGAGGCGAAATCGTAGGGTTTTGGGAGACCGAATCGCACCCAAAATTCCAAATTCTCGAATCCCCATCTCAACTTCTCCGATGGTCGGAAGAGGAAAAGCGTTTGGCTCCGTCAAGGACAAGAAGAGCACCACCAGGAGCACCAAAGTCGGCCTGCAGTTCCCCGTCGGCCGCGTCGCTTGCTTCTGGAAGACCGACAAGTACGCTGAGCGCGTTGGTGCCGGAGCTCCCGTCTACCTTGCCGTCGTCCTCGAGTACCTCGCTGCCGAGGTAATTTCCCCATTTGCTCCTCCTCTCGATTCGAATCGCCGAGAAATCTCAGATCTAGAACCTAACCGTCGTTGCTTCGGTGATTTTCTCTCTCTCTCAAGGTTTTGGAATTGGCTGGAAACGCGGCTAGAGATAACAAAAAGACGAGAGTCATCCCGAGACACGTGCAGTTGGCGGTGAGGAACGACGAGGAGTTGGGAAGCTGCTTGGATCAGTCACCATCGCTAACAGCGGCGTGATGCCCAACATCCACAACATGCTGCCGCCGACGAGTAGATGCTCTGTTTTCATTAAGATAGATGGGTTGGTGGGTTGGGTCTGGTCTGGTTTGGTTAGGTTTAGCTGACATGGAGGGTTTAAATGACATGGCGGGTGGGGTCAGTCAATTTTAGTTAAAAGGTGCTGATTAGGCGAATCCGTCAGCCACGTCATCACTTAACGGACGCCGTTAACGACGGCAGCTAACGGAGAGTGACCATAAATGAACGGTTTTTGTAAAGTTAATGACCAAAAATGGATTTAAATATTTCGAGTGACCAAACATGAGCATTTTTTGTAATCTCGGTAACCAACATGCAATTAACCGAAAAGAAAAACTATATAGTTGATCATTTGGAGAATGAATATTGTTCAATCTCATGACCATACATGGACCACCAACTATGGACCATGGTCCAACGAATATGAGTACGTAATTAATTATTATTATATTAATGGAGGCATGCAATGTAAATATGTAATCGACCCCATCGTATTTAGGCCGTGAAATGTGGAAACTAATGGGCTATTAAGCAAGACATTCATCCCTGTATTTGGAGCCGACAACCAAAAGATGGTTTTGAAAACCAGTTTCATCATTAATTAAGGGATCCTGAGACAGCCTCTTTTTTTGCCTTGTTGTCTTTTTAGTTTGGACCCTTAACATAACAACAAATTACCTTTAATCGTACAATCACCTAGTTCTTAATGGTTTCCTTAATTAAGGTACTACACTTGATTATTCATCGTCGCATAAAAGCAAGGGCATGGAGACAAAAGGGCCCGGCCACTGTAACAAAATGTACCATATACTCTTGCGTGGTTTAGATGGAGCATTTTGGTTTTGTGATAATTTAAAGATTGTATTAATTTTAGAATATGGCATTTCAACTTGTGTGTGGGTTATTGGATTCTAATTGGTTGGATGAATCAGTCACAAAATATTGTGGAATTTCATCACTCAACTGGAGAAAAGCCCCCACCCTATGAGTTATTCTAGTTAGCTAGTGGGTGTGATGGCATTTCCAATAATTCGGAATGAGTTAATTCAAACGAACAGCTCATTTTAATTTTACCAAACGAGATATTTAAACCCGAATGACTCAATGAAAATACTTCATCGAAATGTTGCATCTTACAAAACGATTCATTGTAGTACATGCTTGTTAAATATTCCTAGTCAAGCTCTCAACTTTAGAAATTTTAACCATGAATTACACCACCTAATCAACTTATCTCCCAAAACTACGAGATGATTATATTGTGTTAAGCATTTGAAAATATGATGGATTACAACTCCCGAAAACGAACACATGATTTGCCTGTCGCTTGATCGAATTTAAAACTAACCAGTAGGTTAGTTAACTGATAACCATTCTGAATGTATCAGGGGAAAATTCAAAACAATTAAATTTTTCCCCTAACAGAATGATCCGAAATATAAAATTAAGGGGTCATTTGCAACGAAATCTCGTCGCTAAATCAACTATTTACAACGATTCGTCATTTTTTTAGTCATTAAAAAAAAATCCCCACATATACATTGATCAATCAACGCACGAGGTTCTTCAACCACCGCAGCCCGCTATTCACCGACGCCCTCACCCGACTCTCCGTCGCGTACGATCGGTACTTCACCACCCTCTTCTGCCGCTTCGCCTCCGCCTCGCTCCTCGCCCTCGCCTTCTTGTACGCCTGCCGGTAGTTCCTTGCCGCCGCCGACGACACCACAATCGGCAACGGCGAGCCGGTCGAGGCCACGATCAGTTTGTTCGCCCGCCCCGGCGGCGGCTCGAGTTTGGCGACGTCGTGGGAGAAGACGGCCAGCCCGACGTTGTTGGTCGGCTCGTCGTAGTTCCATTCACCGGCGTTGTTGTACATCCGGTCGTTGGCCGCCCGGAAATCCTCCATTTCCCTCCTCGTGGTTTCTCCCAACGTATGCATCGCGTTTTTTTTTAGTTTTAGCGACGGAAACTGGGAGTGGTCGGGAAAAGGAGGAGGAAGAGTTTTTTGTAACGAGGAGAACCTTAACACATTGGAAATGGAGAAATGGTCATTGTAATTGTTACGGGCTTTTATGTGTTCTTTTATTTCTTCTTCTTCTTTTTTTTTATAAATTTATTTCTGTTTTATTAAAATTCATCCAAAAAAAATTAAGGACTTCAAAATGCAAAGATTAATTGTGGTTGGAAATGGATTTTAGGGGAAAGAGAAAATGACTTGGACGGATGAGATTGAAATTCACGAGAGCCACCATTTTAAAGAGAACTCTTTTTTCTTTGTGAATTCTCCTAAAATTGGCAGCTAAGGCAAAGTGGGAAATGAGGAGTGAAATGGGCCTACCCATTTTGTCAGTTGTTGGGAGCCCAGCAAATCGGGGAGAGCTCATTTGATTCGAGTTCAACTGGCCCATTAGGCTAACAAGTAACAACAAAATCAAACAGCCAACCACACCGTACGCCATGCCCCGCCAGTTCCCGTTTTGCCTTTTTTTCCTCGCCATTTTGTCCTTCCTATCCTCCGTCTTTAATTCCCTCCGAAAAATCTAACTGACGTTACAGTTCTTCCTCCGTCCACGCCTGCCGGAGCGCGGTGACTACTGACTAGTGGATTCTTCGTTTCAGAGAATGCACAATCGTCCGTACCTCTCTCTATTGTATCCAGCTGAAACTCCGGTTTTTGACCGAATCTTCAAATTTGTTTACGCTCTTTTGTTTCCCGCCTACATGATCGAGTTGATTGCTCCGTCGATGGCTGTTTCACTGAGATTTCTAGGGTTTTTTTCGGACTGAACCGATCTTGCCAAATTCGACGAACGTTGAGCTTGTGCGTTCGATTTTGGACTGGAATTGTCGATTTTCAGTGGAGTGAGTGAGATTGCCGTCTTAATTTTGCCTTTCCCGAAGAAATATCATAGTAGTTGACGGAGCTGGAGAAAGGTGTTAAGCTTGGTTATTTGCCGTTTATTGAAGTTGATGTGAGGAACCTTTTGCAGTCATTCAGAAATGTTAACCGTGATAATAATGCTGTTGATCTTCTTTCTTGGTATGTGTAAGAGAATGAAGGATGAAGATCATAGCTTCAAGTATGAGTTCAAGATAGATGGGAACAATAGGTTAGAGCATATAGCTTGTTCTTATCCTTTGTCGATCCAATTGAGGCTTTTGGAGATGCAATAGTTTTCGATACTATTCGCCGGGTTGAGGCATACAACATGCTGCTGGGTATTGGCTTGGTGTAGATAATCATGGCATGAACTGTTTCTTCAGTTGTGTGCTTTTGCGTGATGAGAATGTGCTGTCCTTCCCTTAGTTCTTGAGCTAGCTTTTCCACTATGAAGGTAAGAAATGAGGATAACTTTCTTGAGCTAGCTTTTCCACTATGCCAGTTGCTTATGGTTCATTATGTTTTTGCAGGCGTTTAGAGGCTTTATGAATGAGAAGGCTCCACAGACGATTTTGACATACCAGAATGTGTGGCTGAAGGAAGCTATTGCAATCGAGATGCCAGAGAGCAGACATGCCTTCTGCATCTGGCACATTGTTGCAAAGTCCTCAGGTTGGTTATATGTGTTGCTGGGACAGTGTTATGATGAATAGAAAGCTGAATTATTAGACTCCTCAACCTTGAATTTATTGAAGATTTTGAAGAAGGATGGAGGGAAATGGTCAATGAGTATAGTCTTCACACGAATAAGCACATTTCAAGCATACATGCTCTGCGCATGTTTTGGGCGTTGCCCTTCTTGAGACGTCACTTCTTTGCTGGAATGACTATACCTGCCAGTCTGAGTCGATCAATGCGTTTATTCAACGGTTTCTCAGCGAACAGTATCAACTTGATCGCTTTGTAGGGACTAAAGAGGGATGTGTATCATTTCTTATTCCATCTCTTCCTGATGCTTTACTTAAAAATGACATAAGCTAAGCCTTTCTAGTGCAGGCATTTGATGTTGTCGCTTCTAATCATAAGCCAGAGATGCAACGAAAGGTGCAGAAGGTTTTCCTCAAAATGGGTTCACCAATCGAATCACATGCAGCTGCTGTTCTTACTCCATTATGCTTTCCAGAAACTCCAAGATGAGCTTGTGCTAGCTCCACAGTATGCATCTTTCCCACTAGATGAGTACTGTTTCCAAGTGAGGCATCACACTGAATTGAACGGCGGCTGTAAAGTGATCTCTGATCCTTGTCAAGAGCACATCCGCTGCAGCTGCAATCAGTTTGATTTCTCCGGGTTTCTCTGCAGGCATGTACTACGTGTCCTGTCATCAAGCAACTGTTTTCACATACCAGGTCAATACCTGCCAAATCGATGGTGTGTTAATGCTTTGTCTTCAACAGTGCACTCCGAGAGGATTCATTATCTACAGTCGCTGACCTCAGAACTTGTGGCAGAGTCAAGCGAGATAGAAGAGTGACTCGAAGTTGCTTGTAAACAGATTTCGTCATTATTATCTCGCATCAAGGAGCTTCCTCGTTTTGATCATGAAGAAGAGAATGATTATATTGCTTGGGGAAAGCTGAAGGAGAGAAAAGCTAGAGATGGGTTTGAACTAACCAGAAAGCGAAGGCATTGCTCAGGCCCTTGCTGTGGGCAGTTTGGACACGATGCATTAGAATGTCCAATAATGGGTGGTGATCAGCTGAATGGCGGAGAACTCGGCTGCTTATAATGCAGAATTCTGGAATTAGAACCTTTGATTGCACTGGATGCTCACCTCCTTCTAACTTTAATGTTTTGGGCACTCCGATCTAACCAAGTGAGTTTCTGATTCAATTATGTGAATTTTGATTAGAATAGCAGAGATTTCTTCTTGCTACTTCGTCTTAAAAGGATGAATCAAATTTTCTAATGTTCGGCCGTGATGCCTCTCCTTCCATAGTAAAGTTCTGAAGTGTAACTGAAATTTTGATTCTGTAATATATACATGGCCATTGAAGTATGGTAGCATCCTCAGCTAAAGTACACATGTTTCAGATCTTGAAGCTATTGTCATTGTACTTCATATCATTATCTCTTGTTTATATACAGGATGACAGAAATGTTTGAAAGCCATACTGCTACAGGATACCTTATTCATCTGCTGAATCGTCTGCCAAGGATACCTTGCTTAGCCTACTTGGCAACGTCCTCGCAATGTTGTTGGCAACTTTTCTACCCTTCACCTTGTGAGTATGTGATCGAAAGAGCGCTCTCTGTGCAAGTGCTCTCTCAAAACCAGAGTTTCCTGTGGCTTTTGTGTTAGGCTTTTTGTCTGTTGGAAGACTTGCTTGTTTGTTGCTTGTGCATGCAGCCTCCTGATCTCCAGCATTGCCCTTGTCAGCAGAAGACATTTTCTGCCGAAACCACAGACAGAGTGAACTGAAGGTTATCAGGATTGCTGATAAAAAGGTACTGCTCACTCTCTTGAGATTTATAGGGTTATGAGAATGGTTGTTATGAAGCCACAAGAATAGGGTACCACAAGGGGATATATGTTGGCCACAAGTGGGGGATTTTAGATGGACAGGATAGCCGTACTTCTGGGGTGCTTAGAGAATCAACGCCCAGTGAAAATTCTTACTTGATAGAATAAGTTTTCCTTATCTTGAGTGTTAAGCAATCGAAAGATGCAGCTAGGGAATTATCTACCCAAGTGTTCTTGAACAAGTTTGAAACTTTTTCCTAGGATGCCAAAGTTCATCTATATCTTAATTTTCTTAAGAACTTCATTTTCTACAGTTTGCATAACTGTTAAACCACCATGGAAGGAACCAAAGCATAAAGTGAGTAGCTGAATGTGACTAGCACAATCTTTCTCCCTTTTTCTGTAGATTTTGTGCAAAAGGGCCATAGCATGAAGGACAGGTGCCTGCAAACAGACACACACACTCAGGTCAACCCTTACCCATATGTTTATGCGCAGTTGTAAAAGCCTCCTAGATTTTTGTACTTCTCAAGGTTCTGATTGGTTACAAACCTAATTTGGACAGAAGGGTAGAACACTAAGAACAGGAAGGGAGCCATGGGGTTCAAAGTTCAAACCCAGCTCAACCCTTCTGTGTTACTCTTTCACTAGGGGTTGACAACGATTCGGTTCACATAGGAATGGGTTGGGTTAAATTGATGTTTCGGTTTCTGATCTTTGATTTGGTTATAGTACAGACCCGACCTCCTGGCCAGTCTAGACCAGGCCTATCTTACCTCCGACCTTTTGAGTCTAAGAAAACTGGGTAATCCTTTACTGTCCATGTCTACTCTAGAGAAACTTCAAGATTTCACTTCCATATTACTTCACGTTGACTCAGAAGCCCCTTATAGATTTTGGACTGTGGGATAGCATCAAGAACCATATTCTGCTGAATCTGGTGTCAATAGAATAATCGGCCGCCTGTTGTCTCACTTTTTGGCTTTTATTGGCTGCTGATATTATCGTGTATCCGTCCATTCCTGCTATTACTTTAATTCCAAGCTTTGTGTTGCCTTTCCTTTATTAGTCAGAAAGGAATAATCAGAAAAGAATAATTGCGATCAAGCATCTAATCATCCTTCCAACCACCCTTTCTGCTGAGTCCCAATCCTATCAAAATCGAGGCTTTGGAGCTTTATAGTCGGGATTTGGGGCGGGATTAGGAACCCAAAAATGCAAACTTTAAAACAGAGATAATGATAATTAATAAGCGAACCTTTTAAGGCAGAGAAGAAGACACGAGAGGAATGGAGTACAAGGTAGGTCAGTCACACGTGTCACCATTTAGCACCCACCTTGTTTCCTAGGCTATTGACTACTGTTTGTTATCTTCTTCATTTCACCGCCCAAGTTCATAACAGTGCGAATACTGAATACTTTTGCAGGTATCTCCCGATAAAGCCCCCTGCCTTCCCTGAGAGAAAGGAATCTGTGGACTTTAAGCAACCTTTCCTCCAAGCAATTCTGCAGTTCCCACCTCTCCCCTTGCCTTTTTTTTCCATGGATGGGTTTTGCATCTATGTCCAGATTCCCCTTCTTCCTCTTCTTCTTATGGAGCTTTGAGCTTTGCGGTGAGAACTGTTGGCAGCTATGGCTGAAGGAAGAAGAGCAGTCACCCACGAAGATCTCGCGCCATCCCCAGGAAGCACTGATTTAGGCAGCAGAACTGCCATATCCATCGTGCTCCTCACGATCCTCTCTGGCCTTTTCTGCTTCGCCCTATGTCTCATTGCTGAAGCCTCCCGTTCTCAGGTTAACACGAAGAGACCTTTTCAACAGCCGATTCCGGCCGCCGCGCCTAGCCGTGTTCGAGTATGATCTCATTTCTTTGTGTGTATGTGCAGGATACGTGGGAGGATCATCAGTGTGTCTATAGTGGTAGTGGAGAGACGCCATTGATGTGCGGTGCTATTGCGTTCATCGGACTGGCGGTGGCCATGGTAGTGGAGCACACTTACCTGTTGTTTGCAGTGAGTAAAGCCCCACCGCCAGCTCTGGTCGCTTGGGACCCTAACTACGGCCCTTCCAAGGATGTCACATGGCAAGCTGGTGCCTTTTTCATCACCACTTGGTATGTATATGCCCTGCCCCTTCGGGTGTTTTCATTATCTTAATTTACTTCAGCTCGACCACCACTTATTCCGGTTGGTGACTATACTCGATATTGAAACAACCGTAGCGGTTTCTATCGTTATGCTGCTAATTTGACAATCTCCGTATTATGTTCAATGTTCAAGGACTATCGCATTAGCAGCATAACGATAAAAATCGGAGGAGGTGGTACAATGACCAATTGTTGTGGCTAAACCGATGTTTGACCCCTAGATTATGAAATCTAATTTTAAGCAGTTTAACCAATAACCTGTTCTCTTGCAGGGTGTGCTTTGCGGTGGCGGAAATCCTGTTGCTGATCGGACTGAGCGTGGAGTCGGGTCACCTGAAGAACTGGGCTACTCCGAAACAGAGCTGTCTGGTGATCAGGGAAGGAGTTTTTGCCGCCGCCGGAGTGTTCTCCCTCCTCGCCGTGCTCCTCGCCGGCGGGTTGTACCTGACTGCATTTCGCGCGCAGAGAATATCTCAAGAGCACGAAACGGCGCGGCGGCAGGTAATCGACGTGTCGGTGCTCTATGCTTCCCCGCCGCGTTCGCCTACACGGCCGCGAGAGCATATCCCGGCGGCCGAGAGGGAAGACCCTGTTCGCAGACAAGACCATCTCTCCATTGCATTGCCGCCGGCTCTGATCAAGCAATTCAGTTTCGTATAGGAGATGAAATAAGAAAAGGAGAACATTTTTTTAAAGAAGAATGTTAAGCCTTGTCAGGCAAAAAGCTTAAGAGCTACATTACAGAGAAATATGCGTATATAGTTTACCATGTATATATCATTGTATTTTTTGGGAGGAAGGTAGCCTTTGTTTCTTCCTCATTTTGCGTTACATAACTGGGTCTGGTCTAGGGTGGGCAACGGGAAAGGGTATTTGGAGATACCCGTTCCGTTTTTTGAGGGTTACGGCTTACGGGACCCAAATACTCGTAATTTTTTTACGGGATGGAATTTGGGATCAAGAATCACTACTTTGGGTATCCGCGAGTTACCCGTTAATACCCGTTTGGATATTACGGGTACCCGTTATACCCATTAATCTATGTCAATCTAGGGAACAAGGATGAGATGTTGAGGCTGTGGGGCATTTCTAAAGCCAGCAACAGCATAATAGGGACTATTTGAACATGATGGGCACTTTGGTGAAACTGGGGGAATATTTGCTGGAAGAATTGGGCCTTTATTGCTGCTGGTACGTGGAGAAGGAAGGGAACATGGAGAAAGGTTTTCAGCCATCAAAGAAGCTTTAGCTATTAGGGTGAATAACGTTTGGTGGAGACCGAAATCTGGACTGATGTCGAAGGATGTTGAGGTGGACTGGCGAGAGTGTAGGCACGGAAGATTTGCTAGGTCTAGTAGACGGGTATTTACGGGTAGTATGGGTATCCGTTATCCGTCCCGTACGGGTAATGAGTACCCGTTAACTCGTACGTGTTTGGGATATGGGATGGAGATTGTTCTCCAAATTGGACGGGTATCCCGTCCCGTCCCGTTGCCCACCCCTAGTCTGGTCCGGAAACATTTTCATTAATTGTATAATAATAATAATAACTATTATTTGATGAAAATGACGGGTTTTTTTTTTTAACATAGACAATAGCCAGGTAAATCCCTAGCCAATACAGAGTCAAAGAACATAAAATAACTAGAGTTGTTGGGAGAGACTCATGTGTGATACTTAACCACTTTCTTACAGATAATGTATGTATTGTTAGCCCAACCAAACTATCACCAAAACCATGGTTTATGTCATGGTATCAGAGCTGGTTGTAATTGAGGTCACATGTTCAAGTCCTCACGATCCCCAATATTAACTGTTGTCTTTAAGTACATAGTATGGCGGGCCTGTACTAACTTCAAACCCATGAGTTGTTTTTCGTTTGAGGGGGCATGTAAGGAAGTGGTTAAGTACCATACATGAGTCTCTCCCGACAACTCGAGTTATTGAGACCAGTTAGTTTATTGAGACTAGTTAACTTTTTTGAAATTTTTGAACAAACAATGCATTATTGTTTGCTTGATGTGACACAAACTATCACTCAAAATAAGTGATAGTTAAATCTCAAGTTATCGTTGCGATTGTTTTTTTTCTTCAAAAATGTCTCTACCTTTTGTATGTATGTTGCTTTTTTATATTCAAAACAAAGGGTAACATTTCACTCTAAAAGTAATAAAACTATTACTGAAACCAAATAATAGAAACTACAATAAACCAATTTTACTATATACATGTATATTATTATGCATGCATTGATGACAATACAACAATTTAACTATCACCAAAACCAAACGACCCCTTAAGTCGGTGTTCACTAGGGATGGGAAACGGTGCGGTTACAGTTAACTGCACCGAAATTTGAGATTAACCAAAACCGCAAAAGTGTCCATATTCACCAACCGCGACCGCACATAAGTCGGTTATCGTTTAACCGCAAAATGCGGTTAACGGTGCACCGCGGTTACTAGAGTTAACAGCCGATTTAAACGCATCTTTTGATGTCGAGACTCAAGAGGCGACGAGCAGAGCAGAACTCAGCTTGCCACTGCGGAGTGCGGCCTGCGCTGCGCCACTAAGCGCCGAACTTGGTTGGTCAGATCAGCTTGCTGGGCGAGGGCGACAGGGGACGGTGGTGGGCGGAGTTTTTGGTCAACGTCTCAACTCCCTCTCAAGGCTCTCGACGGCGGGTGAGTTGCGATTAGCGATTTAGGGTAGGGATTGCGAAGCCAAAGTGGGGAACTAAGGAAGTGCCGAAGTGGGGGAAGGGGCTAGGTCGTCCTCGGAAATGGATTGGACAGTGGGCTATTAGGTTGGGCTGGGGTGGGGTTTTTGTTATGGGCTGGTCTGGAAATGGATTGGGTTGGGTATTGCGGTTAAGCTAGTTTCGGTTAAACCGCAAACCACAAACCAGCCAATATCTCCAAACGCGACCGCAAAAGAGGTTGTTTTTGAAGTTTGTGGTTAACCACTAACCACGCAGTTTCGGTGCGGTTAGCGGTTTAACCTCAAAACCACAACCGTTTTCCCAACCCTAGCGTTCACTCACAAGAATAGATAAACTTCACTCTAAGTATTGCTCTCAATATTTCTTGATAAATACAATAGGTTGAAGGTGTTCCTCATATAAGTAGGGATGGCAAATTACCCACCCATGGGTAATTATACCCAAACCCAAGTAGACCCATTGATAATGGGTTGGGTATGGGTGAAGTGCATATGGATTTGGGGGTTTATAGATGGGTTTGGGTTTGGGGCTTCCATAATCTAAATGGGTATGGGTTGGATATGGATATCCATTTACTTGAGGGTGTTTTAACTACACATGCAAAAATTGGACCTATTTGCAAAACTTGAAAAGTTTAGGTACCAAAATGTAAGACCAAAAAAAATTAGGTACCAAAACATAATTTTCCATCGATATTTTGAGGACTTTTATGCAAAAAAAAATTAAATTTAGGTACTAAATATGCATATCTATTAAGTTTGGGTACCAAACTGTAATTTGTATTTGGGCATGGGTACAAACCCAACTCAACCCAAAGTAAATGGGTATGGGTACAAACCCATCAAACTCTACCCATATCCATCTATTTGGATTTCATACCCAACCCAATTGGGTTGGATAGTAAGAAACCCATGGGTATGGGCAAAGTTGCCATCCCTACATATAAGTATCACCTCCAAAATGAATGACTAGTATCTATAATATATACAAATATGTATGATCTAGAATCCTCCAAGAAAATATGTACACGCACTATGAAAATATCTAAAAGTCTCTACAATCTTTCAGGGTATTTTAGAATGCTCCGCCATGCACTTTCATGATGCTAAAAGGTTTGAGCCTCATTAGGGCTTGACTCTTGACAAGTAGAGGGTATCTATGTTTGACGGCTCATTATGTTGATGATGAATGGAAGTTGAGCTGAAGTCTGATATCATGAAGATGCATGAAAGAATGAAAGTTGAGCTGAAGTCTGCTTTGCAAAAGAATTCTAGTCGTATTTGTTTGACAAGTGATATGTGGACTTCATTGACAAGTAGAGGGTATCTATGTTTGACGGCTCATTATGTTGATGATGAATGGAAGTTGAATAGCAAACTTTTGAGTTTTTGTCATCTTCCTCCTCCACATTCAGCTTATAGAGTGAAAGCAACAGTTTATCGTTTGCTTAGGGAGTGGGGTATTGATGGCAAGGTTTTCTGTATCACATTGGATAATGCTAGCAATATGACTACTATGCAAAATGAATTGCGTGATCAGTTGAATGCACAAAATGGATTATTATGTGCTGGCAAGTTCTTCCATATACGTTGTTGTGGACATATACTTAATCTTGTTGTCCAAGATGGGTTGAAGGTGATTAGAGATGGTATCAAATCTGTTAGAGAAAGTGTCAAGTATGTTGAGGGATCTGAAGGAAGAAAGATTAAGTTTAAGGAGTGTGTTGAACAAAGTGGGATGAAACAGACAAAGTCGTTGTGGCTTGATGTGCCAACAAGATGGAATTCAACTTACAATATGATTGATCGAGCAATCTTTTATCGTGAAGCTTTTGTCAACTTAGCAAGGATGGATAATGAGTATAAGGATTGTCCATCAAATAATGATTGGGAGAAAATGGTGGTGCTTGCAAATTTTTTGAAACCATTTGATGAAATCACGAAGTTATTCTCGGGAACCAAGTACCCAACAAGTAACTTGTTTTTCGAGAATGTTTGGAAGATCCATCTTGAGCTGAAAAATCTTTGTATAAGTTTTGATGATGATATGAGAGGTATGGGAAACACAATGGTGTCCAAGTTCTTGAAATATTGGAAAGACTACAACTTAGTGCTTGCTTTTGGTGTCATTTTGGATCCTCGTTACAAGCTTGCATTTGTCAAATTTTGCTATGAAAAGTTGGGCGAAGAGTACACTTTAAAGCCGAAGGCTATTATGGATGATTTGGAGCTGCTCTTTAAGGAGTACAAAACTCAATCGTCCACTTTACCTAGTCAAAGTGTGGTGCATATGGCTTCTCTGAGCGTTCCTTTGGATAGCCACACTGCTGTAAGTATTCTAACTACCTTTTGAGTCATCTTGTTGTTTATACTTCTTTCGATCTTATGTCTGATTATTGATGATATGTATTATTTTCAGGGTTTCTATGCTTCCAATATCAATCAGAACACATCAACTAGATCCGAGTTGGAGTTATATTTGGCGGATCCTTTAATTCCTGCTTATGCAGACATTGATGGGGTTCCTACATTGCTTCCTTTTGAAGTATTGCAATATTGGAATGATCATCAATTTCGATATCCTCAACTCTCTCGGATGTCAAAAGATGTGCTTTCTATTCCAATTTCATCAGTTGCTTCAGAGTCGTCTTTTAGTTTGGGAGGTAGAATATTATCCAAATGGAGGACTTCCATTTTGTCTGATACCCTTGAAGCTGTTGTGACAACTCGTAATTGGATGCATGGATATAAAATGGGTAAGAAAATTTCTATTCTTTGTGTATACTAAAGTAGGTGAGAGTTTACTTACAATGGTGTTTTTACTTTCAATGACTAATTGTACAGATGAGGATAATGAAGATGCAGAATATGTGGAGAAGAAGTGAAGCTTCTTGATTGATCGCCAAGTGAATTGCCATTTTAATTTGTGAACCTATTTTGTTGGTATGTAAGATGTGACAATGTCAGTTATATATTTGTATCCTACTGTTTTTATATGGTTGAACTTAGTAAGCAAATTATTATGTATCTTCTTATTATTGGGGCTAGGGTATGAGTTATGACTTATGTACTATTGTGAATCTTCGTATTCTAGGTTAATATTTTGACAATGTTATGTGACCAGTTATATTATGTGAGGAAGAAAAAATGTTGTAATTATTAGGTACTGATATATGATTGGCTTAATTAAGCCAATCATGTTTTTCATATGTATGTGTTATCTATATATATTATCTACATATAATATTTATGTACAAAAATATATTATGTAGTATTATTCGTGCCAATCGGGCGGGTTCGGGTTAGTCGGGTTACGGGTCAAGCGGGTTGCGGGTCAAGCGGGTTGCGGGTCAATCGGGTTCGGGTCAAGCGGGTTGCGGGTCAAGCGAGTTGCGGGTCAAGCGGGTTGCGGGTCAAGCGGGTTACGGGTCGGGCGGGTTGCCGGTCTTTGACTTTTAGTCTAATCGGGTTGCGGGCGGGTCGCGGATCGGGTTGGTTGGGCGGGTTACTCGGGTCGGGTCATGTTTTGACACCTATACTCTTGAGTGTAACACTATCCTTCAACTAATTAGGCGATGTCCTCGTCATGGACTCATGATAGAATTTCTCAATTAAGTCTTTATGTCACCATAATGTGAGTTCGTTCTCCCAATTTACTTCGTTTTTGGGGGTGATCTTTCCACTCGTCAAGATACTCCACATGACTTTCCTCTCTCAAGGATAGCATGGTGAGCCACAATCTCCACTACTTCATGCTCATGTGTCTTGTTGATGAGTATTGGTGTCTTATCTGACTTGTTTCACTCTCCATATTTCTTGTCTTCGTGGTATGACTTCAGTTGGCTGACATGGAAGACGTGGTGGATCTCAAAGTGTGACAACACCTCCACTTTGTATTGACCTATCAATCCACTTCACAATATGAAATGGGCCTTCGTATCGACGAAGTAGTCCCTTGTGCAAGTTATTGAAATGTTTGAGCGATGAGCGTAGAATTCCACCATCACCATATCTCCTTCGTCAAACTCCAAGTGCCCCCATCTTCTTATAGGTCACTTCTTCATCTTCTTTGGCTTGGACCAAATACGACTTTGTCATCTCCATCTTCTCGTGCCACTCTTTTGTGAATTTGTAGGCAGTGGGTCGCTTGCCCTTGTACCCCATAGTCACCGTATTTTGTGTCAATGGTTGTTGGTCTATAGCCAACTCGAATGAGCTCATGCTAGTTGCCTCATTCCGATGCAATGTAAGCTGTATAAGAATTAAGCAATGCCCATTAACTTCACCCAATCTTGTTGGTTAGCACTCACCCAATACGTTTGTCCGTCAGTTTGGGGATGAAAGCTTGCATATAAGTTCAATTTGGAGCCCATGATCTTGAACAACTTCCTACAAGATCTGACAGTAAAGCGACAATCTCTATCGCTCACAATATTGAATGAGATGCCCCAATACTTCACCACATTTTTTAAGAATAAGCAGACATCATCATCGACCATCGTATCCTTAGACGCCGATATGAACACTTCATAATTCGACAATCGGTCCAACACAATAGATACTCAACAAATATAACATATTAAAGTCTCTAGCCCAAAACATGTTCACACCAAGGATTGAAAAACCGTTCCGGAGGTTGTACTAGAAAAGCCTATGATACGTGAAACTGTGACTTAACCATGGTTCGACCATTTCGTAGCGCTAAATACCACCTACCAATTTTACTTCTGATATGAAATTTTTCTGATCCAACCGCCGATATAATACAGTTTTTCTGATCTAACCGCTGATCAATCCTTGATTTGCGTCATATTTCTTCATAAATTGTCCTACCTTCTAGGGGTGGCTATACGGTCCGGTCCGGTTAAATTGGACCAAATTGATCCGGTCCCAGTCCGGTCTTTTCGGGAATATAAGGACCAAAGATTGGATTGGATACACTCCGGTCTTGATCCGGTCCGGTCCCAATTTGATTTTGATTTTAGATTGAGTTTGTGGGGATTTGAGTGTTGGGGTCTCTTACCCGTTCTTTATCCAGGTTTTTTTACCTCAAATCTAAGCCCGAATATGAGATTGAATTGTTTGCTATCCGGTCCCTGTCTAATCTCGATCCGGGTTATACGGTCCGGTTTCGAGTAAAACCAAACAGTTTTGGACCAAATTGCCAGCGCTACAGTACATTCATTTGCGTCAATAACTCGATGTAGAATTAGACAAAATCTTGGCCCGGGTATGAAATTGCTATATACCACTTATTTACAGAAAATTAAATAAAAATTTGATTTATTTTCCTGCCACGGAAAATAGGATTAGGATCAACCACCGCTCCATCAGAATGTGCTGGAGGCGACTACAGATTTGGAAATCCATCAAGTCAAAACAAGGCCAATAAATGGGCCCAATCCAATAATACAAACCCAACCCAAAAGCAACGGAATCTCAAATCATCCCTGGCGTCCGTTGTTAAAGCGTTAAAAATAAAGTGATAAACCTTAAAACAATTAATTAAATAATTAAATTATCAAACAAATGAACAAATCCCTATCCGTCGCGTAAAACTGTAAAAAAAAACCCAACTGGAAATAAAAATCAAACCTCTCCGACTTCCCGTCTCCAGTTACTGCCTGCGGTCTCCCGAACTCAAAAAGAAATCAAATCACTCTCTCCCTCCCGCTCCTAGGGTTTCTTGAACCACCTGCGATTCACAGGCTCGCTTCCGTCTCCCCGGCCCTCTGCGCCACCGTCACTTCGCCTTCGAAGCTCTGTTCCAGTCAACGTAGCCGGAGCCATGTCGCTGAGGCCAAACAACAACAAGAATGAGAATCGCCGCAACAAGTACAAGGTCGCCGTCGACGCCGACGAAGGCAGGCGGAGGAGGGAGGACAACATGGTGGAGATCCGGAAGAACAAGCGCGAGGAGAGCTTGATGAAGAAGCGGCGTGAAGGCCTCCAGCCCCAGCAGCTCTCGGCGACTCTCCCTGGTGCTATGGAGAAGAAGGTAAGCGAGTCTTCTTTCGACTCTCGGTGTGCTTCAGCGTATTCTCGTGGATGGTTTTTCTTTCGGGCTGCGGTGTTCAGTGTTTGTTCTTGCGGTTAGGGTTAGGGTTTTTAGAGCATTGGTGCGAGATCTTCGCGTTCCTAAGTATTGGAACCTGTTTGCCGGTGATGATCTCTGGTGCTTAATTGGATTTTTGTTCAATGTGCAGTTGGAAAGCTTGCCTTCTCTGGTTGCTGGTGTTACTTCGGATAATGGTAATCTACAGCTCGAAGCCACCACTCAGTTCAGAAAGCTGCTGTCCATCGGTAATACTCACACTCTTTCTACGTCGATTCTTTCGTTTTTGCCTTAGCTGTTGCCTCTAGCGATTTTGTTAGTTATTACTGAATACTGATATGTATTTATACATGTGGAATGAATGAATTCAGAAAGGTGCCCTCCTATTGAGGAGGTTATTCAGTCTGGTGTTGTTCCTCGCTTTGTTGAGTTCCTTATGAGGGAGGATTTCCCTCAGCTCCAGGTATGTTGCTAAATCGCGATTTTGAGCACTGCATTTCAGGTATTTAGATGTTTGTGAGGGCATTTGGAATTGAACTAACATGATTTTTTATTCTGTTATAGTTTGAAGCTGCTTGGGCTTTGACAAACATTGCTTCTGGGACCTCTGAGAATACCAAAGTGGTGATCGATCATGGTGCTGTTCCAATATTTGTTAAGCTTCTTGGTTCTGCCACTGATGATGTTCGGGAGCAGGTATAGATTCTTTCTTGTAAAAAATTATTCTGACTGCTGATTTTTGTCAAGAAATTGAAGCTTAGGATATTCATTCTTGAACCTGTAGGCTGTGTGGGCCTTGGGAAACGTTGCTGGTGATTCACCAAAATGCCGTGACTTTGTTCTGAGTCATGCAGCACTGATTCCTCTTCTGGCTCAATTGAATGAGCATGCCAAGCTTTCCATGCTAAGGAATGCCACTTGGACATTGTCGAACTTCTGCAGGGGCAAGCCTCAGCCTCCTTTTGATCAGGTTGGTCTTGGACTTCAATGTAGTACTCAGTCTTTAATTTCCGGAGAATGTCTTCGCTTGTTTTGGAATATTAATAGAAGTTGATCTGGCAGGTGAGGCAAGCACTTCCTGCACTTGAGCGTCTCGTGCACTCCTCTGACGAGGAAGTCCTTACTGATGCATGTTGGGCGCTATCCTATCTTTCTGATGGTACAAATGATAAAATCCAAGCTGTGATCGAGACTGGTGTTTGCCAGCGACTTGTGGCGCTTCTCCTGTGAGTTCTGTTATTTCTAGCTAGGTTGGCCTTACTTTTACTTCTGGCAGGATAATAATGTTAATGGTTTGGTTTGCTTGAACCCTGTAGCCATCAATCGCCGTCAGTGCTTGTTCCAGCCCTTCGCACAGTTGGAAACATTGTAACAGGAGATGATTCTCAGACTCAGGTAATGAAGTTTATCAACGGATTATAATTACTGTCATCAAACTTTGTAGAACTATGTTGAATATCTTGTAGAATTTGATGGACTTGCTCATCTTAGCTCCGGTTTTAGTAAAGTTTGTTTACTTATAATGCATGTTCAACTAGTTTATAGAGTTGCTTTTTATTCTCTTAAATTGACATAAACAACTTCCTCATTTACAGTGTATTATCGGCCATGGTGCACTCCCATGCCTTCTCAACATGTTGAACAATACGTTTAAGAAGAGCATTAAGAAGGAAGCATGCTGGACCATCTCCAACATTACAGCTGGAAACAAGGAACAGATTCAGGTAATTATGAGGCTCAGAATTCATTAGTTTTCCGTAAGAAAACATTGATGTGTACTTGTACCTGCCTAATTCTTACAAATAACAAACTTGTGTCTCCTTGAAGCTCTTTGAATCCTGGTACCTATTAATGCTTGGGAATTGTGATTAGAGTACTCATTGTAGGGACCTTTGATTGTGTCATGAAACAGGCTGTGATTGAAGCTGGTCTGATAGGCCCTCTAGTTAACTTGCTTGCAAATGCGGAGTTTGACATAAAGAAAGAGGCTGCTTGGGCTCTCTCTAATGCTACTTCTGGTGGTACCCATGATCAAATAAAGTATGTCCATTTGTTTTTCTTTTGCGGCGTAGAAGTATAAATGTTTGTTTTAGCCGTATTAGTTATTTCTTGGGGATTCTCTCACGGAACTGATAATTAATTCAATTTGTGGATGCTAGGTTTCTGGTGAGCCAGGGGTGTATAAAACCATTGTGTGATCTCCTTGTTTGCCCTGATCCAAGAATCGTCACAGTCTGTCTCGAAGGACTAGAGAATATATTGAAGATTGGGGAATCCGAGAAGAATTTGGGAAAAACTGAAGTGAACTTATTTGCCCAGGCTATAGATGATGCCGAGGGTCTTGAAAAGATTGAAAATCTTCAGAGCCATGATAACAATGAGATCTACGAGAAGGCAGTTAAGATTCTGGAGACCTATTGGACGGAGGAAGAGGACGATACATTACCTTCTGCTGATGCTACTACGCAGTCAGGTTTTCAGTTTGGCGGAAATGACCTCCCACCTGGCGGCTTCAACTTCAGTTGAAGGTATGTTACGAATATGCTTTGAACCATATGCATCAATCTAACCAGAGGCCGCAAATGAGTTTGTTTGGTATGTTCGTGGGTGAGTGGTTGGTTGGCCGTTGTGGACTGAATTGGGGGTTAGAATCATGAAAGCATAGGTATTGAAAGCTCAGGGTTCGAATATTTGGTTACTAGGCTATAATTGTACTCTAAATTTCACGTGCATGTAGAAAATCTAGGTTCTGAAGGACCGGACTAGATGGTTTTAAGTTGGTGGGTTTAATAAACTCATCAATGTTGTTTTTTTATAAACTGATCATTCTAACCGAATGGATATCTCTCAATCGGCTTTAGGGCTAGATTGTTTTAGGTGGGCGGGTTGAGATGTGGGTTGATACTCACCACTCTCTAATTTCTTAGCTATCCATGGTTTCCTGAATTGTGCATAAAGGGTTGAGTTCTATAAATACTGCAGGGGCTTAAGTTTGTCATGATGGCGAAGTTGCGATGGTTGCGAAAAGCTGTGGCGGCTGAAGTCAGCAGTATATCAAGGCACCTTGTGTTGTCAGAGTCAGGTCCATTGTGCTCTCATGGGTCGATCAAAAGCTGCCTGAGTTGGTCAGTCAGTCGTTAGAGTCAAGTGTCAGTCCACAAGGAGTCGGGAGGTTGGGAGTGCAGTGTCGTCCGTCTGGCCAGGCAGCACTGGCAGTTACTATGAAAGGCAGTCAAAAGGGTCAGTCGTGTCTGATAATCAGATGGAGGCTTCCTTTTGGTGTGGGTATTTTTTGCATTGCACGAAGCATCGGGGATTTGGTCGGGAGTCTTGGTTGTTTTTAGTAAAAACTCATAATATACAGTTGTATTTTTACAGTCTATTTGATTGCATTTGCATATAGTCGGCCACAACGTCATCCGTCAGTCAGACAGTTGTGTGGATTTCTTGATTCTACAAGGAAATGAAATGCCAGTTATGGATTTTTTTGAACCTGTTATGCCTGTCTTTCCTTTCTTTTTTGGTTTAGCTTTTGATGGCTGTCATTGGTAGTCATTTGGGTCGTTCCGAGTAGTCTATCTGCAGAAAAAAGCAGTTGTGGGCATGAACTAGTAAGTTTTGTTGTTAACTAATTCTCAGAAGAGTAGTTGGTGTTTAAATTCTCAGAAGCCCTTTTTAAATGCGATTGAGAGTTTTAATTATGGTCCAGGTCGAGCATGCGTCATCATTAATGCTGTCTTATCAATTTGCATTTACCAAGAATCAAGGCGAAAAGCCACATAATGCATTGAATGATGTTGTTATGATTTAAAGTGATCATTTAAGGGATTTAGCACAGGAGTTTTCTGCTGTGTTGCTTTCTCTCTCGGGCCTTTCTACTCTGCTGCTCTCTCCTACTGTAATGTTTCCAATTCATTGTTGTCACGCCGGTCGGCGTGTCACCGGTTGTATCATGTTCAACCGATACCGGTCATAAAACCGGCGTGACACCACCGGCATGATCGATATACGAATCTTTAATTAAAATGACCTTATTTTATCGAATTTAATTGATAAAAATTATTTTATTATTTATTTTATGAGTATAATAGTTAAATATTGATGTTATTTGTTGGATTCAAGTATAAATGTTTAGGTATTGACGTTAAATGTCGTGTTTAAATATGAGTATTTATAGTTTTATTTGTAATATTGACCTGCACAAACCGATATGTGAAAGACTTTTTTCCGTTCCTGCCTAGTCGATTTTTTCACCCCCATCGAGTAAGGTTTGCGTTTTGGGTCCTCATTCGAGCACCATATAATGCTGCTGAGGATGAAAAGTGTATGAGGTTTTCGACGAAATCGTCATTGGAGATCCCTGGGGGACATTTGTTCGTTTTGATCCTGAACTCCTCTCATAGTTTTTTGTGGAACTTGGATAGGGTGAATTGTGTATTTAGAATGGAGGGGGGAAATACATTTGAAATCGGCCCATAATGTGGTCCTTCACTCCATCCTTTCAGTCCATGGCTTGAAACAAAAATCAAAATTCAGATGGACGGCTTATATGACCCATCACTTTCCATCTCCTTTCTCTGTCACATATAAAATCTATGGAAGGAAGAACAAGCAAATCAAATAGATATGATATGGATTGTGCTGGCCATTTTATCCAACTTTTTTGAGCTCCCAAATCCTATCTTCTTGTGTCTGAAATCTATTCTTGTGTTCTCATGCTCTCGTGTTTTTCCACGCATCACATATCTGAACCCTATGTCAAAAAGAAATCCGTCCATCTATATCACATTTAGGGGTCGTTTGCTTCATGAATTAAAAAACGAGGGTTTTGTAATTTAAAAATTCAAGGATTTATCAAGGATTTGAGGCATCATGGATTTGTAACAATCCTTTGTTTGTTGAGATGTTTTTATCATGGATTTAAAAGTGTGGGATTTACTACTTGAAGTTCAAAATTACATTACTATCCTTTTCTATATGTTTGACATGTTTATGATATGTACACAAAACAAGGACAAAACTTCAAAATTACCTTACTATCCTTTTCTATATGTTACATGTTTATGATATGTACACAAAACAAGGACAATACATACTAATAAGCATAATGTTGCCAGGTGGACAATAATAATAAACGAGAAAATTCCTTTTAACTTTTAACGTAACATAATCAATTACCAATTCTTTGTCCTCCTTTTCAAAAATAACATATAACAACATATATTAGAATCAGGAGAACAAAGAATTACACATTCCATGAAAAGGTCAAAGAAAACTAGAACACAAGAAATGATATAAAAAATCGAACTCATGTTTGCACATTAATTGAATGTTTATATTATTCATTTATTGTTAATTACTTGATTAATTATAATGTATAATAGTTAAATTTGAGGACAACCTTGGAATATTAAAAGTGCATGAGGGTACATAGATAAAATCCCATCAAGGATTTATGTAATGTTCCAAATCCCACATCAACATGTGGAATTTATAAGTCCGTGGGGTCCTCAAATTTGGTCCGGATTTGGACCCTTAAAATCCGCAGGCCCCACGAATTTGGTCTCCAGAAAAAGTGCAAGCAAACAATGGATTTTTGCTAAATCTATGATGGATTAGATTTGGGTACCAAATCGATGAAGCAAACCACCCCTTAAGACATCAACATTAACAGATTCCGCAGGACATCCTTAAGTACCATCACAGACGTCTATAGTATTTTCGATTGTTACGAATGATGGTCTAGTGCAATGGTTTAGGTCGTAAAGTCTAAGATGTAAACACTCAGCAAGGTATGATCTTCTCACGCAAGAAACAATGGATGGCGATGTTGGTTGGATCTGCCCTCATACTCACAATCAAGTAGTTGGTAGAGCGACGAGTTTCCTCGTGTGCTTATCTAACCGATTTCGGTCTGTTTTGAAACATTTGTAAGAGAATTGCGCGTTGGGACGAAACTCGCGGAAAAAGCCACCATTTTTCACTCCAAAAGATACCTATTTCTTAGTTGCTTTTAGGGCTATTAATGAGCCGAGTCGAGCCGAGCTTTGCCATAGTTCAGGCTCGGCTCGTTAATATATTTCCAGACTCGACCTCGGCTCATGTTCGTCACGAGCTTTAATATGAAAGCTCGAGCACGTCAAATAAGCTTAACGAGCCCAAAATCGAGTTCAACTCTTAAAATGTTCATGATAGCTCAAGATTGACCTAGAACTGCGCACAAAATTACATTCAAACCTGTTAGCAAAGTCTAGCAAAGTAAAACACAATATTTATCCCAATTTCAATACATAAAATCCATGAATTCTAATCCTTTTTAATGCCAAACCATTAAATGAGCTTGTTCGCGAGCTTTCGAGCTGAACATGGTATGGTTCGAGTTCGACTCGTTTAGTTAACGAGCTTGTTCGCGAGCCGGCTCGATTAAAACGAATCGAGTGTCGAACGAGTTTTTCTCGAATCGCACACCGAGCCGTTCATGAGCGGTTTGGTTCATTAACCGCCCTAGTTGCTTTGGTGGGTTCTCATGTTGACTTAAAGGTCTTGAGCGTTTTACTTAGAAGGTGATAATTTAATCGTAAGAATAAATTTCCTATACTCCAAAGTTTGCTGTAAAGTCAAAATATTATTTGTGCAAAGTAATCAGTATCATGACCCTGTTTAGATTTCAGGCTATATCTATCACAACGCCCGTTATCTTTAAAAGCCAACATTTTCCATGTATTGTTTGGGTTTGTTAATCTTTCTTTATCCATTCGACCATTCCCGTTCCTAAATAGAGAATCCCTACCATGGCAACTAGTGGTTTATAGTAAGGCTACCTGGATACTCTGCTGCCATGCGTTCCCCACGGTCTCCATTAATCTTCATTTTCGCGGTTCTTTAATCCAATTTTCCAACTCACGTTGTCTAATAGTGTATATTATACTTTTCAATTAGTAATATAATAGTGCTGTTTAACATTGACAAATGTGATATAGATTAGGGTTGTTAGAATATGACTTGAATTTGATTTGAGTTTGTTTTGTGTTTTAGGCCTATTTTGTTTGGGTTTGTGTTTGGGCTTTGTTTGACATTTTCCTTGTATGTTTGGGAATAAGGTGTTTGGTTTTCTGTTTGGGATTAGGAGAAGAGTTCTATAAATACTCTTCATCACCCTAGTATGTAGTAGGGGTCAGTCAGGTTAGTTTGTTTGGTTTGTCCGTTTGGAATTTGGTTTGTAACCTGTACTCTCCTCAAATTAGTGAAATTTGTTCTCCCCTGCCCGTGGATTAGCTAGCACACATTGTGTTAGTGAACCACGTTAAATTTGTGTTCGTTCGTGTTGGTCTGGATTATCGATTCCACGCTTCTGTTCTGACAAGGGTGGACAGTGAGTGTAGCTGGGCCCCGGGCCGGGCCGCCACAGACTAGCACGATACAGTTAGAGGATGATAAACACTACTAGCAAATATAATTTATGAGTAGTATTGGGTCTAAATTTTATGGGCACAAAAGATATGTAATGTTTTTTTATAACCTATTCAATATAAGTACGACAAGATAAAAAAAATATTTTTTTATAGAAAATAAATATAAATAAAATGAGAAGTTCAAATATGACAAAATACAATTATAGGGATAAGTATTTATGATTATGTAATTACCACATAAATAAAAAAAATCGGAAAAACACGTGGATGACAAATCACACCCACTATATTCTCAAACTTTTTTTATCTTCTCCTTATTTGTAACTTTTCTCAAACATTCTCAATTAATACTTTCATTTTCCTTTCAATTTCTCCTCTCTCATGTCCTTTTTCTGTTTCTTTCTTTTTATCTCTATAAGTCTATTGTTATTTGTTAATGTATTGTACAGAATGCAATGAAAATATATGATGACTTTTCAAAAGCATAAACAATGTTTAATTTTTTCATGTGAAAGGGATGCAAATCATTCGAGTACTTGCAACTCGCACACCACACATCCGAATAAGTTGTTGGGACTTTTAGGGACGAGGGTACACGTACGATAGTCCGAGACCGGGTGACCAGGATTGTGATAGAGTCGTGAACAACGTTCACTTTCCGAAAAGAATATTTCCACCCTCAACAAGCCTAGGGTTACAGGAAATTTCTCCCGAGGATAAAACTATCACCACTTTAGGTTGCAGGCTCAAGAACACTAAAGCATACTTATAAATTTTTGGAAGAAAGAAGAAAAATCTTTTTGATGGTATGTGGCATCATCCACCCCACACATATTTATAGGGGCCGAATCCATGCATTGTTTCATGAAAGGTTACCTTTATCTATACGAAAGGTTATCCTTATTCATATGAAGGGTTGCCTCTATCCATAAGGTTATCCTTATTCATAAAATAATGCAACCGCCACTAGGCCAAAGGGATGTGTCCCTTCACGGAATTAGAATATCGGTTCGGTCGGTCTAATCCCAAACCGGTTGATCGGTCCAACCCAAAACCGGATTGACTTGGTTAGTCCGGTTCAACCAAAATTCCAACATAAGTGTGGGTGAAAAACCTTCGATCTATGATCCACTTATACGTATATCAATTATCAACTACCCACATACTACTACGTGGCTGTGGCGTGTAAAGCAAGAAATTATGTGGAGAGCAATTGGATTTGGATATCAGATCCAGCAGTTTTTGTTTGTATATGGCGGCGTATCCACGCCCATCTATATCAAATCAATTGGTCGGTCTTTTCGTTCTCTCGACATAGAATGAAAATTATACAAAATGGGGGTCATCATTTTCCACGACTGGATGTTATAACTTAGGAACAGGCTTACCAAATTATAATCTGCCGTCTTCAACGATTGTCTTGTATCATTAATGAAATCTGGTAATAAACCCCACGTGCCGCTCATTAACGTGTTAGACAAATGGGATGGATGTACTAGTACAAGAAAAGAGCTGCACAGTGGGTGGAATCTTGTACCAATTTTCTTCGACAATGGGATTACCAGTTTTATGGTATCTTGAATGATCGGGATACATAGATAGATCAATCGAAGAAGACCATAATCAGATCAAGACGAGACATCTTTAAGCATTCGGTTGATATAGTTCGTGCTTGAGAAATACCGTCAAAGAGAGCAAAACACATAGTGATATCAACACTTAACCTAAACTCGGTAAACTCAAAAATCATATCGCAACCAACCAAAGAAAGTAGCACCAAGCACACCTTCGACTCATCTGAACCAATCATGACCATGGCTATTGAACACGAAAACGTCATAAACAGCCTCCTGGGACTGGGAGTCGCTCGAAGACTACCCAACATAGTGAATATTGAATCTGGGATTTTGTACATGGTGGTGGTCAGGCTCTATATGAATGAAATTGCTCTGAGTTGAAAAGGCAAAGAGAGTCGAGGCATAACATTTTTTTGTCTAAGGAGAGTTGAAGAAACAAAACCCCAAGAAATCACAGAGCAGCCGACACCTACCAATCGGATAAGACACCACCATCCACTTTTCGAAGAACGACCAACGGGTAGAAGAAACGATGAATGGATTCATCATGGACGACGAACCCCACCAACTTGGGAGATGACCACCCACAAGATCTGACAGTAGCCCAAACTTCATAATCCAACCCAATAGGAGAACAAAGCCAGAAAAGAAGAACCCTATAACCAGTGACGACGGGAGGGAGGCCTTGACCCTTGAGGAGAGGGTTCGAGGACCACACCTGGCAAAAAATGGGGGGGGGGGGGGGGACTTTTAGATATATATGGTTTAGTATGATCTTTCAAGTTTAATTAGGACCTATACTCTCGTCGATGCTAGCTCACCTAAGAACCCCCAATCAATTCAAAGTTGGTATTAGTTATACTTTAAACATCGCAGTCAATTCAAAATGTGGATACACCACTGCCAAAAACAAAAATTGACATCTCTTAACAGCAAGCACGCTTCGAGAAGATGAAATAACAACACAATACAATGGCAAAGCGTCATAGAAATGCAAATCTATCGCATAAGGGTCATGAACGCTACATACATACATAGTGTCGTGCAATAGCAGACACAAATTTGACTGAATGTGTATTGTAGAACCACTTCCACCGCCATATGAGAATACGTCACGTGATTGCGTCAAAAAAGCACAACGATCTCGTTACGTATACAATGATGAGATAAGGTCAAGAATGTAAGCCCACTTGCGAGGGAGATTCCTCGTAGCATACTAATAAGCAAGCACAATTGATCCTCATCGGTTATTAATGCCCCCACAATAAAAATCTGCGACAATCGATTACAAAGATTAATACAATCCACTCAAATAATGTATCACCGACGTGTACATAACCCATTTTATGTCATGGTTAATAATTTGATAACTAAAGTCATAAATCAAATTAGGCTAATCAAACACCCAATCCCCATCACGAACATGAATGTTGGAGTCGAGCAAGAGGAGTGAAGTTCGAAGGTAAATAATAATTTGTTTTCCTAACTTCCTTAATCCTTATGGGGACAAAAGGAGAATGTGGGTTGTCTTAATCACCAAATGAATAGACTAGTACAAGTAAACGAGTGTAAAACGTAACAACCTTAACACTAAAAATTATATATATATTTTCCTGACCAATGTGACCCATCATATCCTATCTCCATTCACATTAGTTATCACAAAGAAAATGAGATAAAGAAAAAAAAAGAGGGACAAGAAACAAAAAGAGGGGAATTGCCACAAAAAAAAAACCCCCAAAATCCCAATCATGTCTTCTTCATTTTGCCGTTATTAGAATAGTACTTTCACCTCAATTCCCTTTCCCTCCATTCTCTCCCGTTCTGCGAGCCAAAACTCACCTAATCTCTCCCGCCAAAACCCCTATTCTTTCCCTCCCTTTTTTTCTTCTTTCACACCCTCAAACTCCTTCAGCCACAATAACAAATTGGCGCCTATTTTCCCCCCCCCTTTTCCGTGCTGTTGCATTCCTTCAGTTTTCCCACCTCTTCAATCCCTCCATTTTATTCACTTTCAAAAATTTCCTACTTGAATTCAGTTTTTGACGGGATCTGGTCATTAAGGTGGAAGCAAATTTCGACTCGGACAAAATCATTTGCACGTTTAACTAACCGTAGAACCTAATACGAAAACTAGTTTTAATAATCAACCTGAATATCACATTCGACTGATTCAACATTGTCTACCACTTACCCACTCCCAAACTGACTGAGGATCACATGAGTATTAACCGCGATTAATTCTACAATGACAAGAGGCTTTTTGAATTTGTACGGCCACTTCTCTAGTTTATTGTAAACCATATTGATAATCGAACAAGTTTCTATCAATTCAAAACACATTGAATGCTAGTTCCATTTATGATACTTCCTTGACATGCATGATCATCATATATGAGCAACTTCACTTTCCATCATCTCACATTCCGATGGACCCAAAAAATTTGTTTTTTTAAGAAAGCCGGGCAATTAACGTCCTAATTTGTTAAACTAATCAAACGCTTCATGGATCCAAATATTTTGAACACCAAAATCAAATCTTTTTTTTCCAAATTGGCAAAACCCTAGAAGGACCTAGGCTTGGCGGGATGATGGCTGCCTTTTTTCCCCCTTTTGGAGGTCAAAAAGAGTTTTCTCATCTCACAAGGGCGTTATGGTAATTCTACGAAAACGAGGGCGCGCTAGGGTTTCCTCCCTCCATTTATAAACCTCTTTTTTGGATCGCTGCCGTGCGGGCGTATTAGTTGTAATTGTCGGTTCGATTCCCTCCCCTTTCTCTCTCATTCTTCACTTCCCCCTCTGCCTCCATTTTTTTCCCTCCCAGATCAAATTTCTGATCATCTGTTTGCCTCCGTAACCATCATCTGATTCTCTGATCAGTTGATCTTCCCCCCTCGTCCATTCCCCGTTCCCTTACATCTCTCTTGAATCCGATCACGATCACCTAATTGGCTCGATTTGATCATCTCCCTCCAATTTTTTTTCTAGATCTCTGTTCTTACAAGCTTCTACTTGATTCACTACCCAGCTCGAGTTCAGCCTCTAATCAGGGAACTTGAGAGCTACCCACTTCATCTCGCAGCCATTCCCGACCTGGGTTGCTGTTAGATCTGCGAGTACACCCGTCACAAAATGATCGATCCGAGTGACAAAGTGAGTTCTACCTCTCATTTCTCCCTCTCCTCCCTGATCTCGATCTCGCTAATTATAACAGCTAACTAATCAAAGTCTGTTTTGTTTTCAGATGCTGGATTACGCCGACGAAGGCAGCCGGAGATCCTCGCCGGGAGGAGAAGACAGTCCACAGAAGAAGACATGCGCCGATTGCGGAACAAGCAAAACCCCTCTCTGGAGAGGCGGCCCTGCAGGTCCCAAGGTAAATTAATCACCCCTAGCTGTATATTCATGATCGATCTCCGGTTCATTCTCCACCGTCCGATCTCTGTTTCTGATCCTGATTTGGGTTTGTCGTTTTCTGCAGTCTCTTTGTAACGCTTGTGGGATCAGGAGCAGGAAGAAGAGAAGAGACATACTAGGGTTAAACAAATCGTCATCCAACGAGAAGAAATCAGCCGCGAAGAAGACCCTAACCCATGGCGGCGGCGCTGCCGGAGGGCATCACGACCACAACAGCAGCAGCAAGTTGGTGGGAAACGGGTTGAAGTCGAGATTCGTGGCGTTGGGAAGGGAGGTGATGATGAAGCAGCAGCAGAGATCGAAGGTGGAGAAGCAGAGGAGGAAGCTTGGGGAGGTAGAGCAAGCGGCGGTTCTGTTGATGGCGTTGTCTTATGGCTCTGTTTATGCCTAATCATTGTTGGTTTTTTTTTTGTCTGTCTTAATTTAGGGGGTTTGGGTAATTAATAAGCAAGAGCCCAAAAAGGATCAGGGAGAGGAAATTTGTATTAGCTGACCAAATTTGAGATTAGTAGAGGTTTAGTGAGTTGGGTTTGGGTTTTAATGTGTAATCCATAAGTTTTGAAGGGTGCTAACTTTATTTGATGATTGTTGTTGTTAGGGTTTGGGTGGATAGTGAAAAGGAAAAGGGAAGAAATGTGGTGGGTGGGGTGGTGGTGTTGAATTGAAGAGGAGCAAAAAGAAGAAAAAATGTTGCAATGATTTTTATATATTCAATTCTATTCTATTCTATTCTAATCCATTGGGAAAATGGTGTTTTTTTTATATATTAGAAATTTGTTGTTGTTGGTTTAACAACTGTGGTGATGGCGATGGGTCTTTGGTTTGTTGGTTGTCGGATACCTTTTGCGCCATTGTTGCCAAAGGTTCTATTATGCTCTCTTAACTTTGGCAATTGACACTTATCTTAATTTGGGGTCAATCTAGCCCTAAATCCTTGAATGACATAAATTCTAATCGTGTGATATGTAGTATGGATTGGGACTTTGTCGATGCTTCATGGTGAATCTTTGTTCATAGGAGTTGGGTTGCCAACTAGTTATTTAAATGTCTTGATAGGGTATATTAACAATTCCTAAGGCAAAGTCCTAGCTAAAGACACAAGGAAGAAAAGAAGACAAAAGAGCAAAAGGACAAGGCCAAGAGACAAGGCCAGACACCTGACATCAGCAAAGTCAAGGTGCAGGGGGACACCCTCTGCCAAAAAGTACAAATGTACAGTGTCAGAGTTTGAGGCCCCCGACCACAGCATTTATGGCTTGGCAGGCGCCCAGACCACTACCTAACCCCAGATGTGTATAAATAGGAGTTCTCTCCTCATAAATGTCAATCTATCTACTCTTACTCCAACTTCTCTCTACTTTCTCTCTCTATATACTTCTTCTCTTTTCTTACTTCTGCCGAGGCGGGGCTCCTACCCCCTCAAAGTCATGTCTGACGCCCCAAACCCCTTGGACCCGAGTGACGCCCAGTCGCCCGGGCTCAAACATGTCTCAATTTCTTTGATGAAGTAATTAGTTAAAGGGGAAATAGTCACTACTTTGGATAGTGATGACGATTTAGACCTATCCCGACAACTATTCTTTCACTTGTTTTGTAATAGAGCGGGTAATACTTGATCTGGACATGAATGGCGAATGAGACTAGTCATTCCCCAACCTACATATGGTGTAAGGCATGTATGGGTACAACTAATGCCTTGGACCATCTTACTTCATATAATATAATTTAATCTTTATGATATTGCGGAAAAATATTTATCCCAATGTTGTTAGGCTAAGTGACTTGCAATTAAATAAAAAAGGTTATTGATTTCTTAGGTATTTAGTATTATAATTTCATTTAGACATGATCAAAGAGATGAATTTAGCATATGTATGACTAATGAAATTGATAGTTTATATATTAAAACAACAAAATAGCAAGTTAAGGAGGGGGAAAACTTTGATCGGTTGCCATTCTCGGTTCTAGGTAAAGAAACCAAGTATTTCATATTATATTAATGGAGTGTTTGGAATAAGATGAATCATGAATTCCTTCATTTAGGATGTCATATTAAAATCTTCATTACACATGAGTAATCATTAAAGATTTCATCTCTGTAGTCTAACTCAAAGATAGTTGAAATTCAGAGTAAGAGATTCGTAAAAATTTGATGAAAAGATTGGGTGCTTAGACCTAAGCCAACATTGGCGTGTAGGAACTTTATTCAATTTGAATCTTTTATCAAACAATGGCAAGTCATTGTACTCTTGTGTTTCTACCAATAAAAATCGGATAAAACTACGACTACATTGAAGTAAGGTGCTAAGTGCAAGAACAGAGTGATTCGAAATGTAGATCCATCACTCGAGATTTTTATATTTTGTAAGTATTCACAGTACGACAACTTTAAGTCATTGATCGTACTTAACAATAATTGATTAGAATTCGATACATGATTGCATCATCATTATTGTCATTGTTGGCAAAGGGCATTAAGTATGACCAACTTTATTGAGTTGGTGATAGGATTTTGGTAAAGAATGGGGAAGGGAGAGGGCAACAAATGAAATGTGCATGCTACATTCTTCTTTTCACTTAAAAGAGATGCCTCAAATACAAGAGAACATGAGTCCTTTCCTTTCCACAGTAATGGCATCTCTTTTTCCTACCTTACAAGTTGACTTGTGGCTCTTGTTTTTGTTATATACCAACACAAAAGAGAAAACATTTCTCCATTTGGATTTAAGGTTTTACCCTATTGTTTATTATTTAAGTTATGTGGGTTGCTTTCGTACTAGTTTTAGAATGGGACAGGGAGACAGGGGAGAGGGAACAATAGCATCGAAGAATCAAAGGTTGTAGCAGAGTGATGATTACTTCACTCTCTTCTTATGGAATCTTCGTCCATGAATCTTGACAACAGAGAAAGTTGAATCTTTTCTTCTCGGTGCTTAAGTAGTCATGTAATAAATAACAAAAGAGATTGTATTATGAGGTGTGTACTTTCTTGACCTAATCTCCTAATATAGTAATTTCATATGCCTATTTGGAATCTATAGACGTAATTTATTGATGAATCATATACAAATACTCTCTATTAAGTTTCAGTCATCACTTCAAATGAAGTTAATGATGTCTTTATAAACTTAGAAGTATATATTATCATAGTTGTTTATCACGTCACATACGATGATTGAGGGACATCATTACACTAAGTTTGTGTCATATTCGTTATCAAGCATGCGTCTTAATATAACAGTGTACACTAATACGAGTTTGCCTCTATGCAAACTAATATAATGTATACTATCGTGCAATTACATACACAAAAGAAGTAGAATTGATTAAATTCGCTCGGAAACGCGATTCTACACCGCACGTTTAGACTTGTATGACAGAGACCAAACATCCCTAAATTCTCTATATGTCTCTGCACATGCCAACACCTCCCATCTCCTCTATCCTCCTCTTTCCTAAGCTATCTCTCCGCCTAATCAGTCCATGTAGACCACATTTCAACCATGTCATCAACCGTAAAAATTGAGATTATGGTGACGTCAACTCATAATTCTAACATTTAGAGTGTGCAACGCTCTGGTATACGGTACGAGCCAAACCGAATTATAAGGACCGCGGTTCAATAGTAAAAGAAATCTTAAAACCAACGATCGAACAATCAATTCGGTCCATTTGCCTCGTAACATTTATAAAATTCATTAGACTACATACGAGGCCATATTTTATTCGTATTGATATGGTTAGATCAAATCGTTCTACATCCTAATAACATTCAATGAAATATATGAAAACAGAGATTACTTAATTACACTCCCATAGTTAACAATATTATTATCATTAAGAATAATTCATATTAGAAATGATATTATGACACTTTTTTTAAAATTCGTTTGTTCTGGTGGTATTTAATTTGTGAGCCTTTACTTCAACAAGAATGGCACATACAGTTGCCAACTGCCGCACCAATTATTGGCCGTCAGCTCCCAAGCCGGAGCTTGGTGAAAAAGAGTTAGCGATAAAATCAGATGCACCAGGTAGAAATTCCATCTCGCACCATCTTCATCATCCAGCAGCTCCGACGGCATGGGATCGTCGGCGGCGGACGAGGATCTCCCACAGGTCCTGCTGATTAAAAACCCGCCCGCCTTCGCCGTCTTAGGAGAAGAACACTTCACTTCCCCCAAGTTCCGGTACTTGAAGGCCTTCGAATCCAGCCTCCCGCTGCACGATTTCTTAGCAGCCCACGGCGGATCCGTACGGGCGATTCTCGCCTCTCTCTCTGTCGTCGACGCCAGCGTCCTCGACCTTTTGCCGGAGGTGCGCGTCATCGCCACCACCAGCGCCGGGCTCAACCTGCTGGACTTGCCCGAGTGCCGCCGCCGAGGGATCAAGATCGCCAATGCTGGGGATGTATATTCGACCGACGTCGCCGATTACGCCGTCGGGTTGTTGATCGATGTGCTGAGGAAGATCTCGGCTAGCAATCGCTACGTCAAGCAAGGGTTCTGGGCTTCTAAAGGAGACTATTATCCCCTCGGTTCCAAGGTTAATCAAACAAACCCCCACCTCGATTTCACTAGTTGCCAAGCATTCTAGGGTTTGATAAAGTTGAAATTCCAGGTTTTACTCTTCTGGGTTTTTCAGATCTAAGTTCACTAGTACTGGTGGTTTCAATTACAAGAAATTGAATTGACCCAATTGATTTGATGGATTGATTGATCGTTCTGTTCTGTTTTCAGCTACGAGGCAAGCGGATTGGAATTGTGGGTCTGGGTCGAATTGGGTACCAAGTTGCCAAAAGACTCGAGGCATTCGGCTGCAGCATTGCATACAACTCCAGGAAGGCAAAGCCTGGGGTTTCATACCCTTTCTACCAGACTGTCCAAGAGCTGGCGGCGAAAAGCGACGCTCTGGTACTCTGCTGCGGTCTAACGCAGCAAACCAGGCATCTGGTCAACAAGGAGGTGCTGGCGGCGCTGGGGAAAGAAGGTGTGATCGTCAATGTTGCTCGCGGCGGGGTGATCGACGAGAAGGAAATGGTGAGGTGTCTGATGGAAGGAGAGATAGCAGGGGCCGGACTGGATGTGTTTGAGAACGAGCCAGAGGTTCCTAAAGAGCTGATGGAGCTTGACAATGTGGTGATGAGCCCTCACTGTGCTGTTCGCACCAGGGAATCGTTGATGGAGGTGGGCAGGCTTGCGGTGAGGAATCTGGAAGCTTTCTTCTCCAACGAACCGCTGCTGTCTGAGTTCGAGGATGACTGATCAGCTTGCTGCTGCACTTTGAGGAGGTTCTTTCTGGTGTAAGAGCTTAAAGCGAAAGACGTTGGTTGGTTGTGTACCTGAGCCATTTTGAAAGCTTGCTGTTGGTTTGTTTTGTTGTGGTCGTCTTAAGAACTTAGATGGCGTTTAGATGGCCGGGAATTCTATTGTGCCGTGCCGTCACTAAATCTGGCCGATTCAAACATGAAAGGTTCGATTTGGATTTTTTGGACCAGGTTCGATTAAGTGCCAAATGATAATTCCTCGTTCCTACTTCCTATCTCTTCCATTTCTCTCTGAGAAAACCGGCGCCTCGTGCAAGTGTGCAACCAAATCAGCGCCACTATCACCGCCGTTGTTGTCCTCGTCCGGCCATCACCACCGAGACTCTTGACGAGTTTTCGGAATTAATTTAACTTCCTCCCATGATCTCGCCTAATAATGTACACAATTTACTGCCATTGTACATACTTACAGCTTGATATAAATGAATTCTATAAGTTTCGAAAATTTATTTTGAAATGAAATTTTTTTGTGTTTAATATTTAGAGAGGAATTCATTTGCAATTCTAAATTTTGAATTCTACGGAATTGGAACTAATTATAGCAATTCCGAGGAATTGAGATGGAATTTGCAAATGAATTCCATAAGTATTTACTAATTGTAATAGAATGACATAATTATCCCCATTTGTTAACGAAATTACTTCTACATATATTATTTGGTGCAAATTGATGCAGTATGGGAAACGTCACCAAGAATTTGATTGCAACGCTAGTAGCATATGCTAGTTATTTTATATTTTTGTTTCGATTGTATCAGTACTTTGAAAGGGCACAAATAGATTGTAGGGTTCATCCACGAAATTTTAGAAATGAACTAATTAGTAGAATAGAAACACGCAAGAACAGTTTTGATATTATGCGTATGGGACCAAAGATGTTTTTTATAAGATGAATTTTCAATGAATATTGTTTCCCCGAAAATTAATAAGGGTGTAGTTGGAGAAACTTTAAAAGTTTAATTCAATTCTAAACATATAGCAAACATGGTTTGAGAATTCAATTTTTTTATTTCTAAAGATTGAATATGACTACCAAACACAGGTTTTCTTTTGACAATGAATTCTACACAGTAATTCATTTTAAAATGAAATAAATTCTCAATTCATTTGGTACTAAACGGTCTGTTTCACAGTAATTCATTTTAAAAGGGTAAATGCCACATTTGGTCACTGGGATTACTAAATCGTGTTATGTTTAGTGTTGACTTGATATATACACATGTTTTTATCCACCATTCTTATGTCGTCTGAGCCTCATTTCTCGTATCTTAGGCCGATTTCACGCTAGGTTGTTCTTGTTTGTGATATTTCAGGTCCTAGTACATGATTGGAGGTTTGGGAACGAGTTCGGGGTCGATTGGACGAAAGTTGGACGTTTGGCGAGAAGCTAAGGAAACCACACGACCAGACCTAGCAGCCACACGACCGTGTGGCGTGGCCGAGTGGAATCCCATTACGCGGGCAAGACCACACTGGCCGTGTACTGGGTCCCTTGAGGGCGTGTGAAAATTCCAGGGAAGTCACACGGGCAAGCAAGTATTCTACACGGTCGTGCAGCTCTGGCCGTGTAGCATTCGTGGAGACACTTAATTGAAATGTCGCATTTTGACGCTCACACGAGCAAACTGGGATTCCACACGGCCGTGTGGTCGGGAAATTCTGGGGTTTAACACAATTTCGAGCCTAAGGAGAGGGAATCGAGTTTTGGAGCAAAAAACAGAGCTTTAGAGAGAGAAAGTGTGAAGAACAAACCCTAGGAGCTATTTGGAGTGGATTTCTCACCATTGAAGCCCAGATTGCATCTCCAAGAGTGAAGATCGACATCCAAGAGCAGATTATCGTCATCTTTTTGAGTATGAGTACTCTGATTTCTGTTTTCCTCTCTCTCTCTCTCTCTCTATGGAGTAGAACCTTCTCTCATTTGGGTATGAAGAACCCTAGTTCCATGTGTTAGGAATCTTGATTGTAATGACTTGTGATTGATATACTGATTGGTTATAATCAATTGATGCATGATTCGTTGAGTCAATTGAAGTGTGATCATCTTTTCTTGATTTCTGCTGCAACCTGAGATAGATAGAATCTAATTAGGTTGTTAGAGCTTCATCAATCGGTAGTGGTAGATTGATTATACGAGAGTGAATCGATTTACTGCTTTGTACTGGAATCCAATTCCAGCAGTGGAGTTCTGTGTTTATTGCCTCAGCAGTCTATCTCGGTGAAGGTTAGTCTCCTGCCTGAGAGGACTTGGTCAGCTTAAGAGATAATTAACTAAATTTAACATAACATCTACACCACCAAACCACAACTCTTTTGTTGGGACAATTACATATTGACAAAGTTTTAGCTCTTGAACGCTAACAATCCTCAATAACTTTGAACAACCATAACTTTGTGCTCCAAAATCAGAACGTCATTAATTTTTTTTTTCATTTCGCATAACTTTTGAAGAACTACAATTTTTACTAGGAAGAAATTATTAAAATAAGAATTATTATTGGATATACAGGGTTTTGAGAATAATGTTACCTTCCCTTTTCACAATTCCACGTACATTCCAAAATTATGTCTATGATAAAAGTTGTAGTCCTTAAAAAGTTATGCGAAATGAGGAAAAAAATCATAACGTTCGGATTTTGGAGCACAAAGTTATGGTTGTTTAAAGTTATTGAGAGTTTTTAGTGTTCAATGAGTAAAACTTTGTCAATATATTATTGTTTTAAGAGAAAAGTTGTAATTGAGTGGTGTAGATGTTGTGCCAAATTTAGTTAACTATTTATTATATGAGTTCGAACCACCACTCCCACAACTTGTAGCTTTTTTAATCTCTACTAAATAAATAAAAATTCAAATGAGATGGTGGTTATTCGAACCCAGGACTTCTTGCACACAATAAACAACTAAACCAATTGTGCAAAGACCACTTATGACATTTATTTGGAAAAAACCATATATATATATATATATATATATGGTTACGACTCGTATGCTCCAGGCGCATAGCATGCTCCAGGTCCTCAGATCGTTGATCTAATCTAACGGCTAGTATTAATTATTTTAAAATTATATATTTAATAAAGATTATGATTACAAATTACACCCCTTAAATAATTATATGTGCTATGAAGTCCCCGAACAATAATTACCATCATGTTTTCTCGTCTGATACCTTATTTTATAGAGTTCTATTATTCAACAGCAAATTTTATACAATTGATAAAAAAGATTCTCCATTAAAATTTGGCTGGAATTGTTAATGAATCAAAAATTCATTGTCATCATCCACTCAAATGTTATCGTCATCATCAAAGCAGACCATCCCTAATTCCCTCTTCTTCTTCTTCTTCCTTCTTCGTCCCGACTGTCCCTCCACCTTCATATTGATTCCGCCCAGATCATCCTCTCCTCGCTCTATCAATCCCATCTCGACCCTTCAAACTCCATCTCTCCCACTCCCTATCTTTTATCCCCTTCGTAGCCCAGACTTTCGATTGGGCGCAGCAGGACGAGCAGAACACTACATCCACCATTGCTGACTCGGAACTGGAAGAAGACGGTGTGGATTCGGCAGGCGAGGAGGGCCCGGTGGCTTCCTACGCCGCCGCCGAAGATGGGGATGATGCAATTGAGGCGCAGGAGCCGTCGGAGGACGCCAAAGTGTTCGTCGGTAACTTGCCGTACGATGTGGATAGTGAGAAATTGGCTATGCTCTTCGAGCAAGCTGGAACTGTAGAGATTGCTGAGGTTTGTTTCGATGGATTACTTCACCTTTTTTACTGGGATTTAACTTCTAATTTGCATCTTTGTGAAATCTTCTTTTGTCTTTTGTTTGTTGGCAGGTCATTTACAACAGGGAGACTGATAGCAACCGTGGTTTCGGATTTGTGACCATGAGTACTGTTGAAGAAGCTGAGAAGGTTGTCGATAAGTTCAACAGCTATGTAAGTTCACCGTTTCTTTGCCATCTGTTTTTGACGATTGATTGCTGGTATGGGGCTGAGGATAGTAGTGTGAGAATGAAAACTGTGCAAGGGTATTTAACTGATAGCTAAACAGTTTGGGCCTCTGTCAGTTGCTTTGAAAGTTTGAGTCTTTACTGCTGAAATTCGACGAATGTAAGCTTTGAGATTGATAATCTTGTTGGGTTGGCTGGAATTAGCGAACTTATTTGCAATTGAGCATTTTTGCTTTGAATTGTTAATTTTTCTCTCAACTGGTACAACTCTTGTATCCTTCCAGCTAGAGAGGTTCGGTTCATTGAAAGTGTGTTCTTAAATAGTTGCATGAAGTAATAAGTACTTTCACTTTCTGGTCTATAATACTATGCTGCATTTCAGTGAAAGGTGTTATTGTGTGGAATGTTCCACTCAGCCATCATTGACTTGTCTGTATGTTAGTAGGATATTCATGAACTTTTGAACTAATGGCATTCCACTCTGAGCAAACTTGGTTTGATATACCTTCAACTGAGTTCAACTTGGTGATGTACACAGGACATGGGAGGGAGGTTCTTGACAGTTAACAAAGCTGCTCCCAGAGGATCAAGGCCGGAGCGGGCTCCCCGTGTGTTCGAACCTGGTTGCAGAGTCTACATTGGGAACCTACCATGGAGTGTCGATGATTCTCGCCTCGAGCAAGTCTTCAGCGAGCACGGCAAGGTCACAAATGCTCGAGTAGTGTATGACAGGGACAGCGGCCGCTCACGTGGGTTCGGGTTTGTGACAATGGCTGATGAGACGGAGATGAACGATGCCATTGCCGCTCTTGATGGACATGTATATGCATCTTTGCATTTACGTGATATCTTTTGCTGGTACTTTGTAGACTGTAGTGATAAAGAGTGAGGTTCTTACTACTGTTTCTCTTCCTTTATGCAGTCTCTTGATGGGAAATGGTTTCCTGAAAGAGAACTGGAATTCAATTGACCTAATGGTTCTGTATGTCCTTCATCCGGCATCACGCAATCGCGAAACAACCCGGGGACTAGCAGGCGTCATCTCCCCAAGGGCAGAAGATTTCAACAGAGACATAGTAATAGTAGCAGTAAAGGTGGTTTTTTTGGCAACTCGTTGGAAGAGGTTCATATTATAGGCAGGGGCAACTTTGTAGGCCGTTCTCCGAGACAAGTGTCAAGTAAACTATTTCAAGATGAAACGAGTAATCAAAGACCAGGTCTCTGAAACACCAGTTTAGCCACTTGCATTGTGCTCTGACCAAATCGGAGCCGGCAGGCGAGCAAAAAATCTCTTGTTCCATATCGATCTGATTCTTCTGTTGATCATTAGATATGCTTCACCACATATCAAGTCATTCACTTTATGGTTATTCCCATTTCACTCTTCAATTTGAATGTTTTAATTTAGCGATTTTACTGCTTTATAACTCTTATGACTGCTGTTGTCATCAGGTTTACTGCTGAATCAAAATCCTAGACGGGAGTCGCATTGAAAAGAGGATTTGGTCTGATGGTTTACACACGCTGATATGGCTTTGGTGCTTGTTTACACACGCTAATGTGTCAAAGGATCTTTTCACTTTGAACTACCATTTGTTGCCTTTGTGAATTATCCATTTCTATTTTTTATTTGTGTTAAATTGGTTGGACAGTTTGCAGACTCACTACACTAGCTCATATAATGAATCGAAGAGATTTGGGACTAGAATGCATTAATAGTAGGTTTGTTGTGTAATTCTCACGTTGTTAACTCAATGCAAATACAAACGAATTTACTTCCACTGTTGACAAAAGCAATCAAGTCACATCTACTAATACTAATTTGTTCAAAGTACCATAACTAATTTAAATTCATATTTTACATCAAGCACCCCTCAAAAGGATAATAAACGTACAAAAGATATTAGCGTTCACATATCCATTACACTTACAGAACACGAGAGATTACAGAGAGGTGGACCATTAATAACATTAATCTGATCATATTAATACTACCCAATTGCTACTTAGTTATCTAAAGGCAGGAACAACTTAACCAAGAATAGATCAAAATAATTCCCCACGTTGTTCCAAGGACCGATTGTGACCATGACTTCATATGACTTGTCACCAATCAAGTTGAGAAGTGTAACATAGTCGGCATTGTCAATCTCAGAAGGACTGACTACAGAAGAAATGATTCTCCGTAAGTATGATGATGGGAACACGACCTCAACATCAGTAATGTCATCTTCAATGGTCAAGTGAATCAAGTATACTGTGGATGCATCACACCAAGATCTCCTCAGCTCTGTTACAACGCCAGAGAAAATGTACGAAGTGCCCTGATATAATGCAAAAGATGATGATTTGAAAAAAAAAAAACAAATCAGCTGCAAATCAATCACATAAGAGATAGAGAAGGACAGATAACAAACGTCTTTTCTTACTCACCTGATCATCACCATCCAATTGCTTTGGGATTAGATCTAAAGCTTCAACGGGCTCAGACATTGCCACGGCATTTTGATAATTTAGATTCATAACAAAATCATCTCCCAGGGTAAAAAACCTATAATTTAGATTATTAGCAATTGTATTGAGTAGTTATGAGAACACAAGAATATGGTTTATTATGAGTTGGTTGGGAAACCATTACTTACGGGTTCCATTCAGGTATGTTGTCCATCTTCAAATATATGTCACACTGATTTCCTTCTGCTCAATCTCTATTTTTGGCAGTATCTGCCATTTTTAGAATCATAAAAACAAACTATGTTAGTTGTGGTTTGGCACCACAGTGCATATTACTTTTGCATTGTTGAATTAATAACCAATTTGTATTTCAGTTGAATTAAACCAAACGGCACACCTGATCATCACATGTCGCTGCCGTCGCTGAATTAAAAAAGATCAGGGTTCTGGCATTGATAGCGATTGATCGAATTCCTGCTAGCCTTATCGACGTCTGGTCTTAGAAAGTAGAGAAGTCAGCAGCAAGGAAGAAAAAAGCCGCTTTTCCCCGTGCATATTACTTTTGCATTGTTGAATTAATAACCAATTCGTATTTCAGTTGAATTAAACCAAAGAGACTCTTAACGACTATATCAAAACAGGATAGAGTTCCGACACTAATCAAATAATCATGTACAAATGAAGAGAAGACACATCTTAGGCATCAGAAACAAAGACATGCAAGGCAAAATCAAAATAAAAGAATGTTCGGAAGTAGAAATACTAGCTGAACAGCGTATGAAAGAAAGAAGGCCTCAGTCCTTCACATTCAACTCATAGTCAGGGTTGCTGGTATTCTTCTCATTTCTAAACAAATTATAGCCAATGAAAAGAGCAAGCTGAAGCCATTTAGCAGCTCATAATCTTCAATATCTGATACCTATTCAATATCATATTCACTTTAGAACCCCCAAAATCTCCTCACTTCAGCACCATTGCTACCACAAAAAATAAACTAAAAACAGGGCTTGACACTGGGGTGAAGCTCAAGAGAAAGCATTCGAGCTTCCGAAATATTAACCAACTCATGCTCAGGTGTTAATCTTGCCTGACTTTTCTAATGTGGCCTTGTGTGATTGTATCCAGCATGTGGACACTTTGTAACCGAAAAAGAAAGCACTAGTCTTTTTAGCTCGATAAACCGACCAAAACATAGCTTACTGCAGGGCGCCACCATCAAGGAATGCAGACACAGTAGTAAACTAGAGGGGAAAGCGAGAAACCTGGTGAAGTTCAGCAGGATAAACTAATCCCGCCAGTGCTTCTTCTCAACTGCTGTTTTCCTTTGCTAACGGAAGCCGAAATCAATTCCTCTGTTCCATAAACACGTCGTCTACAAGTTAGCTCGGAACTTCAATAAAGCAAACACGAAGCTCGAAGAAGAGAATAGTGTGCAAACTTCTAATGGCGGCGAGGAATCGCTAAGCGTTTCAAACACCAGGCCGTTGCCCAATCGACTAAGAATGAAAATGAGAGCAGAAGGAGGCGTACCCAAAGGAGCGGAGGACGCGATTATCGCCAACCTGTTGATGAGAGGAAAGAAAATATAAATGTGAGATGCTGGCAAAATCTTGAGAATCAACTCTTGGGGATGAGAATAATGTGGGTCAGGCAGATAGGAGGACAGCGGCGCCGAAGGGAACGGAACAGAGGCGCCGAAGGGAAGAGGAAGAGGGAGCGGAAACGTTTTCGTGATCCTTTTTGGTTTTGGTTTTTTTTTATGCAAACGTTTTGGCCGGCCAAACCCAACTAATGGGCCTCTATCAACAGCCCAAACTTACAACTAGCCGGCCAATGGGAGAACGCGACTGCTGCACTGTTGGGCCTATTCGGTGGTAGTAATGTTGGTTGTTTCTGATCTCAAGCCCTCAACTGCAAAAAGAGTTCTTCAATTCGTCTACTCGTCGGGCCCTAATTAGACAGAACTCTTGGCCGACTTCGATGGAAGGGGTTAATTGTATTTTTTATGTTTTTTTTGTTGACCAAACGGCACACCTGATCATCACATGTCGCTGCCGTCGCTGAATTAAAAAAGATCAGGGTTCTGGCATTGATAGCGATTGATCGAATTCCTGCTAGCCTTATCGACGTCTGGTCTTAGAAAGTAGAGAAGTCAGCAGCAAGGAAGAAAAAAGCCGCTTTTCCCCGTCCGAGAATCTCCATCTGCTCTAAGTGGGCGAGCTAGAATCCTTATGTCAGGTTGGTTGTTCAAAAAACTTTCTCTTTAGCCTTTGCATCTTCATCTTTTCGAAATTCAGACCTGGATTTTCATTAGTCCTATTTCGCCTCTTCACTTCAATAAAGACCTCTTTCTTTTCTCAAATTTTTTTTGAAAGAGGATAAGCGCTATCCATTCCATTGAGTAAAGGATGCAATTGTTGATAAAAGGTAGATATACAGAATAATGTTGGTTTTAAATATCTGCATAGACGTGAGATTAGACAATATCAAGAGATAAGATCAAACACTTAAGGATGGGCGATTCATATTTGAATAATAAGGATTCTGAAGATTACATATGGAAAAATGTGGGAGCAGGCAGGGTAATTGCTGGGATTATTTCTAACATTTAAACAACCATAATATCATAAAAATCAAATTAGGATCAGTGCGGTAATTGAAGAACCTGTTGGTGATGACACAAAATATAGGAAGACATAAACGTTCATGAAAAGTTGAAATATTTGTTCTTCTAAATAAAAATCTAACTAATACATTTTTATAAGCATAATATGGGAACACATGGCACACTAACGTAGTTCATGTCCAAAACCAAATTGCTCCACAGGTGGCAATTGGTTTTACCGCTACTCAAAAGTCGGAATGCAAAAAATAAAAATAGAATTCCTGCTGTTAGGTCTGTGTTCCCTTCATTCTTCCTTACTAAACCAGCTGATCGAATCATGTGTCCTACCACCTGAAATAATAACAGGAAAGGAAGGTAACCATTACTAAATATAAAAGATTAGCAGTGCTAAGAAACTGAAACGCTATTATGCAGTTGAGATATAATCGAAAAAGTAAGGCCATGCACCTTTTTCCATTGGAAAATGAGATCATTGTTTATAACTCCAACTTGAGATCCATCAATGGTTGAAATGCTTTTGGATGCCAAATTGCATACATGCGAATTTGTGGTTCATCTGAAAATTCTGATCCAATGATGTATACCTCTGCCATGAATTTGATGTCGCACAATTCTTTGAGCAACTGAATTCTTTGATCATATGACATTGTCTGGAACTCCAGTGGTGGCATACGAATCAGAGCAAGGGCAGGTGCATGATTTAGAATGATTTTTGCTTTCTGATTCCCTGATTCACACTCAGCTTGCAGCTCATAATACAATCTGAAGAATAGGTAGATTAGCTGGATGTAAACAGTTTATTGTTAGATTAATAATAGGAAATAGAAAAGCCACCATGGTGGTTTGGAAATACTCAGTGTCCACAGGCGAAGTTCTACAGGTTTCAGAACCAAGATCAAACTTCACTATCTTCAATTTGCATCGAAACAGTATCTGTGACATCGTTTGATTTAACAAATAGATAAAATTTGGAAATCAGGGTGTATGTTATAACAATAGCACTATTAGAAGACAATTAGGAATCTATTTGTAGGTGATTAATAATATCTGTTTGAAACAGTAAAGTAGTGTGCAATGGATAATCACATGTACCTCGGTTTCTTGTTCTCCTAAAGCCACCTTGTTCTTTAATTCTAACAATGAGATTCTTGGAGGAATTTCTCGACGAAGATATCCAAGACGCTCTTTTGAGCTGTAGTCAATGATATCCACGGGTAGTCTATCACGAAAGAACCTGCACAGTTTTGTTAGTTAGATTCGGAATTGGGAGAGCAATAAAAAAACAGAAGGTTCATAAAAAACATATAAGTGCAGCGATGTACCTATTCATCAGTTCTTTGGTCATGTCATTGTACGAATGGACAATGAGACGAGTTCCAGGAGACGTTACAAAACAGAATGGCGGAATATGTGAAAAGTCATGCACATTTCGGCTAACTGCTGTTGCTGTCACAACCAGAGGATAATGAACTTCTTTGTAATCGGCACTGTGAATGAACTCCTTAATTCCTTTCCCAATATAGCTCACAAGTCCTTTGTTGCCACTAAAAATGTTGAGAAATGGATTATAAATGGTAATAAAGATGAAACTCGATCTAGAATGATATAACAACAACTAAATATAAGTCATACCTAATGTCTTCGATATGAATCTGGAACATGGATGTATCGGAATTCACTTTTATTGGTTCCGTGATATGTGTCACACATCCTATGATATCTGAAATAAGAATATGTTTTAGATCTTTGGTTCTACATGTTCTATATTTTGTGTACTGATATCATGGGGTGAGGTATAAAAATGTGCACCTGAGTAGCAGATTGGAACACTTGCAGATGAAACACTGTCAGTGAAAGGAACCTGAAGAAAAGAATCATCTGGAAAATGCATTGTGCTGCGATATTCTTGCATACTTTTGAACGAAGCTCCTGCTGCGAAATATAATCTCAAATTCGAAGGTGCAGTGCGACGTTCTGATTTAGCTGGTATGACAGTTGGGTTCATCATGGTATAGAGACAACCAATCTTCATGTTTTTGCAAATATGACCAGCATCTTCATAACGTACATTTGCTTCCATAAGTTGTCCCTAAAGAAGTTAAAATTGAACACTTGTTTGAATCAACTGTTCTCTGTTTATAGCATAAGAAGTGGATGTAAAGTGTTCATAAACAAACCTCTTTATCTAACCAAAGCATATGCATTGATGAAACAGATGCAGCTCCATTTGATTCACATTCTGACCATATGTTTAGCAGTCGAGCCATGAGGAAATGGTTGTTTGTTCCAACACCAAGTTCACGAAAGGTTGTGGATTGACGCATCACATCTAACAGGAAAAGGAAAATGAGGCGATCTATCTTAAACCATACGAAAAAGTTACTTTTCAATTAAATATATGGTACCGTGTGGGTCTTCTGGTAACATTGGTCCTGGTGTTGTTGTCCAAGCCATCGAATCGGCCTCTGATAGTTTTGGGTACAGGAACAATTCCTGTCTTAAATCGTGAAATGAGACAGAGCTAGCAAGGTAAGAGGAAAATATAGTAGAAACCGGAAACTGGAAACCGAATGTGCAGTACTTACCGGCAGACAGCTTCTGTATGGGGCCGGATGACAGAGACGGGGGGCGGCAGTGGTCCGATGTTCCCAAACTTTTCTAGGGTTTTCTATCGGATAAAACCCGCAGGAGAATGGTGGAACAACTGGTTTTTTTTTACCCGATAGAGAGAAACATTTTGTATAGAGGAATGGGGTTTGAAATGATTCAATTTGCTACTGATCAAGGTATAAGAGCGGCGGGCAAAGAAGTAATGGGCTCTCCATTTTGGGCTTTTGCTTTCCTGTAAAGTGTTCTTGGGCTTTTGACTTTCTGGAACCATGGTTAATTGGTGAAAATGGGCCGATATATTCGTTAGGGCTGCGCACTGCTAACCCTTGGATTAGTATGAATAATTCAACCCAATAGTACAAAAGGATAGAGGTTTCTAGATGGACACAACACTAAGTATCATGTGTTCTATGTATGATATTCTTGAGCTAGCAAGTGCCTCACGAATAATTAACAATGTAGTATGAAATGTTTGTAGTTTGACTCACGCATTTTTACATCTTCGGAGCGTGAGCAATGGAAAGTTTGGTTCCTACTTGATTACCGTGTCACTTATACCTGTCTTACCGGCGTCCGACTCGATAAAAACTCGTTTGAAACTCGATTCGTCTTAATCGAGTCGGCTCGCGAACAAGCTCGTTAACTAAATGAGCCGAACTCGAGCCATACAATGTTCGGCTCTAAAGCTCGCGAACAAACTCATTTAACGTTTTGCCATAAGAAAGAATTAGAATTCATGGATTTTATGCATTGAAATTGAAATAAATATTATGTTTTATTTTGGTAGACTTAGATATAGGTTTGAATGTAATTTTGTGCCCTATACCCTGAACCCTGCACCCTATACCCTGAACCCTAAACCCTTACCCTGAACCCTATACCCTGAACCCTTAACCCTAAACCCTATACCCTGAACCCTAAACCCTGAACCTTAAACCCTAGACCCTAAACCCTGAACCCTATACCCTGAACCCTAGACCCTAAACCCTAAACCCTGAACCCAAAACCCTATACCCTATACACTGAACCCTAGACCCTAAACCCTATACCCTGAACCCTAAACCCTAAACCCTATACCCTATACCCTATACCCTAAACCCTGAACCCTAAACCCTGAACCCTGCACCCTATACCCTGAACCCTAAACCCTAAACCCTCCGTTCTTGAACGGGTTTAATCACGAATCCTAAGTAGATCTTAATCTAATGAACTTATACGAAAAAAGAACCTCGTTTATATGAGCGGTAACTTTAAACAATTTTATAGATACTTAAATTGAGGACATAGGTTTAGAATTTGAAAACAAATAAAGAAACAATGAATATAAATTTTCATTCCCCCAAACTATCCCGCCATTTTTTTGTTTTGGATTTTCCCAAACTTTGAACCAAATAAAAAGATTTTCCCACCAAATCATGAATTTATTAATTTATGCAGCTTTGAAATAGGAAAGGCTAATTAAAACACAAAGAAAAAAAAAGGAAAGGCTTGACCGGATGGAACACGATGTCGTACAGGACAATAGAATGAGGGTAACTTTACCTTCCTCATTCGCATCCTTCATTCTTCCTCAGATCCACCCATTTCCTCAGAACCGCGACGGAACCCTGTTTTTATCCGCCAAAACAAAATTTCATTTCTTTGCAACCCTTCCCATCCCACTGAAACAGAATAGCATAGTTTCATTCTCTCTTTCCATTAATCGTTTGATGTTTCTGGGAAATCTGGTCGATTTGGGGTCTTCGAAGCTGGCCCACTTTGCCGGCGGCCGAAGGTGTGGCCTTGTCGATGAGCACGCGGAGCTTCAGATATACTATTTCTGGGATATATGGCGCATGCATATCGCATAATGAATCACTCGAAGAAGGTAGGCTTCCGAATCTCTGCACTTCCCTCGCCCTGATTCGGCTTTGATTCACTGAAACGGCGATTGGTTCAGGTTCATGCTATGGTAGCAAGCAACGAAACTTTCTTTGAAGCTGGGATCGGAGATGAGGGAGCTCCACAGCTTGCAGATGGGTTTGTAGAGGAAGGCGGATCTGGGATTGGGGAGGGCAATCAGAATCTCGACGAGGAGGCCGTCTCCGAGTTTGCTGATGGCGGAAGGAGGGTGTAGAGGGTTTCTGAGAACTGGGTTTCTGTTGCCGCCGCCGCTCCTATCGGTGACAACGGCTCCTCCTCCATCTCCACCGCTTCGCCGTTACAGCCAGGTAAAGTTTGGTTCTTGGTCTCTGCTTTCGCTTGTTTTTCTCTGATGGATTCTGAGAACTGGGTTGCTGTTGCAGTTGGGAGCCGGGTTGGAGAAGTGAAGAGGCTCACCAAAGAGACCAATGTTTCTGTGAAAATTAACTTGGATGGTACTGGGGTTGCTGACTCGTCCACGGGAATCCCATTTCTCGATCACATGTTAGATGTTAGTGAACTTCTGGAAATCACTTTGCAGCTCTGCAACTTCCCTTTTCAATTTGGTCGACTACTCGATTTTCTTTTGCCCTGGATTTGATATATGATATTTCCTGCTTTTCGATCGATTGATTGTAGCAACTTGCGTCGCATGGGCTGTTTGATGTACATGTGAGAGCAACTGGTGACATTCATATTGATGACCATCACACCAATGAAGATGTTGCTCTTGCTATTGGATCGGTCAGTACTTCCAGTTACCTTCCCCTTTTCATTTCTCAGTCTTCTGCCTTCATATAGCTCACCACTTGTAACTCGCCTCCATGGATTATTGATTGAGGATTTTGAGAGCTATCAGCAAAGAGAGCTAGGGAATTGGTCAGGCAAAAGAGTGTCTTGAGATCATCTTCTCTTCCAGGGAAGCTTGATGAATGCTCATCTACCAATCCTGAAGAATCTGGTGACTATTTTATTCCAAGTTATTTATTTTGACAGAGTTGCTGAATTTCAAGATAGCTAAATGAAGTAGTCTTGAAATAGACTTCTGCTTGATTCGCCACGAGGTTCAGTGGCACATTTTAAGGACTCTATCCTTTCAATGCCTGCAGAAATTTTCATAGTTGAAGGTGATTCAGCTGGTGGAAGTGCTGAGCAGGGCCGGGATAGGCGCTTTCAGGTAATTGGATCCATTCTTAATTTAATCGATGAGCGTGTGAATGGCGGTGAAGCAATGTTGTGGTCTGCTTTGTTTAATTGGGAATTGGGCATTTCTGATTCATGTCCCTTCATGTTCTGAAAAATGACGTGTGCATTACTCATTAGGGTGCTAAATTATCTTTAAATCATGTTTTACAGGCTATTCTAATCCCTTTTTGTGCTTAGCGTTGATTTATTTCAATTTTCTGTCCTTGTACTCATTTTGAAGTTCTTGCAAAAACATGGACTTGAGCAATTTAGTGAATGAGTAGTTTCTAAAATGCTTACTTCTTTGTTTTTCCCCATATACTCAACACCAGTTCAATGGAAGGGAGAGTGAATGGGGTTTCACATCATTTATGCCCCTCAGTGATCTGGTTGTCGAGGTCTCGCAAGAGTCAAACTGGTTCTAAGGAATACAAGACACGTGCTGCAGTTGGTGTAAGTTTATCTCAACCCCTATTACATATCAATCTGGTCCCTATGTTGGATCAGTCTACTTATGTTAGATAAATTATGGTATAAATTTAATAACCAACCATATGCATATCAATCTCAGGCACCTCGAAGAGAAGATGAAGAAGACAACAAAGTTAAAATCAAAGGGGTCTTGCAAAAAATGCACGAGGTATGTCCTTGAATAACTAAGAACTCATTTCCAACTCTCTATGTTCGTCAAACCACAAAAAAAAAAACTGTCAAAGGCTGCACTTGTTGTAAATCAACCAAGCTAAAAGATTCTGTCCCATCAATTTCAATGAAAAAATAACAAAAAACTGAGTGCTTTTCAACTCCTTGCTCTGGATGTTGTTCAACTTCTTGCCATGTCCCCTCTTCTGAAACATAAAAAACAAGATAAAAGAACATTGAAACTGTCACTTTTTTAGCAAAGGTTCTCACATAATATATACATTAGGTTGCATTAGATTATTTTCACTAAAAAAACCTGTTGGGTCCTCTCAGATTAGCGTTCAGAACATTGAGCAGAAGGCTCCACACTAGGTTCTGTATGCTTATTGGATTTCCCTTGCTGCTGATGTGTCATAGTACTACTCCTAGTACGTGGCCCAGTCTGTTACAAGAGTAGAAATTAAACTCTTAAGTTGATAGCTACTTGTACCAAATAGAATAAAATTTAGAAAGAAAGTGTTGTATAACCTTATGTAGCTTCGGTATGTTTTCCGTAGGCTCTACATCAGCATCGTGGTTGCTAGTTCGTTGCTTCTGATATAACCATTATAAAAACACTTAGTTTTTAAGAACTATTAATTCTGATAAAAACTCAAATATGTTTTACCAATTACCTTTTGGGGCCGACCACTTTGGTCATCGTCATCATCTCCATCATCACCTCCCTCATCACCTCCATCATTGTCCGCAAAATCCAGATCATCGTCGTCATCCTCTTCATCAGACGAAGATTCTCTAGCTGGCGGCACGTAGCCTTCGGGTTCAGGACAAGTCTTAATATAATGACCGTCCCTTCTACCGCATCTCCCACACTTCCTCTTCTTTTTCTTCTGTTGTTTTTTTGCCTTTCCTTTTCTACATCCCTTGAACATCACTTTTTTGGGGTTGAGGACTCTTTCAAACTCCTTAGGTATTACCATCGATTCCCTTTCAGCCGGAGTTGTTCTCATCATTTCCAACTTGTCCCTCACTGCTGTCAACCCCCCTCGAGCAACCTGGAAAGATAGAGGAGTCTCTGCCCCCAATAGGAAAATATGTGTTGCCAAGAACTGGAGTGACCCATATCTGGTGTTGAAAGAATGATCATCCCCCAACTTAGGTGGCGGTGGCATACTGTCTATTGACTTTGGGTTCTTTGAGCAACATTTAAGTACCAGTTTCTCAGGAAGACTTTTCACCCGTTCTTCTTTCAACACACAGAGCATATGAGTGCAGGGAATTCCAACACTGTTAAATTTTTTACAGCTGCACTCCATATCCTTTGTTTCAAGGTTGTATTTTACCTCCACAACCTTCTGTTTGTTGAACATACTTAAACTGTAGGTGTGTATGTTTCCATCCTCAGATTGAGTGTTCTTTATGCACCCAATAACCTGCTCTAGTTCACTTCTGAATTTAAGAAATGCAGCTTTCGAGAACAACTTAACTGCACTTTCCTCAAGGGGTCTAAGCATGGTGCTCTTTAGCGTGGTTAAACCATAATTAGATTTAAAATCTAATTTGATCTCTGTTTCCCTCAAATCCCTACACCAACGATCATACTGAATGAAAAAGTCAAGCAAACAGTGTCTCTCCTCCAAATATCTTCCAACAAATGAATTTATACCTTCATTTCTTGATGTGGTTGTCAGCCCGGCAAAGTAGTGGGAGCGCAAGTATGTGTCCGCCCATTCTCCGCGTCTCCCAAATAAATTTGTAGTCACCCATTGGTTGTTCTGTAGACCACATTTTTCCACTAATTCCTTCCATTTCTCTTCAAATTCTTCTTCCTAATAATCAGCAGTTACAAATGTGCTCCATTGGGGTTCGAAGTCTGGGTTATTCTTCACCTTGCCCTTGATATTCTTTGAAAGATGCCACGCACAAAGCCGGTGTGTTGCATCTAGAAACACAGTAGCAATGGCATTCCTCATTGCTTTATCCCCATCTGTTACAACTGTATGCAAGTCCTTTCCACCCAACATTTCCTTCAATATCTCCAAAGCCCACTTGTAGCTCCCTTCAGTCTCATTAGCTAACAGTGCACTCCCAAATAAGCAACTCGTGAAATGATGGTTGATACCTGAAATAGCAAGTGCTTCTCAACTTGTTTACGGATTAGAAAATTGAATATACGAACCAAAATTAGCACTAAGGTGTGTACCTGTGAAAATAACAAGAGGCATATTGTAAATATTTTTTTTGTATGTCGTGTCAAATGCGAGCAACTCTCCAAAGCACGAGAGGTCAGCTATGCTCATACTGTCTGCCCAGAATAAACTGTGGAGCCTATTTTCCTCGTCAGTAGTGTACCGGAGGATGAAGTGCGTGTCCGTACTTTTCTTCGATTCTAGATAGCCCAGTGCGGCTGCCGCATCACTAGGACATAGCCTTTCATTGCGATCTCGAGTGCTGAAATTCATCCCATCTTTTACTGTGTACCCAACTTTGTCATGTCCTCCAGCATTATGCACAGCAAGCTTTATGATTTGAGAAGGTTTCATACCTGCATTCTTCTTAAATCTAAAGTCTGCCTTGTCAGCCTCTGTTAACCCTCGTTGTGATCTCAGGTGATGAGTACACTGCCGATTAATTGGCATATGATTGTGATCTTCTTTAAATATATCCACTATCCATTTTGAATCATTCTTGTTAAATGCCACACGCATTTTTGCTTGACAACCAAATCTGGTCTCCATGGGGGAGTCTCTCTTCTTCTCCCCTTTGTTGGGGGCTCTATGTCCCTCACAAGAACAAACGAAAGCTCCATTAGTAACCTCTCCCTTGCTGTTCCGAACTTTCTTTGAGAGCCTAACAGAGAATCCCCAAGCCCTTGCATAATCATTGTAGAAGTTGTAAGCTTCTTCGAAGTCATTAAATATCTGGCCGATTTTAGGAGGATCTAAAATCACATCTTCCATCCCAGTCGTTTCTCCATTCAGAATGCCAATGTCGGTTTCTCCTGTTTCCTCTAAAATCTCAAGGTCATCTTCGATGGGACTGTTACGAGGATGTTCTTCTTCTTCCATCGATAACCTTCTTTGGTTTAGGGTCTCGTCAGGGTGGGATACTGACTGTAGGTGGTTGTAGAGGGTTGGAGGCGGCTGAACGTGTATGTACGTACAAGAATTATGCCCAACCTGCTGCAGGAAACCTATTTTTACCCCTCTGTTGTTTTGTCTATGTTAACAATCATTATTTTAGTATTTTTGGTAGCGTAACCTTCCACTTCAATTAATTATCCAATGCTGCCATGTGCAAATTGATTCATTTATTTTTTTTATTTATTTGTCTCTCTCCTTACCGATCTGCTTCCTCTCAAAACCGGAAAATCTTCATCCTTCTGTGTTCTGTACAGAGGAAAAAACGTGTAAATTGAATTCAATTAATAAACAAATAGATGATGATAAAAGAATTTTCTAAGTTTAATTAATGATAAAAGATTTTCCTGTATAGCTTTAATAGAATTTTCTAAGTTGACTTAATAAGGTAGATAAATATTACACTTACCATAAAGAGAAAAACACTCTACATCCCCCTTTATTAAGACGTGTGAAACCCCTTTTTCAGGAATACCCAGCTCTGTTCTGTACCGTTCTGTGAAGCTGGAACAGAAGAGGACCATCACAAAGCCAGGGTAAGTAAATTATATACACAAGGAAGAAAGCCACCATCGTAATGTCTCTCTTTCTTCTAAATTCCTCTTTTGTTATGATTTCTTTTTTATCTCAGGGACAAGAACAAGATGAAGCATGTTGTGGACAGCGGGATAATGACAAGATCAAAGGCGCGGTCGTCCGATTTAATGGTATGTCAGTTTATAAATTTTCATATCTCCATCGTTGGCAGCTTATTTTTCGTTAAAAACTAAAGAACGACGATTGTTGTTGTACTATGAACGTAGGAGCTGGAGAATGATGTATCTCCGGTAAAGAAAGCTAGAACTGAAGTCGGTGTGATCCCTCCATCGACGCCGGGATCAAATATGATTGTTCTTGATGGTGAATCGAGGGGAGATGGCAATGCTTTAGTCTGGAAAAGTCGTACCAGATTTTCTACCTTGCAATTCACCGATAAGGTATTTCTACCCTTCTCTCGTATTTTCTGCTTCGGTTCTCTTTTCCGGCACTTGTTTCTTTGTGTTTTGCTTCCCAATCGATAGTGGCGAAGTTATCTGTGTAAAAGTGTCGAGCGCGAGACAAATAGGCCTTCTTTCTCTTATTTGGATTCAACACCTGCACCAAGCTTCTTCGTCTCTTTCGGCAAGAACAGCAGAACCAATTTTTTTACCTAGAGTTTTTGTTTGATCGGAATGACCAGGAAGGATTTCTTCTTTTGGTGTTTGAGCAGCCGATAGCTTAGCCTTGGAAGAATTGGGCCGAGACCCAAAGCTTATTTTATTTAGCTTTCTCACCAGCCCACTCAAAAGCTTTTCCTTGGCCAGTTCACAAATCAGACACCAAGCTTTTCCCAAAACTCACCGTTTCACAAACCCAAACTGATCCTTCCCTTCTCTTCGACTGAAATCAAAACCCCCTGTTCTTTGCTTTCAACCCAGACACATGAACAGAGTGCAACAGGATATCAGCAAAGCCAATCAAGTGCAGAAAATAAAAGCACAACACCAAATTTTTACTTCTGACGATTCACTAGAAATTGTTCGTTAAGCTCCCTTCGAAACACAATCAGAGTTACCCGATCAGCCTACTGCTTGATCGTCAAACCTTTCTCTGCCTACTAGCTACCCAGCCAATAGAACCCCTGATATACCACCGATACCAGTACCCAGAAATCACTACTAATCTCTGTGCTGACTTTTTCCACTCAAACCCTTGCTAAAGCTCTAGCTCTCTTGTTTGAAATCGCTGGAAAAGTCTACTTCTTACTCTTTGATCAAGGTGTTATATATATTGCTCCACTGTGAGTAGCCGTTAGACAGGACCGTTGCACTTTCCTTCTCTGTTTCATTTGATTGCGTCACCTTCCTTCTTTGCCATCAATAAGACGATTCTGCTGATCTGATTCCAGCTGGGGTTGGTGGTGGATATTGCGACGCTGACCTCAACAATCTGTTAGTTGAATTTTTTTATATTTTTTTACGGGTCTGTTGGTTGAATTTGATTCACCATGTTTTGTGCTATAGTTGCTTGAGAGAGATTCAGGGCCTCCTATTAGTGTGTTTCTTCACTACCGAAGTGATTTAAATGGCAGTATGTCTCAGTAGCCAACCTTGAACAAGTTGCGCTCTTTATGTGACGATTACGAATGACGATTACATTAAAATTAGGGCGATAATTAGCAATCCCCTCTAATCCACCCCACTAATATTTTTCTGCCTTAAAACGGAATCAGTGGTTATATTTTTATCGAACCCGCTAATATTCTTTCATCTTCCATTGCAGGCAGAAACTAAGTTTAGGCTGCCTCACGCTGTCAACTACAGTGAGGAGGAAATCAAACTTGCTCACTACATATTTGCAGCTGACCTTCCGCTAAAAGAGGTCCTAGTCGATACCATGATGAAATCCTATACGCGAAAGGCGCTATGGTCCCTCTGCCCTAACTCCAATGTTGACGCTGATGTAAGTTTTAATCCTGGCCTACTGTTACTAATCAGGATGTTGAAGGGTGTTTTATATCTTGTTGTTTGCACGTCATTTGTTAATGAGTAGATCACGATTCGTGGGAAAATTGATAAGGATCAAGGCATAGCCTGGACCATGTCCTTTCTATACAGAATTTGAGTCTGGTGCCAGTTTATTTGACATGCCTTTTGCTTTGTTGTTTTTTTGTTCTCCTGTGTATTTTTGCCCTTTTCCCTTTGTTTCTTTGAGGAGTGCACTGCTGCTGCAGCTTTGCTTCTAGTTTCCTCAATGATTTTGTATCTAGTGTAGGATGGTGTTTGCGCCTTTCAATTATATCAAAACAATCAAAATATTGGTCTTCTAATATGATTTATTTGCTTATCATTTTCAATAGAGATTGCAACCTTACCTCTCTCCTTACCGTTCAACTCGCATAATACCAATCTCCTAAAATTTGTATACCCTGGTTGGTTGGTGTGTTAGGTAATTACAGCAATGACTTGCCACTTGACCCTGGACGAAATTACGAGAGATGCTGGCCGTGGGAGAAGAGTATGTTTTCTGCCTACTGAACTGCAGGTACATATTGATTTACCTTGTACATGTATTTTAGGTGAAATATACTGTTTGTCCTATGGTATATAATAAACGTGTAATTCTGCTAATTTAATCAAATCATGATTAGGAAGTGGTACTTAACTATGGCATGACACCGAAAAAAGCTTTAGAGTGTTACGGTACAAAGTTTCTCACAACAGCTCACACCTGCAGAAAGGTTTTCTTCTCAATACTTTCTTCTGCATTTCACTTTTGGCTTCCTCATTAATTGTTTCTAGCTATTGTATGAACATATATGTGAATAATTTTTCTTTCCAATCAAGCTATTTAACTTTTTCATATATGAAATGTCAAATATGGTTTACTGATGTTAGTATTTCTTGTCGTAATGTAGTTGTGTCTGCCAATGAAGGATATCATGCATGGTGATGACATTCATTGGTATTTAGTAGTCATCTTGATGGATGACAAGCAAGTTCATATCTTGGATTCATATCCTTCTAAAGAGCGCCAAACACCTCGTAAAGATGCAGTACAAACTATGGTATGGTTAGATTTGTGCGTGGAATACGATTATATTTGTGAAATGGATTTTTGTTCTCTTCTATTTGTAATAAAGTTACTCCTTATGTAGATTGGATTTCTCGATGCCTTGTTCGAGGATCTTTATTTACAAGTGGAACAAATGTGCGATCCCCCAGTGATGAAGGAGTTCTCTTTGACAATTCCTTCAGTTCCTGAACAACGTCACGAGTAAGAATCATTCCTTATGCATACTCACAACTGATCATATGCTTCATCGAAATTTATGTAGGTATGACAGTGGCGTTTGGGTGTGCATATGGATGATGGGTGCAACTTGGGATGAAGATTATTTTATATGGGTAAGCAACAATTCACTTGCTTGAACTTGTAGTTAAACAACCTACTGAATTTGCTATTGAGATCCATTGTCTTTGTGAAAAATTTTCAGCCATGTGGAGATATGAGGAGAATGCAACTAGCTTTGTATTTGGTCAAACAACCTGCAAATTACATAAGACATGTGGTCATCAAGGAAGCAAATAGGAATGCACCAAGGTTTGAACTCGAGACTCGTACGTACAAGGAAGAAAATCGAAAGAGGCTGAACAAGAACTAGAGCTATATGGAGATAGTGCTTCCGTGATTTCGTAATTTAAGCTTGCTTTTTTTATTCAAGGACTTGTTCGTTACATGTTTCACTACATTTCATCAGATTAACGGTTGCATTTCTGTTGGGTATTTTGGATGAACAAATTTCAGTTTACATTATCATGAGATTCGGTTCTTTTCGTTCTATTGAACTTGGTTGATTGTTGAACTAGTTAAGTTTATGGTTTGAGAATCTTTGGTCTATATGTTTAGATACACAACATTGACATTTTTTGGTGTTTGAGCAGCCGATAGCTTAGCCTTGGAAGAATTGGGCCGAGACCCAAAGCTTATTTTATTTACCTTTCTCACCAGCCCACTCAAAAGATTTTCCTTGGCCAGTTCACAAATCAGACACCAAGCTTTTCCCAAAACTCACCGTTTCACAAACCCAAACTGATCCTTCCCTTCTCTTCGACTGAAATCAAAACCCCCTGTTCTTTGCTTTCAACCCAGACACATGAACAGAGTGCAACAGGATATCAGCAAAGCCAATCAAGTGCAGAAAATAAAAGCACAACACCAAATTTTTACTTAGGAACCAAATACAGAGAGTCTTAAGAAAACGAAAACGACAACATTATTTTGTGTCCACTTCAGTAAGCCAGCATCCATCAAGTAGCAGTTGCATCGTGCTGCCACCTAGTGAAAACAACAACAGCAGCAACGAAAACAACAACAAAGTAATGGATCAGGAACCTCGTCGAAGTCAAATCTCATTGATTAGATAGTAATCAAAAGGGTCCCCACAAACAAAGCCTCACTTGAACTTGACAAAGATTAGCTAGCTGATATATTGAGAATGGATAGGACAGATCATGGGAAAACAAATTGAACGAATAATAGTCTTAGAACAAAGCAACAACAGGTGTAGATTGCAGGCTTTGGCTTACTTATGAAATGGTTACAAGACATGGACAAGCCAGCCACATACATGAAATTGAAGTTCTAAACAATCTTTAAGACTCGGTCCAAAACACTATGCAATACCCGAAATTGTTCAACAATCCAACTAAGCTAACCAGAAATCATGGCTACTTACAGGATCATCATTCAATCAGACCGTTTGCTCACAGTTCGGGCAGCTCGAGGTCGTACTTCACGGATGGAGCTCAGTGTTTCCCACCGGCTGTAGCGTTTTCCTGGATGGAGCTCAGTGTTTCGCTTATCTTCCTGAAGCAGGAGATCATAGAGGCCATGCTGTCCTCGAGAAACTGGCCGTCATCCGCAATCACAACACAAAATCAGGCATCCAAACACAAGGAAAAGCTGTCGGGCGTAAGAACCCTACCACTCTCCCCCTCCTCCTCTGCCTCCAGCTTCGACATCTCTTCAATCCTTCTCCTCACACTGTCGGTCAATATGGGAAGCCGGTCATCTGAAATCAAAGGCAAATGGCAAAATCAGGTCCCAAATACAAGGAGATTCGGGGTTTGGGATTTAGTAGGGACTCTTACCGGTTTTCTCGAGATGGAATTCGAGGGAGGGCATCGGTAGTTCTACCTCCAGCTCTGGCGGCATCTCTTCGATCATATCCCTTATATAGTCGGTCAATACGCGCGCCCCACAAGTCGGAAATCCTCTGCCTTACCTCCATCAGATTTCCTGGGCATGTGAGGAGAAGATCGATCCCCATTGTAGCGACGGATTGGCAGGAGGAATAAGGGTTGTGGTGGGAGGGAGGAACGGGAGAAGCTGGATTAGTGAGGTAGATAGAGCACATGAAAACGGGAGAGAGGAGAGGGTTTGAGAATCTCGATGAAGGGAAAAATTGAACGAGGATGTTTAAGTTAAAGCATCCAATTTGGGATGTTTAAATGATCAATAGAAGAAAATAGGTATCAGAATATGAAAGTAAATGAATAATTAGTTGGGGGACTAAAGAGGACGAATGAAAATGTAAGGGAACCAATCAATTATCTTTAATTTGTATTTTGTAAATAATTTTATCATAATTTATAATGACCGTCAGATTAGATCAACGGTGTGTAAAACCTGGAGCATACTATGTGTCTGGAGCACACGAGTCTGAACCATATATATATATATATATATATATATATATATATACCGCCGGGTGGGGGTGCGGTTTGCAACCAAACCGCTCCGGCCCCATGCGGTCAGCAAAACCGCCCCCTACCCGTGCGGTTTTCATCGAAAACCGCTGGGTGTCGGTTTTTGGGAAAGGGTGCTATTTTTGGAATTTTTCGGGGTTGTGTGCTATTTTTGGAATTTTTTTTAAAGAGTGCTATTTCTGAAAAAATTCCTGGAAGTTGGGGAAGAACCCTAAAATCAAATTTGGGGAAAAGTTGGGGAAGATGGGTCGAAGCAGATGGGATATGTGAGGGTTTTTTTTTTTAATTTATGATATGTAAATATTGAATAATTGAAATATCTGACGTGTCACTATTTGTTTATGTGGCGTTGTCGTGTTCGCTAAGTTGGCGCTTAGTCAGCGAACCTTCAAATAAGTTGACGGTGTTAATAACACCGTGAAAGTATATAATAGAAATAGCTATATTTTTCATACAACAACTTTAAAAGTTGGCTATAAGTGGTATTTCTCCAAATCTAGCTATTATTGGCACAAACGTGAAAGTTTTGGCTATACAAGTGTATTTTTCCTAAATTCTATTAACCATGAAATATAGTATTATAACCGAACCGTCCAAATCAATACAATAATCAAATCAACCAAACTAACCTTTAATCAGTTTGGTTAATTGGTTAACCATATTAACCAATATGACAACACATTATCATTAAGTAAGAAAAAAAATTAAGTTAATGCATCAATTCACAAATTTATATAATGAATGAAACATAACAATCAACATATAGTAGTTAACCTTTAACATAAATACATGCAACTAATACAATTATCATACACTTAATAGAAGTATTTACATAACAAAAATATATGCCAATGGTATGACCGTATGAGGTTAATGAATTGTTGTGTTTGTGTAAATTGAATTAGTCACTTAGCAAATTATCATAGGTTGAAAAATACCTTCTTTCCAAGTTTTCATTCAACATAATGTATGAGTTTTTATCTAAAATAGGTGTCCATATGTTATGGACTACTCTTTACAAATACAAATATGCATTATATGAAGAATATTGAGCTATATTTTTCTAAAAGGGAGGAACATTTGACTCTTGAGTGGTTCTGTAAAGTATTAAGTATGTGTATATAATATATGTTAGGCATATAGCTAATTACTTAACTGGTTAATTTGGTTTGATTGGTTATGAGTGTCTGAAACCAAACCACCTAAACGAAATAAGCTAAAAAAATTACCCAAACAAAACCAATTATCCAAATTGATCAAACTAAATTATTCGAATAATACTGGTTAAAATGATTACCACAGTAACCACTCCGTTGAAAGTTGAAACACCATAAAAAAAGAGTAGCCACCGCCTGAAGGAGAGTATATAGGATTATGGTTTAATTATCGGTTCCCTGTAGTGAAAACAATAGTTGAGTATATAACTGTTTAAGAATATTCTTGAGTGGAAACTGGTTAAATCAGTTCAAGTAGAGTACGGACAAGAATAGTTTATCAGGTAGACTTGTTTACTCCAAACGTGGCTAACATCTTCAGAAAACTCAAATACCAGTTTGGTTCTTTGTATATATCGCCTTAAATGTAAACTAACTAGCGTGGGCCCGGCCATTTGGCCCGAGTAAGGTGAAGTATGAAATTTGATAATGTAGGAAACACGTGATAAAAATAGTGAATTTTAGTAGGAATGAGACATGAATGATGCAACGAATCAAAAATCAACCTTATGAACCAAAATCAAATACCTGTTACCTTGTGAAAGAATATTGTTTCTGGTAATATGATGAGGTAGAGTAAGTTTTATAGAAACCGAATTCCAGAAAATCGAATAAAAAATCATCTATCTCGCCGGTTTTCGGGAAATGAGCATCTCACAATCGTTGCTAGCTTTTACTCGGCCCGTTGGCCAATTAATTTGCTTTATAAAACTTTCATCTTGTCATCATTGTGCTTTCTGGTTTTTTGCCAAGCCATGATAAAATCTAAATAAATCAGGAATGAACAACACGATTTGGGATAGGAACCATCGTTCCTGTATCCCTAGTAAATGGTGGTAAACACGGACTCACTTGCCAAACTGGTTTGGATTGAGATTTTTATCGGGTATCAGGGAACCATGTGATTATAAATTAGACTTAATCAAAACAGGCCAAAACTTGAAATTCAGCCTGTTTGACCGACTCATGCCAAACTCTAATTATTCTTTAACTTTAAACTTTCTATTTGAAAATAAAAATAATGAAAGAAAAGAGATGACTGCAATTCGCCATTTGCACATCACTGATTCGGGAACAAAATTATAGAATTTCGAAAGGAAACTGAAAATGTTTAGGATCGTTTTAATGTTAAAAATAACCAAATAGATCTTTCTGTTTAACTTTTTACTAACAAATACCAAACGATTCCCTATAATATACACTATAATTTAATCATTATGATATCAAATAATTACATAATATATATTTGAAATGATAAAAATTGGACTAATTGGGCAGGTCGAGGTTGAACCTTTGAATAACTTTAAAATACATTATATTTTAGCCACTAAGATATAAAATAATAACATAATATATATTATGCTAGAGAAAATAGCTTGTTTTAGAATGGCAAACCCATGATGTTAATTTGTTTTACTTGATGGGCAATCGAGTGTAGGTCAGACCCATTCAACTCTTTTATTTTATGATTAGCGGTTAGCCCATTAGAATCCATGCATTAGTTTATTGTTAAATTGTTTTCTTTTTAGCAATAAAAAGGAGTATTGTTTTTGCCTTTTCATATATATTTTACTACCACTGAGAAATAAAAGGACTTAAAGAAAAAAATTGACACTCCCTATTCTACCCTTCCTACAAACGCTCCTGGAGCAAAGAATTTGAAATGGGGAAGAGTTTTTTCCTCTCTGCGATTATATGTTTTTAATTTAAAAAAATACAACAAATCTACTTAGTGTGATTGGTTATGATATTTGTTTTTCTTTAAAGTGGTCATGGTTCGAATCCTAGTAAGTGTCTTTTTAATAAATAAATAAATAAATAAATAAGTAATTGTGAAGACCAAAATGTCCTTACTACTTTCACTCTGGATGCAGAAAATTTGAAATGAGGCTTCAAATTTTCTCATTTGGCTTTTATTTATTGTGTTGATTGTAGGAGTGGGTTAGAGTTAGACTATATATCGTCCTCAAAGTTCAAGAGCAGACCCAAGTCTGTTTTGTGAAGAAACAAAATTAGGAGACTTGTTTGGGTAGACTACAAAACACGGGTTAAATGACCAATAAACTAAACGATAGAAAAGAGGGTAAACGTTATATTTGGTCACTGGGATTAGTAAATTGTGTTATATTTAGTCACTAGAAAAAATCAATATCAATTTTGGTCACTCGAATTACAAAAATAGGTCACATTTAGTTACTCTCCAGTTAGCTACCGTCCAACTACGGTCACTCGAATTACTTTTTTTTTTTTTTTTTTCTGAATGTCACTCAAATTACTAAAATATGTCACATTTAGTCACTCTCCTGTTGGAGTTGGACGAAAACTAACAGGAGAGTGACTAAATGTGACATATTTCAGCAATTCGAGTGACAAAAATTAATATTAATTTTTTTGTAGTGACTAAACAT